CCCGCTGCATTCCATGGAGCTAAGGAGCGATCTGGTAGAGTTCAGATAAAGGGTGGGTGGGGGCCGAGAGAAAGAGCGTGGGATTCGGGTCATCATCATCCTCAAGTGAAACATCTGGAAGACGAAGGCCAGAAAGGCGAGGAAGGGGGCTGGATCGGCACCGCGTGAATGGTCTAAATTTGTGGATGAGTGGATTCGCAGTGAGAGATGGGGACATGGGTATGCCACTATGGTTACTGTAGGAAAATAGTGGAGCAGAATTAGGAATGAAGCTCGCCCAGAGCCTACAAGCCACTAAACGATGACTACACTGTGCTGACGGGCGACTAGCACGCATCGGAGGTTGAGAAAGTGGGGTGGCGCAGTGACCTACAATAGGGGAAAGAGAGGAAAACAAGAGGGTGACAGCCAAGGAGCGTAACGAAGGAAGATCCGGCCCCGTTCTGGCGTGTTCGAGTCTCGGAGAGTGACCGCTATTAGTTTTAGTGGTTAGTGACGGATATCGTGAATGTTCATCTTAGCGATGATGGACGGAGAACGGGATTTGATGGTGGAAGCGAGGTTGAAAAGTCATTTAATAATTAATGATTATTTTGGATCATTCGCGACTTGATGATCAAGAAACATGGAACGGAGCCTCGGATCTTGCCAGGTATGCAGGGCAATCAAGGTTTTTCTTCGGTGCTACAGTAGCTCACTCGGTAGTCCGATAGTTCTTTTGTTAGCTGTGGACGTAAGAGCTACCCACACTCTGGCTTTTGCGATGTGTTGGTAATACCCTACACAGGCAGAATTAGGAGAGGAGACCCCCAAATTGACGACGTTAGGTGGACGACCCTGCACTTTGTACGCCTGTCTATAAGCCTAGATTGGAAGTATAGTATCCCGACGGACACATTACTAGACTAATCAATTTCCTTCCTTCCCCTTAAACTATGGTGACATTCGTGCCGTTTCGGTCCGCGGTATGCTCACATACTCTCGATATCGGCAACTTTGATAGGATTTGCGTCTCCAATTTCATCAGGAAGGGATGGAAACGGCTCCACCAAGGAGAAGCTACTCCGTACAGTACCACACTCACTAGGCTTCTGGAAGTAGGTGGATGCCTGGACGGTGACCGATTCTCCAATTTTTCGCTTTCGATAGTGGACCCCCTCAGTGCAGAAAGTGGGCCCTGCAAATGCGTTTCGAGCGGTACAGGCCTTGGGATCGCTTTCCTGCTGCGGAATGATGTGGCCAGGGTGGACTTGGGGGTGTTTTGCATTGGTTCTGGTCCCCTGAATGCCATCGAATCCCTGTCCAACCGAGCGAGCTAAACTCGATTGAGGGGTTGATGGGTGTGGGTGAGGTATCCCATGATGTTGCACATACGAAATACAAAGGGTCAAGAGACGATCAGATATGTATAAACCTTGTGGACTCAGTAGAGAGACGAGCATATCAGGACGGATGCAGGTATAGGTAACTCCCTCTCGATTTGTAACCATGAATAGGCAATCAAGTACAAGTACCAGTACAGTACTCCGTAGTCCGTATACATAGAAGCGAAGGATGGCTGCTTATCACGCAATAAAAAAGAAAACCGTGCTTCACGATAGCAACTATCGGGACTATCCTATGAAGAGTAAGGCAGGAAAAAGCAATCTCCTTCCTGGAGAAATGGTAATTCAGAAAATAAAAAGAAATTAAAAGACGACATGTCAAACCTGCTCATCCGGAGGGCCCGGGCTCCTGAGGAACCCAAGGCTGGCTTTTGGCACGGCGCTAAGCACGATCAGATCCGCCCGGCCACGTTGTGAATGGGGGCTCTACCGCCCGTTTCCTGATCCGAAAAGGTTGATCTGATTTTTTTTCCCTGTTTCGTTGTGCTGGTCCTATTTTCCTTCAATTATTAGGCTACTGCCTTTGTTACCTTTTAGTCAATCTGCTCACAGACCACGGGGCCATGATGCCTATTGAACCAATTCCGTCCTAGCCCCACGTTAGTGAGCGGGAATTCTATCTTCTGGAAATTGGCTCCGACCTTTAATCATCCCAACCTCTTTGCCAGACTCTCCTTCATCAGTATAGACCATTTGATCTGGAACAATTCATAGACAAGAAATTTCAGTATATATGTACCCTCTATCACCGGTGCCTATAGCCCTCGAGACCTATTGGTAGGAGTCACAACAAGAGGGGGGGACAGATCACATTCGAATCCTTGCTCCTCGTCCGTACTTGTCTTGTCCCTCCCCCTCTTCGACGAGTACAGGGTACGTACGTAGATGGACACCCATGAACAGTTAGACAGTTGAGTCACTTCGGCTGTGTTCAAAGCTCGGTTCCCTGGGCAAATATAGAACTCAAAAAAACTAAAAAACGATAGAATAACGAGAACGAAAGCGACAGAGGAAGGGAACAAAAAATGCCAAATGAATTAAATTAAAATTAAAGGTAAAGGTCCACGCACAACGCTTAGGATTGCCGAGCTTCCCGCCTAGGAGGGTCGTTAAGAACACGGGCGAACACCAGTGGCGGTACGACGGGGATTGAAACACGTCCCACTACGTACAACGCCTCCTCGGGTAATGCAGTCCATGCAGCCAGAGAAACCTCTTTTTCTCAAATCTCGGCCTCCGTGCCAGGGCTCAGGTGATATTAGAAAATGACTTTGCTGGTTGCGGGGGCTTTTTTTTTTGCCCCTACTGTACAGTAGGCGTTGATCGCTCGGCCAGGAAGGAATGCAGGCATATCCACACCCCGACGGAGCATAGTTCCAGGGCGGGCGTATAAAGGGTCCAATCATGAGTCGAAGACAGGATGCTGGGGATCGGAGGGGAAAAAAAGAAAAAATTCACCAAATAGGTAGTAGATCGGGGGTGGCGATGATGCATCTCCTGCATCATGTACTCCGCGGATGGGCGAGGGCGCCTGCAGCGGAGAAAAGAAACATCACCGGGTATGCACGGTGCAAAGAAGGGCCCAAGAGTTGCTCTGCTTCTTTGTTTTTCTCTGCCTCTGACTGGATATGGAGGGGCTAAAGGTAAGGGTGGCTGATGGCTGACCGGCATCTATAGTATTTTTTTTTTCTGTAGCCGGTAGGTAACGATGTTTCTGGCATGTTCCCGTTGGTTAGTAACCTCGTTCGATCTAGACCACTTGGGAAAGCCTCCGCGAACAAGGGTCATCAGAACCATCAAAATCTGCCTCCGCCCTGTCGTACTCGGTCCAGTGGATGCGGGTACTGTACATGATTAAGTGGAAGTAAAATGATAGGAAGACCATCAATGACGGAGTCAAGTCCTCTAACAAACTCCACTCTTCTTTCTTTGAATGTGAATGATTGATACACTGGGAATTTTTCTAATTTCCCTTTTCTCAGCCCTTTTCTTGAAGGAGCGAGGACCACCACCCCTGTCGATATGCACAGGAGCGACACGAAGGATGTGCGAGTTGATCTTTTTGAGGCGCCCATCACATTGTCTGTCACCCTTGCGTAACGGAGTCAGCCGTGACGCTATGGAGGGGGAGGGGCAAATAATAAGATGATTTGACCTCGGTCGTAATCGAACACGAATCCTCGGATTATACACCCATAGTCAGAAGTATTAGGTAGGCGGTCCCAAATCAAGTACGGAGTACAGCTTCCGGATCACCAAAACTACCTTTCGATTACTCAAAATGCAAGCCAGCCAATGTACGAAGTAACGGAGAGAAACATAGCATGTTAGGCTGGCATTCTTATTGCAGGGCTGATCATCTCCGTAAGACCAACAGAAAATAAAAGTCAAGGGCCTCGCTAAAGAAGGAAGTTGTGGCCGCCGATCGAGTCAGATCACGACCAGGCGGGCATTCCACGAGCGGGTACAGGGCCAAGGTTCCTGGCTCTTGGGACGTTTTGTGGGATAGTGGACAAGTGATAAATTAGAAAATAAATAATACTGTAATGGATAGTTAGGAAAAGAAACGAAAGTCAAACAAAGTGTAGCCCCAGACTGGGCCCGTGTGAGGGTCCACTTTTATAGTCTGTACAGTCCATACAGTCAGAACAAACTACAAAGTTCTGCTTCTGATTCCGTAGACATACTATCCAGACATACTATGTAGTACATAGGACAGAAACAAGATGTAAGAGAAAGACAACTGTACAAATTCGAACGCTCAACACCGCAGTCTTTCCTAAGCCCCCAACACCTCCAAGACCCAAGAAACTCCCCAAGCCGCAGTCCAGTGGACCTCCGGCTGGATCCTTTTCCCCATGTTCGCCTCAAAAGACCGCGCTACGACGTATAGGTCTGATCATCCCTCCACTTGGCCCGTCTTGGTACACTCCGGAAAATTCCCCTTGCCCACTCTCCTTGGTTCGTGAGCCAACTAACGTTAGTTTAGTCGCCCGAGTTGGTTCTGGTTCTGGTTGGCTTTGGTTAGCGACTGGGTCCCCAGCCGAAACGGTGGAACCGCCTCCCAGTGTCCTGTAGCTCTGATTCATTGATGACCTGGGTCATTTTGAATTTTATTTTAGATATTTTCTTTTTAGGAATGATGGGATTCGGGATTCGGGATTTTGGTTGGGCTAGGCTCGTTTCGTTAGTGTCAACGTCGTGTCATCTAAGCTAGCATGTGCGGTGGGATCGTGGACCTGGGGCGGCAGATCGCTGGGCCTCCCTGGATCTCGCTCCCCTTATATGAATACCGGTCGACCCTGCAGGCTCCTGGATTTATTGGTTATTGGAATGATCAAACATACACGACATTAGGACCGAGATAAAACCCTCCGCTCCTGCCGTCGTTCCTTCGCAGGAACTTCGGCTCTCACCATCCCGCTTCCTTCCATCAGCCTCTCACCCACTACTCTTGCCACCACCACCATCTTCCGCCAACTTTACCTCAGCTCTCCCAGTTCAACAATATTTGAAACTCTAGTCGACTCATATCATTGAAGCGGGTGTTACAGAGTTATCCGCCAACTTTCCGCCAACTTTCACTCTCGCCCAACTCTATCAACCTGCGTTTTTATGGCCGATTACTCCGACTACGGTTATCATCAACCCCAGAGTTCTTCAACAGGCTCCCAATGGCTTCCCGAAGATGTGTCTAGTCAACCCTTCAACGCTCAAATGCAAGACTGGATCCGTGCTTTCCATCGACCTCGACACAACCGGGTCATGAAACCCCGTAGTGCAGGGAACAGCCCGTCCTCGGCCATCCGGAGACGCACCGCCATCGCTCAGAGTGCCATGCATGGAATGCCAAATCAGTATCACCATTCAGCCCTGGAGGCGATGATATTAGCCTCAACAACACGCATCTCTCGCCCAATCTCATGGCATCCCTCCTCAGCCAGGTCCCGAGGGCTCTCCAACCCAATCGGGCTACATGAATATTCCTCGGAGAACTTTATGATGGGCACTATGCCGGATCAGTCCATAAATGGCCTTCCAGCTGAGAACATGATGGCCTACCCAGTCTCGGCGGGACCTACTTTCCCAACTGGATATTTTCCTCCGTATGCGGACATGCCGGACTCTATGCCCTTTCAGCAACATACGCCATCGCTGCCCATGGCTGGCTCGCAGGTCGAGCCGATCACTTGGGATACCACTGCCAACACCGACTTCATGGGGATGAATCAGTCTGCGTGCGATGGCTGGTCCCTGGACATGCTCTCAATGGCCAACAACATTCCTCCAGCAGAGACCACTTGCCCCAGCTATGTCAGTGTACCCTCGCCTGGAGAAATGAGCGGTCCATCGACACCAGACTTCCTTCCCATCCAGCATTTTGATAACGAACCAGCATCTACTCTGAAGAAACCCGCCAGGCCCGAAGAAGAGCTTGTCGGGATGGGTCTGTATAGCCAACCCAACAGCGCTCTCGGCCAACTGCAGCAGGAAACCCTGGGCAAGGGGCTGAAGCTGGAGGAGACCTTTTCGCCCTCTGACGATGAAAACGATGAGGCTGATGCCGATGGCGAGGTGGACGAGGAGGTGACTGATTTCGGCTCGACTCAGCCTCAGTGCAGCCAGCAAGAGCAGCTCCCCGTGGCGCAGCAGTCAAGCTTCCCAATCCCGAAGCATCCATCGAAGCAAGCTCTCAACCTCTTGCACAAATCTTTCTTCTTTGATCACGATGATTCGGACCAGCACGCTGTAGCTGCCGCACAGCCTTTCCCCAACCTAAACCAGCCGTGCATGACCTACGGTTACGGGTGGATCTGATTTTATCAACGGATTCAACACATGCAATATTTCCTTTTTCATCTCCTGCCTTACAGCGAGCATAGCGTGGAGTTTCATGTTTCCCCCTTTGTTTTCTTATCATTTTGCTCTGGAGTCGTGACACATGAACGGATACCCTGGGACTTGTCAAGTCAGATAGCTTCGACCAGGAGCCGTCGCTCAACCTTTTCTTTCTGTTTCAACATAGCCATAGCTAGCGGTGGCATGAACGATCTCGCTCAATCAAATTAACTCACCAAGCCATTCCTCCTTTCATGTTGTAGACTTCATTTTGCCGTAGTTATATCGACGTACAAGTGTGAATTTGTTGATTGGGTACGGAAGTTCTCCCGACCCGGATAAACTCCTCCAATGGATCAACCCTCTTCCGATAATATCTTACTTGAGAAGGCTGGCCATGTTAATTCGGGTGGGAATATGGTTGGTGAGAAAAGCATGATGAGCGTGAAATACAAGATGAGAGGATTACTATCATTACAATGGTACCGAAATCGACTGTGATCGAACTTGCTTGTCATTTTATAACTAGTAAGCAGGTGTCACTGTGACTAACTATCTGCTTTGAAAAATGACATACAATCATACCTGGGCCTAGCTAACCCATACCCTCGGTAAATCAAACCATAAAAATTAGCAAGACAAAAAGCCGAACTATAGTACAAAATAAATGTCCTAGATTATCGTGCCTTGGAAGATAGGATTGGAAACGCACGCTCTAGGTCAAAGCAAAGTGCGACGAAAGGGAGCGGGGATACGCGAGGAAATGAGTGGACCGACGTCATACCCAGTTTCTCCGAATCCCATGGCGTTTGCAAACCCACCTTGCATCGGCCAAATCAGAAGCTCCTCAGCACCCACAATGACAGTCTGAGCGGCGCCAAATAAACCTGAAAAAATTGACGCGCGATGGCCGAATATCAAGGGCGATCGCTCTCGGGCGCCTCGGGCGAGGTACGTTGGTCGTTGGTCGTTGCGCAGGGCGCGGGGGTAGTAGTCGACGACGCGAGAGACTTGGCCACTGATCGATGCATTCGTAGAGCTATGGAGGGATGAGTGACTCAGAGATGCAGCAAAACCAGTTGGAGGTACGTGTTTGCTCCTATTAACTCACACTGTATTGATCTGACTCCCCGTGCGTTTGGGGAACTGCTTGCAGGTCGTTTTCTACCCCGATGCCAACCACCGCCGCAAATCGTCCCTCGTTACAATGGAGAAACCACGAATCAGACCCCATTTCGATCAGCATGACAAGTCTACAGCTTGCTATGTGCATTCCCTTATCGCCGGCGAATGGGCCGTACCATCGACCCATATGGACGAGACGCAGGATGTGATCCGCACGCTGAGTGATGAGGAGCCCAATGTGGGCACAAAGTCTGTCGACGACGACGCTGTGGTATCTGTTATTGACAGTGATAATAAGTTCCTCAAGCCAGTACCGACTGTCATTCAATCGCGGCACTTAACGAAGCGACAACTGTCTGATATGGCATGGAACGTGCGGAAGCTGTCGAAGAAACTGGGCAGTATCAAACTCAAGCTCACGGTCAAGAACGTCTTCATCGTGAGCAAAACACATGACGAGTCAGTGGTCAGTCTAACTAGGAAAGTGACTCGATGGCTCCTGTCCAAGGACCGCGACGCGCCGTATAATGTCTATGTGGAGCGCCGCCTCGAGACACATCCGGATTTCGGAGCATTGCAGCTAGTGCAGGAGGAGCCATCAGCTAAGGGCCGGTTGAATTACTGGGATCCCAAACTTGCACAAGACCAGCCGCATATGTTCGATTTCGTTATCACCCTCGGAGGAGATGGAACGGTCCTCTACACGAGCTGGTTGTTCCAGCGTATCGTGCCACCAGTCCTATCATTTGCACTCGGGTCATTGGGGTTCATGACAAAATTCGACTTTGCCGATCACCAAAAAATTCTGGAGAATGCTTTCCGGGAAGGCGTCATCGTCAGTCTCCGATTACGCTTCGAATGCACGATAATGCGAAGCAAAGCGCGATTGAAAGACCCCGATTCAAGGGCTCTCACAAGCCGGGATCTGGTAGAAGAATTGATTGGAGAGGAAGGAGAAGACACATTGACACATAGTCCGGACCGAGTCTACGAGATTCTCAACGACGTCGTTCTGGACCGGGGTCCGAATCCAAGTATGCTATACGCTATATCCCCTGCAGGCCAAAGCTCAATGGCTCAGTTCCCCGCGACGATGCATATCTAACAAACTCTTCCAGCTATGTCTCAAATCGAACTGTTTGGCGACGACGAGCATTTCACAACCTTGCTTGCGGACGGAATCTGCATTGCAACCCCGACGGGCTCGACGGCGTACAATCTCGCTGCGGGCGGTTCGCTTTCGCACCCGGAGAACCCCGTTATTCTGGTAACCGCCATTTGCGCCCACACCCTATCCTTCCGACCGATTATCCTACCGGATACCATTGTGCTACGCATGGGTGTGCCTTACGATGCGCGAACCAGCTCGTGGGCTAGTTTTGATGGACGTGAGAGGTGAGCGGGCTCTGCTACAATCTGTTGCATAGTTTTGATTATGAGCATTGTTTGTGCTGACAAAGTAATGTGCAGAGTCGAATTACATCCCGGCGACTACGTGACCGTGTCCGCGTCGAGATATCCCTTTGCCAATGTACTGCCCCAGGATCGACGCGGCGAAGACTGGGTGCACAGTATTTCCAAAACCTTGAATTGGAATTCACGAACCAAACAAAAGAGCTTCAAGTAGGCCTCTGGGCTTGAGTGAGAGTTGACGTATGGTGAGAGTGGAGTTTGGGCATCTTGGCTTGGTTTTTTGATTTCATTTTTGCTGGTTTGCAATGGCCACTGGATGGTCTGATACGGAGTACATATTGGGCACATAATGGAAATGACATTGGCTTGAATACTCTTGTCTATATACAGTAGTCCTGTATGGTTCACTCAGGACTGCTTTTTGTCTCCCTTCTCATAGTACCCTCCATCTGATCACCTTCCGATTAGCTCGCGAGTGAAAAATATTCCAGAATTTTCGAGTGCCCCAAGCTGTGGTGGAGTCGAGCTCCATTCTTGATGCTGTCTTCTCACGTGATCGATATCACATGACCACAATGCTAACCCCAAACAGGAAAGCCCCACTCCGCGCAGCAAATCCACTGTGCCCTATAAAATCCGCTCGATCTTTTTTCTGCTCTTCTCTTTCCTTCTCACTCCCAACATCGTCTCCCGTCAAAAGCAAGAAAGTCTAATGCGATCTTCTCCTGCTCTCTCGGGTTTCGGCAAGGAACATCCACTCGGCCTGCCACTGCGATTACACCTACTAACTTGGTAAGATACACTGTTCCCCTTGTCGCCTTTCTACATCACACTCGGCCAGCAAGGGTCGTTCCTGTGACGGCCCCAATTTCTATGATGAAAAATTTTCCTACATTCGCAGTTTCCACGCTAGCCATCGCCGAACCTATTTTCAAGATGGTGTTGAGCGCATAACTTCCTTGGATGTCTGATTGAAATTGCTGGTCGCTTTGTCGATTTTTGAATGGCGACTTTTTGGAGTCGTGGTGTTGAACCTTGCTAACAGGCTTGGTTCTTAGAACTGAACAGGATTCTTTTGTCTCGTCTTGAGTTGCCATTGGCAATTGTGATATAGCTTTTGTTCCCTGTCGCTGGTGGTGGCTTGGTCGTGTGCTCCAAGCTGGTTGAAAGCTTTTCAAGTCGGCCTGGCAGCTCTATACCAGAAGCCTACTGTGTCGGGTGGAGCTATCGTGTCTAGAATCATGGAATCAATACAAATATCACTTTTACGAACCATTGCCTTCTTTCGTAAACTCAAACATGTAGAATAATCAAGATGCTTTTCTTAGAGCTTGAGCTGAGCAAAACGTACCTGCATTGCTGGACTTGCACCCTCGAGCGATGTGCTCCACCGTAGATCACATCCACAGCTTCGCCGCGGCAGACCCCTGCTTCACATCTCCCCTCCCTAACCACTACAATCCAAAAACCATGATCCTCTGAGCCCATCTCGATCCCTAATTGACCCAATTCTCCTCTGAAACCACTCAATCGCCTCCATCGAATACACTCTTCCATTCCAATCCCACCACACACGCCATGGCCGCACCGCCCAGGCACTCGGCGATGCTCTCTGTGAGCAACACCGCAGGCACGCCGCAGTCCGGATCAAGCGACAAGTCACAGACTCCACAGCAGCCTTCAACACCGCAGCCCACACAAGGTCTCCGCGTCCCATCAAACCGCAAGACCATCTACGACCGACACCTGAATCGGAGCCGAAATGCAGAGCTCAGCCGCGCCAGCTTCGCGTATCTCTTCGCGGAGATGGTCACATATGCCCAGCGGCGGGTAACGGGGATTCAAGATTTGGAGAAACGGTCAGCCCTTCCTGAGATTGAACATCGCATGTTATATACAGCCACAAAACAAAACCACTGATACGCCTTGCCCAGATTAAATGAACAAGGATACCCCCTCGGCCTCCGTCTCCTCGATCTCCTCTTCTACCGCACAACAACAACCTCCTCTTCGGCCCTCTCCAGCTCCTCAACCTCCTCTTCCCCACCAAACCGTCCCCTCCGCATCCTCACCCTCCTCCACCTCATCCATGGGCCCCTCTGGCGCCTCCTCTTCGGACGCTCCGCCGATGCCCTCGAGCACTCCGTCTCCCCGGACACTCCCAATGAATACATGATTACGGACAACGATCCACTCGTGAATACGTATATCAGCGTGCCGCGGGAGATGAATCAGCTTAATTGCGCGGCGTTTGTGGCGGGGATTATTGAGGGTGTGTGTGATGGGTGTGGATTTGAAGCCAAGGTTTCGGCGCATAACCAGCCGACGGAGATGTGGCCGAGTCGGACAGTGTTTTTGCTTGGGTTTGGGGAGAGTGTCATGGAGAGGGAGAAGGTGCTTGAGCGGGCGGGCATTAAATAGGGTTGTGCGAGGGATGCTTTAATGCCTGTTCGCATGGCGGGTTCCCATGTTTCGTCTGGAACTATTTTCTAGCTCCTGCTTGTCTGCTCGTTGTGCAGATGTAGGAGTCGCTGTACGTTCTTGCATACTCGTGGGGCGAGTATACTCAGATGTGTACTTCCTTTGAACAAGTGATTGCGCTACGTTGATGAACCTGCTTCGGTTGTCTACGTTGCCCATCGACAAGGACAATGCTGACCGAGCTATTGGACCGCTATTAGATCTGACTGATATTCATGTACAAAGTCTTCGCTGGCGGATTGGCCAGCAAAGATTCATTCAATCAACAATAATGAACCCTCCGGGAGAGGGGTATGCCATATCTCATATAAAACTCAAACAATGGAGTATCTTGCTCGAAATGCCAGTATATTACATCGACTCGAATCCAGCCATGCAAGCTTTTGATCAGAAACGCCACGCCAACGCCCACGTAAAGACCATATTATCAAGAGCTCTCTACTCGTCGCCGTTTATCCCGGTCATCATATGGCGACGGGCTGCGTTTCCGCCGCTCCCTAGATCGACTCCTCTCTTCGTGCCGGTCTCTTCTAGGAGACCGCGATCTTGATCTCTGCCGCGGCCGCACAGCACTGGCATTGGCACCAGTTGGCCCCGACGGTCCATGACCCCGATCATCGCCGCGATCAGGCATAAACCGCTCGTCCGTAATTCCAACAGGAGGGGCATTCTCCCGCCTCCGGTTCTGGTAGCCGTCGCCAAAGCGTCCCGTGTCCTCCGTCTTCAAATCACGATAGCGCGTACGTCCCTTTTTTCCTAGCTTGGTCATATCCCGAATCTGCATGTACTGAGGCAACGTCTCGACCGCGACATCGTCTGCAAACCGGCGACCCATAACATTGCGCTGGTCCAAACCCTCGCGCTCCTGATCGTCCCGGAAGAAAGCACCCTTGTGGAAATAGCGCTGCATGAACCCGGTCTGGCCGCGGGTTGCCTCGCGCTCTTCATTCTGCTTGGCGATGAACTCGCGGTCCTCGCGCTCGCGCTCTTCAGCGGTCAGATTGCGCCGGCGCTCGATCTCTTCGCGCTCTTTCTCTGCTTCTTCGATGGCTTCGCGCTCGCGCTTGACGCGCTTGAGTTCGCGGAGTTTCCAGGCTGCGTACTCGGCTTCTGGGTCGATATCGTCGCGGTCATCTATGGCGGTTTCTTCGTCGGCTTCGGCAAGGTCGTCGTCATCGTCCCAGGCTTTGTTTGCTGCGGACCTCGCGATGGCGTCTTTCTCGAGTTGGTCTCGTACTAATTGATCTGCTTTTTCTTGGCGTTGAGCACGTCGGGCTTCGTTGTCTGCGGCGGAGTCGGCGCCGCTGATAGGTGCTCGCGCTGGAGCTTCTGCGCCTTGTCCGCCTGCATTGCCTCGCTTATCTTTCTTAATGAATGTAGGCCGAATCAACATCCGCCGTGGCGCTTCATCCTCTGAACTGCTCTCTTCCTCGGAGCTATCCTCCTCCTCTTCATCTTCTTCTTCCTCTTCCTCGTCACTTGCTGTTGTTGGCCTTGCGACTGGCGCGGCTTTAGGCATTGGAGCTTGCGTGGTATCGAGTCGGGCCTGAGGCGCAGCCTTTGCAGTTGACTGGGCTGGTTCGTCATCCTCTTCATCGGTCATGAATCCCTCTTCATCCTCATCCTCTTCTTCTTGAGCCTTCTTTACCGCAGCTGCAGGGAATGAGCTTGCTTTCGGTGCTTGCTGTCTCCGTCGCTGCTCTTCCACTCGCCGCTTTCGTTCTTGTTCCTTTTTCGCCTCGATACCCTCTTCTTCCTCTTCCTCCTCTTCGGATGATGGCTCCTCCGCGATCGCCTTGCCGGGACGATACCGACCCACAGGCTTGAGTGGGTTCGCGGTCATCCCGCGATGCTGGGAGGGAGGGGAGGTGGCATTGTGGTGAGTTGTAGAGGAAATGGCTGGCGACGGGCGAATAAAGGTAGGATGTGGTTGAATTGTTCTCAATTTGGATCAAGTGATGGCGCAACAGCCCATAGGTCCGGGTTGAGGACACTTGAAGCTTTTCTGTAGACGTAGAAGCAGAGCTTCGGGTTGAAATTGATATCATCACGTGATGATACCAGGACTACGATGAGAAGGGGATCGAAATAGAAATTGGAGGTAAAAAAGACAAATAATAACAAATTGACTAGCTTAGATTGAATAACTAATAAAATATCATTTGAAATCTTTCCTCAAATCTTCCAGTACCAACCTTTTCGACACCGCAAGTGCGTACACTATCAGCCGGAAGTGCATTATGAGCTACACGTGATCACGCGTCCCGCGCACCGCGTCAACCCAAGAAGCTTCGAAGCATCTCCGAATCTCAATCAGCTAATCCCATACCTCAAAGACCCCTTGAGCACCCCATTAATTTGCATTATTCTCTTTTCGAATCCTCAAAACAACCGCAAAAATGTCCCTTCAAACCCCCCCGCATCCTCCCCGCCCACCTCAACGCCTTCCACCCCTCCAGCTCAGGCCCGCGCTCAACACACACCGTACGCATCCTAGGCACAGTGACTGGACTCCGCGGCGACCAAGCGACAATTACATGTGGCAATAACGGCGATGTCACCCTCCTCTTGAAGCCGGATTCGCATTTGCAGATGGGAAAGCTTGTCGAGGTTGTAGGGAAGGTTACTGATTTGGAAGGTGGTCAGGTACGTTGATTTACAGCGGATACCTTCCTTGCACAAGAGGGTTCCACGTGGAGAATAGATATTTCCAGCGTACAGACTTTCATAATAGTACGAGTAGCTAACTCTCCAACCTTAGGGTCTTGGTATCCGGGTATTGGGCACGACAGACTGGGGAAATCCCTCAGACTGCGGTAGGTCTTTCTTTCGCTTTGAACAGCTCACCAAAGATTTGAGCTTAGTCCATGATGCTGATGCTAATTTTTATCCCCTCAGACTACAAAATCTACGAACAGGTTGTCGAGGCAACCCACCGGTTCAAGTCTATCTTCTACGACGCCGAGTAAAAGGTGACCGATATAGGATGAAGAAGTCGCCTCATTCTCGGGATCGGAATACTACTTAGAAGCTATGTCTTGGAGATCAAGTCGTTCGATGTTGCCTTTTAATTTTTTTTTCGTGTGCCATTAGTACTTTGCATATCGCGTATGATTTCATGATCAATGGAACTTTTTCCCACGGCAATGTTGCACAATAAGAAATACCAAAAATCTTCATTTTGCTGTTGAACACTTCATAATGTCCAAGACCTTGCGTCTAGAAAAGCCTAAAATTTTCAACCGATTCTTAGTTTCAAATTAGCCCTGCTACAACGATCTGCCTTGAACGTGGGCTGATCGAACCTAGAGTTTAAACCTACTCGTAGCGCAGGCTCTGGAGCTGTAACGCAATTGATTAAGGGATATAAGACTTATACGCCCCCGATCCATCTCACAAATGAATTCTCATCTGCTCCCATCTCTCCGTTCTGGTCAATACACTTTACAAAAGATCCCATAGTCTGAATCAATCATTCAAATCTCATTTTTCTTTCAAGAGCGAAGGTTGTTTGGAAGTCCATCTATCTGGTACTTCTGGTCATCACATATAACAAAAAAGAATATCATCACATGAAAACCATAGGACCACCCGCAGGTGAAGACCGGCATGCAATAAAAGGTAACAAGATGGTGTACCTCGCAAACCCAAACGCCGACGCTAAGAATAATCCAATGTGATGCAAGGGTAATAAGAAGTAAAAAGACATTAAGAGCAAATGTGGTAAGGCCGTTGATGTTTATGCGGGAGAGTTGGCTGCCTGGCCACGCTCCTTGGGAAGCTTGGTGGCAGTGGCGGTGATAGTGACCAGACCCACGGGGTCTGTTTGGAGGGCATCGGAGCTGAAGAAGCCCGAGTCCGGGACGACGTTCCCGTCAAAGTTGAAGGGGTTGAATTCGGAGTTGTGTAGGTTCTCTTTCAGGATAGCCGGATCCGAAAGAATTGCATTGATGAGGTCGTCCGAGGGATTGTTCTCTTCATCGGACGCGGTGGGGGAGACGTAATCAGAGGGGAGCCAATCCGCCCAGTTGTTGCCCGAGAACTTATCATTCTCGAGTTGGAAAGGGGTAGGATCGTCGGGGGCTTCCTCGAAAATGTCGAGGATCATGCCATCCAGAGGCGTGAAGGATTCAGAGTGTAGACCAGTATCAGGCAGTGCGGGGACGCCCTGCTTGGTAGGGGACCGACTCTGAGAGCGAGCAGAGCGGGGAGAATTCTCTGGCTCATCCTGGATGCGTTGCAGTCGTTCAGCGGTCAGGCGAGCGGCGGTCGTAGGCACTCCAATATCCTTCCGCCTGTTGGCAGTAGGGGAGTTGCCGGGCAGCGAGTGGCGTCTCTCGTGCAATGCAGCAGGGCGAGTGTGGCGACGTCGAGGAGTAGGGCTGACTGGGAGATCAAAGTCCAGAGAAGGGGCCTCGAAGAGATCGTCAATTTCATCCTGGGGCGTAGGCGCCGAGTTTTCCTTCGCCTGGACCTGCTTCTCACCCTTGCTCAGACGAGGACTGCGACGAGGTGAGCAGCTGTTCATGAACGAAGAACCGAGCTCCTTCAAGGGCCCTTCCTTCTGGGAAGATCCAAACAGAGCGCGGCGCACAGGCTTGGGGGTCAGCTTGGTCTCATCCGGGGCAGGGAAGTTGCGATTCTCAATGTTCCTGGCTGGGCTGGATTGAATAGCAAGCCGTAGGGCCTCGATGGCTTCCTGCTGGTCCCAGCGAGGTTTCTCGCTAGATCGTGGAGGCTCAGCGCTATTTGCGCGACGCCGCTTGTTGGGATACTCTGCTTCATCGTCCACGTCTTGGGCTTGATCCTGATCCTGGCCCTGGTCCGCATCATTCTCCACGTTAGGAGTAGCGCCCTCGTCATTATGTACAGAGGATGCCTCCGTCGGGGCGGGAGATGACTGCGCAGTCCGGATGGACACGGCCTTGCTGCGAGTGCGCGTAGAGGGCTTGGACAAGGGACCACCACTCTGCTTGCGATTCCTAGATGGACGCTTCTGCTTGCCATCGGTTCCGGACGCAGATAGCTGCCGGTTCCATCGATTCTCCGGACGCATACTCTTACACTTGTGAAGCCAGAGACCGCAAGGATTGCAAAGTAGGAGCTGGGTCCATCCCTGGTCCTCGGGGCTCGTCCCCGTCCCAAGACCCTTCTTGTAGAGCCGGAACTTGGTAACCTCTTCCTTGACATTCCTCTCGAGAACTTCCCAGAACAGCAGACCTCGCGTCTTCATCATACTTTTCGCATCTTCTTCACTGCCAGTAATGTCTTTCGTCCATGCTCGCCTCCATGTAGGTGTTTCGATAGTCCCACAATTTTCACAGTAGGGCGGAACCACACCACTTGCAATGGCCGCGTCGAGCCGAGCCTGCACTTGCATCGCCCTCTTCGCTGCACCTCCGCTGCGAGGGGGCCTTCGAGAATACTCAGGTTGGGGCGCAGGCGTCTCGACGATGGAAAAATCACTCATGGGTCCCGCACTGCTCTGGAAGTACTGAGCAGGCGGTTGAACGGGAGCGACTGGGTCACTTGCGGGGTTAGCCCTCCGAAACTGTTCCAATTCGCTTTGTGACATGGGTGCGGGTGCTAGCGGTTTAGGTGTCGGGCGGCAGCTCATGCGCGAAGATGGTCTAGAGCCAGCTGATGTGTTTGGACGTGGAGGATGTGCTTGATTAGACCTTGGCTCCACTGGGCCATCGCTCATTAGCATGGGATCATTCAGACCCTCTGACAACAGACCGATGGCACTCGCGGGAGAAGTGGCCTGCACTGCAGACCGAACTGACCGAGAGCGCTTCTCGCCAGTTACAGGCCGGGAATCGGCCCTCTGAGCATCTTCCACGGGAGTTCCTGCTCCCTCCTCCATGAGATCATCCAGTCCGCCACTCATGAATCCAGAGTCGGTGTCCAGGGAGATGGGAGGCAAGTTGGGACTAGATCGGGATGGGAACCGAGACTCTAGAACAGGAGGCGAAGAAGGCATGTTGAAAGGAGGCTCAAACAAACCCTGGTACCGGTCTTCTGGCGAATTGGCTGTCTGGTCCGTGGCGAAATCATCGCTATGAGCGTAAGGAGATGTGTATGAGCTATTGCTATGCGTGGAGCTTTCGCGCAACAGGCTGGATGGCAGTCGTGTTCGGCGTTGGAAATCCCCAGGTCGGGAGATTGGAGTTGGAGGGCGAACAGGTTCCTCGTGAGATTGCTCTACAGAAAGAGCGGGATTCACAGGTGTTGGGCGGTGGATTCGTACAGAGGCGGCAGTGCTCGCAGCCACTCGGAGGGAGCTAGGCTGTCTTTCAATGTTCATATCAGACTTGCCTGGCCATCCTGCTTGGTAGAGCTTGGCCCTCTTCCGTTGCTGGGGTTCCATAACCTCTTCACCTCCACTACCATACCCTGAGTGGATCGAATCTCTTCTTGAAGGGATACCAAATTGCTGGAGTTGAAAGTCGCTGTCCTGCATAGAAGCACTAGATGAAGGGCGGATGCTATCACTGTAAGAAAAGCTCTGCTTCGGCTGAAGAGGCTGTTGATGCTGTGTAGGAGTACGAGTTCCCGCTGGGGTAGACATTCGGCTAGGAGGGCCAAAGGAATGGGTTGGTGATGACGACCGAACGGACTCGTTGGTTGGATAATTCGAGTAATCCCGCGGCGTGGCGCTCTCACTCAAGAGTTGGTGGACTCTTTCGATGCCCGACTGATCCATTGGCGAAGTCACACGACCTTGTTGCTGGTTCCGAGCGGCTTCCAAAAGAGCCGGATTTTGCCGGAGGAAATTCGTCCATGACTGAGCATCAAAATCGTGGGGAATTACATTGCTCAATTCGCGGTACTTTTGCATACTGTCGAGGTATTGACTTTGCATCACTGTAGGGACAGGGACCAGACGCAGTTTGACTTCCAATGTCTCCTGGGCGCCTTTTGAAAAAAGACCCATAGGATTCTTGCACACTCGACCCGTCACCATCGTCTTGGACTGGTGAGCAGGAGCATCTGGTGTTGGCGACGCAGATGCGAGGACCCATGATAACATTCCCTGTCCTACCAAAGGAGTCTCATATTCGGAGTAATCGTAGGCGTAGACTGTGTAGTCCTTTCCCAGCTGTGCCACCAATTCAGGACTAAATCAGACTGTATGAGTATTCCAATCGGTCGTCTCGAGCGTAGGGGGGCAAGGTAGTCAAACCTGGCAGAAACAATTGCCTGAATACATGTTTTCAACTCGATCACACCGATCTGAGTTTGCTCGTCCAGATAGGCAGTCTGAAGATCGAGCACATGGGGCCACCGAGCAAGGCAATTGGTCTTGTTCTCGTTGTCAAACGTGTACAAGACCTTTAACCTCATCGGTCGGACGGTGATTCCGTCCTGAGATTCCATCTCAACAAAATCTGCTTGTACACCATGCACGACAGCGGTTTGAAGAACAATGTCGAAAATCAGGGAGAGTCAACAGAGAAGGGGGCCGGTCGGTGGGTATCGAAGGTATAAGGAGGCAGGTTCGCAGTTGGAAGTTCGTAGGGAGGGCGTGAATGTGGGTATTGAATAATCCGGCAAGAGGCAATAAAGCTGGCTACATGCACTCCACGTAGTACTCGGAAGGGATGGAAAGTTGGTAGCGGGGGAGTTCCGAGCCAAGCAACTATTGAGAAACCTGGTCGTCCAGGAGAAATGGTCGGTTATGCTGCAGATGGTGGAGAAGACTGCAGCATTGGAATGTTAGCTGGGGTGATTGACAGTTGAGAACCCTCAGCAGGGCGCAATTATCGACCGCTTCTTAGGATAGATTGGTTACGTGGGACAAAAAAGGGCATTGGAGGACAAAAAGGGACATACACCTGCAGAGGAGAGAAAGAAGGGTGGGGGAGCAGTGAGGAGAGTGAGCAAGGAAGGAAAGAAAGAGGCGGGAGAGGATGTAGAAAAGAAGCCTTGCATACGCGGGTTGAAGCTATCCGTCGATCAACAAGCGTGTACGCGACGTGACGCAGCCAATCGCGCACGATTTAATTTGCCTGAATTGTCAGGCCCTCAACCACGGCAACTCGCCTGGTCACGTGAGACATCGAACTTGACGGCCGCGCGATCTTCGCAACCCGACGAGAGACCATCAAGGCCCTTTTATATTCCTCCCTTCCACACACCATGTCGACAGCTCCGGACCCCAAGATTCAGTACGTTTTGCAATCAATGACTCATCATACTCTGAGTTTCTCAGCTGACCCATTTCCTAAACAGAGACCTGCTCAACAAGCCGAAGAGCGAGCTCACGTATGTCTACCTTCTCCCCCCCAAAGCTCGACCACCCTGAGTTTTCCCAATCGCTCGATGGATGAGCATCCCGTTACCCCCCTTCATTTTCTTCCGAGTGGTGCCTAGTCACCTGAACTGCGGGGTTGATAGTATCTCCGACCGACATCTCTTTGCTCTCCCCTCGATCCCATCACATTCCAATGCATGCAGGCAAAGGCATACATAAAACTAATCGTGCATCGCGCATCTTATAGAGAATATGAGGTCGCTCTCGTCGAGGAGCACGAGCTCACCGCCGGCCCTCTCTCGCTTCTGCAGACCGCTACCCGCACACACACCCAGGTCCTGATCTCCTGCCGTAACAACCGGAAGCTGCTGGCCCGTGTCAAGGCCTTTGACCGACACTGCAACATGGTGCTGGAGAACGTGAAGGAGATGTGGACCGAGAAGCCCAAGGGCGGAAAGGGCAAGGGTGTGAACAAGGATCGCTTCGTCAGCAAGATGTAAGTCTGGACTCGGTCACTCAGTTCTCTCTTCCACTTGCGCTATCGCAAATTCATTGATATGGATGGCTTGGCGAATCGGGGATGCTGGACGATTTTGAGTTCTTATCGACTAACCTTTCTCCCTTTCAACCAGGTTCCTGCGTGGTGACTCTGTCATCCTCGTCCTGCTGAGCTGAGCGCCCTATCCCGTCATCTTATCTCTTTCTCGGTCACGTTCATCCCACCCGGGTTGTAACCCCGGGATTCTAGATCCGAATCTGCGGGACGGTTGATCTTCCTGCATCGTGCGCCGCTTACATGCCCACAAAGAAAAGACGGCATTTTTCATCGCTTTGACTTTGTGGGAACAAAAGGATTTCCTCTGTAATCGCTCTCGATACCCTTTTTTCTTATCTACTTTTCACTTGACTCTACAACCCCTCCTGCCGCCCTTGCTTCTGGTCACCGCTAGGGCTATTCAGATCAACGCACTGTTCCCTGTGGAGATAACGTTGGTTTGTAACGTTACTTCGGTCGATGCTCCTGGTCAAAATACGGATGGATAAAAATGAAACTATCTCCGGCGTTCCGTGTTATTTTTCGGGTCGATGAATCCGCGCTTCTAGAGGCAAGCGTTGGGCGGCGTCTTATCCTTGGAGTAGGAGATGTTGGTTAGCAATGAACTTTCTGAAAGATCGTGGATGATTCAAGTACTTCCAGATGTATGGTGATGTCCGACTTCGATTGTAGTGTGCGGAGTAAATTGCTATCCGATGCCTGAGAATATCTTGCACCTTCGTACTAACTACAACTCAAGCCATGTATAGGTTACTCCTCCCACCTTTCTTTAACTCTATGCTGACTGTAGACAAAATTCACCAACATGCTAAATGATATAGTGACATGGCGATATACAGATCGTGCCCGGTGGGTACTATTTACACACCAATATATTCAACCAGACAACTCAAGGTTCACTGTCATCATCATGAGATTATATTAGAACAAGACCGCAAGAAACAACCCAAAAATGGTCCTCGAGTCAAAAGAAACGCTATTTATACCCAAAAACAAGCCACGAAAACTGCATGCATCTTCCTACCACCACCACCACCAAGCAGTCCAACATCCCATCCCCACTAAAGGACGAAATCAAAATCTAAACCGCCTCCGCCAACCCCGTCAAAAACTCACTAAGCCCGTAAGCACCGGGATCAGGCACCTTCCCAATCCACTCCGCCTGACCACCAACATAAACCGACCTCCCAAGACTAGCCTTCATACTCTTCGTCGACTCAGTTCCCTGCTGCGCCGCCGCAGCCGCAACCCGCACATCCTTCGTCTCGAGCAGCGTATCGCAGAACGGCACCAGCGCATCCATCAGTGTACGGTCACCCGGCTTCGCGGGCGTGTACTTGGCCAGCGCGGTGACGGAGTGTTTCAGCGCTTTGGCCCAGACTTCGGATGTGACGGGGAGATTGGAGCCGGAGCCGGTGTCCTGGTCGCGGAGGCCGTGGGCGAGCGCGTTGAGGAAGATGGCATAGATGGCGCCGGATGTGCCGTCCATGACGTTTTCGACGACTTCGACGATGCGGAGGACTGTGTTGACGGCGTCGTCGATGAGGGGGTTGAGGTGTTGTCGAGGAGTTTTTGGATGGCTTCGGCGCCGCGCTTGAGACCAATGCCGCAGTCGCCGTCGCCGACGATCGTGTCGTAGCGGGTGACTTCGGGCTCGGCGGCGATGACGCGCTGAAGGCCGGCGCTTAGGACCTTCTTGATGATGGCCGGGTCCACTGTGATGGGAGGTTAGTTTTGGGAGGAGATTGATTTCAATCCGAGAAATGGAACTTACGCTTCAGATTACTCGGTGTCTCCTCGACGATATTGGACACCTTGAGCTCGACCGGCGTGTCGATACGCTCGTTCCATGTAGAGGTGTTGATGGGGGCAGCCCAACCGACTGCCTCGGCAGGGGCATCGATCAGCTCGAGCATGGATTTGCCCGGACCCAGGCCATTGTCGGCCAGCTGCAGCAGCGAGATGCTGAAGCCCATACCGTTCAGGCTGGTCAGGAAGGTACCCTGGAGGACCCGGACAGGCTTGGCCTTGTGATCACGGACCAGCTGACGGTGCACCTCGTCGGTGATGCCGGCCAGCTCAATAGGGCTAACACCACCCAGGTTGTTGACCAACAGAACGAACTCATTATCCGGGTTGCGCTTCAAAAAGGCGCGGTCAGTATCGTTCGGGTCCAGCAACTGCGTGAGCATAGTCGAGACCGTCTCAACCAGGTTGGCCTTGGTGCGATGAGATCCAGGCTCATTGTGAATGCCCATGCCAATCTCGACTTCGCCATTAGGGATGAAATCCTCCGGCACGCCACGACCGGGAACGTGGACGTGCTCCAAGGATGAACCAATGGAGACCAGATTCTCATTGGCGAATTGTGCGAGCTTATGCACCTCCTCGAGAGAACCACTGCATGAACCATCGTCAGAATTGACCAGTTCCAATCTATGAAGATAGGTGACAGCCAACTTACCCAGCCTCCGCCAGAGCACCGGTCATCTTCAAGATGAGCACGCCACCAGCAATACCCCGACGACCGACTTTACCACCCTTCTCCCGACCAACGCCGACATCATCGTTAATCGCAAAGAACTCGGTGCGAATACCAGCAGCTCGGCATTTCTCCGCGGCCATACCAAAGTTCAGCACATCCCCGGTATAGTTATTCGGAAGAATGAGGACGCCAGCGTCCGTCGCGACCCGATCAATAGCAGCACGGCGAATCTGCTCCGCCGAGGGCGAGGCGAAAATCGTTCCAGCAACTGAGGCATCGCAGAACCCTTTACCAACGAAGCCCGCAAATGCAGGCTCATGGCCCGAGCCACCGCCGGTTATGATGGAGACCTTGCCAGGTCTGCGGGAGGCATCAGGGCGGCGGAAGATGATCTTGTTTTGGGTATCCAAGGCCAGGGATGGGTTTGTGAGGGTGAGGGAGTTGAGTGCGGTCAGAACCAGATGGTTCGGATCGGAGAAGAAGTGCTTGGCTGGGAGGAAATGTCAGATTCAAGGTTCTTTTGGGTTGAACAGAAGGCCAGTTTGCGCTTCGCTGTAGATCCAAGAGCAGCGGAGATGAGAGGGTGATGGAGACTTACTCTGCATTATTATTGATCAAAAATGGACTTGTCCAGTTTCTCTTGTTTGCAAGGCTTTTTGTTGCGTTTTGTTGTTCTTCGCGTCGTTAAATTCCAATGCGAACCAACCGCCTCGGTATATCAAACACGAAAATCTGGGGAAACTCCACGCGGGAGTATCAGGGGGGATTTATATAATGCTTTTTCTTTGCGCAACTCGTCTTCAGTGCTGCCACAGGCCAAGTCGCCAATCGGCAAGCTGTCGTGTAATTCACAGGTCCGAGTGTCCGCCGAGTAAACCTGGTACAGTCGCCGATGGACAGCGGGTCGCGGATTGGACTTTGCGGCGATGCGAAGGCGGGGAAAAAGTGGGGGGTTGACGCAGCGGGGACGCTGGGGAATTCACGTTAGCTGATTTCCAACAAGAATAATAATAATGGCCGGGGAGAATGGGAAATTCGATCTGAGGGATTCGTGGGGTGATTTTGGGGGGTCGCAGAAGTCGTTGTGTGGGAGAGAGAGAAGGGGGCACTGTACTGTACCTATCGGAAATATCGACAAAAGTATACACGAAGCCGGGAAGTATACACACCAGGAATGGTCAACGGGAGATTGATCAACACATGAGCGGGGGATCCCTCCTCTTTATGCCGAGCTCCAAACTTTCAATTCCTGCTTGCCACTGGTCTTGTTCATATTTCCTGATCTTTTTTTATTTTTCTGCTGCCCACATGAACCGAGATGCTCCCGCTGCTGCGCCGGTCTGGACCGTAGGCGCTTCGGCTTACCCTCTACGGATATCCCGTCTCCCCGCCTCCCCGCCAGGCACCGCATTCTACGACCGGCTCGAAAATAGCTATGTACGACTTTAGGACCATGGAATACTTGCGTCTCTATAGCGGGGAAAGTGGCGGACGGAGCTTATCGTCCGAAACATACACCGCTGGGAAAAACGGGCGCAACCAGTCAATGGATCATTCTCGCCCGAGTAGTCGACAAACTGCTGCGATGCACTCCTCCTCCCCCTTGCAACCGACGAGGCTCATACAGCAGGTTAGCCGGAATACATGTCGCCTTCCTTCTTGTACTTATATCCTGGATACTAAGAAAACGAAGTTTCAATTGACGATGGGAATTGATCACTCACGACTAGATGTTAGTAGTCGTGTTGATAGATTGCAAACCTACTTGAATTATGAACTATATAATCCAATAGTTTGGATTGGGTGTCTATTCTCTTCTCCAAAATTTAACCATGATCTGTCTATACTTACCAAATATGTCCAGACGAAAAGACGAAAGCGGGGACCAGTACAGGGCCCTCGATGTACTTAGTCAATACACCGAGTGGAGAGGCAAAGGCTATCATGAGACCAGCAAAAAAAAGACGTGCTCCAGATCGCGCCAGGCCCGCGCTGTCAGATCGTTGAGGTGGGGTCTCCTGGTTCGACCATAGTTTATACCTTATACCCCTGGGAAAATAAGAAAAGCGCAGGATATACAATAGGTCCATTAAGTTCTATATCGGGGAGTAGAGGACATCCTGAATTAGCACGAGGTGGGTGTATTGTCCGACCAATTGAGTTACACGGTCATATATCCCACATCCCTATGACTTCCATCTCCTCAATTGAATCGATTCAATACTATGGATAGCATTCCATCGAATAAGTAATGATCGTACTGTAGGAATCAGGTGCTGGCCCCACCACAAAGTCACGAGCAGCCCCAGCGGGGCCGAACGTGCATTAAGATACAGTCCAGATTTACAGATGTGCCAGGGGGATTAATCATTTCGCAGGGTACATCTCGTATGATTCGAACTCGATCACGTTGGCATGGACAGCATCATGCTTCATTTCTGAGCAGTTCAATGGTTAATAGCCCTATTATTGTCGAGAATGATGAGCTAAAAGTAATGGACCTTGGGTACCTCTAGAGATCGAATGCTTATTGCTTCCTCCAAGGAGTCCAGCTCTGGACCTGAACGAACGGTACGCGCTCCCCACTACAGTACACAGAACTGCCGATTCATAGTACGGACTATGAAACATGGAATACACAGTTTCTAGTAGCAGGTTAGGGAGCCCCTACTACTCTGCCTCCGATTGTAGTGTCCCGGTACTCGGCATATGGGGGGGCTCGGAGCTACTCCGACCATTCTTTTGTCTTCCACTCGGGTTCTACCGAAACAGCTCTTGAGAGAGCGTTAGGTGAAGAGATCAAATTATTTCAAAACGCCGAACAAAAAATCATGCCAGATACATGTACAGTCCTGAAAGGCAATGAGTATTATTTCCATTGTTCAATTGCACAATCCTAAGCGCTGGCCCGGAAACTGGAAGGGTGGGAAAGGAAAACCACAACCAAAAAAAAAAAAAAAAAAAAAAGGCAAACCGACGCGCCCTTCCGGTCCCAAAATGGTAATCCCACGCACCGCTAAGTAAAAAAGAGAGAAAAACAGAATTCCGAATCCGCTCGCCTGAGGCGTCCTCTTCTATGCCACGTATCTGTATTGGTTGTTCTCGGCTCGCTCCATGTAGTCCTTTTCGATTAATCTGTATTGGGAGAAGAAGGTTAGCACAAACGCTCACCGGACACAAAAGGAGAGAGCCAAAGTATTCTACAAAACGGGGCGCTATCATACTTCTCAATGTTCGTCTTGATCTCGGCGGGCTGGAGGGTGCCGCGGTGACGAGTGGCCTCAATCACCTCTGCAATGAGCTCGGCATGCTTGATGGTCTTGCGACTCTTCATGATGCGCACAATCGCCGCCTGAGTCTCGTAGTGCCGGTCGGCCGCAACACGTTCGTGGGTCGTCTTGTTCTCCTCCTTGGTCTCTTTCAGCTGGATTTGGTTGATCTTGATGCGCATCTTGGCATCGGTGAAGCTGGCATTGTAGGAGAAGTCGTCGGTCGTTTCTACCTCTTTACCCTTTGGCGTTTTGGTCAAGACCCGGTATTTGGCGCAAGCGAGTGACTGCAAGGTTCGCTGCAGTTCAGGATCCGCTGAAGGGGAATGTTAGTTGGGCGTCAATCACGGTACAGAGGAATCACTTACAAAGTCCCGTCGCAGCCTGGATTTCCGAGTAGCGCAATGTTTCATCCTCGCCGATGTCGTTGAAGAGAAGCAGCACGATTGCCTGGAACGAGCTGACTACCAGTTCCTTGGAACCCTTGGGGAACTTGGCACGCAATTGGCAGTGTGCGAGCTGGTGCTTCCAGTTGAGCCGGCGACCGGTGTGTTTGTTACAATAGAACTCTTGGAAGTCATTGATCGATGTTGCGATGATCGATGGGATCCGGACAGGAACGTCAGCATATGTCGGCCACGCGGCAGCGGAGAGCACATTGACACTGAGGTCAATCGGCAGGCGGTCCTTGCGACCACGCTCTCGGTTGAAAGCAGTGTACGCCGTCATCTCATCGCGCGCCACTTCCATATCCTTGAACATAGTCTCGAGATTATGTGTAAAGCTTGATCCACATTCTAGTGAAGGTCAGTCAGACCAATAGCACAGACAGATGTGAATCTGCACGAGTATATACCTTTCTTCAGACGACCCAGCATACTCTTCTCAGCGTCGTCGCTTGCACTTCGGCCCATCAATAGACGCCTAGCAAGGTCGTTCTTGTAAAAGGCTTCAAATACGGCCTTGCCTTGTACAAACCGGAATAGGTCCAGGACCTGGTCGAGCTGGCGGTTGATCTCGGCATCCTCATCCGCCATTGCGCCCTCTTGTTGACTAGCAGGCATCTTCCAACCCCCCTTTCAACAACCGATCCACGTACTTGGCGATCATCTCTCCGGTCTTGGGATTGTCGGTGCCAGCAGTGGATTCCCCCCTCTTGCTAAGGTTCATGAACTGGCCGAATGCCTCGCGCAGAGTATGACCGAGACCTTCATTCCGATCGAATGACTCGGTAAGGGTATCATCGAGCTGTTTCTTAAACTGCAGTAGATGCACAACCATGTCCGGCTCATTCTTCTCGTCGAATACAATGTTCGAACCCTCCTCGACAATGAAATGACCGAATGCAGACTTCAGTTTGCTTGCCAGATTTCGCCGGTTGAGAAGACTGTACAGCTGTTTCAAGGCGGTCTTTTTGCCCGATCGCATCAGACCGAGCACGTCATTCTCACTGAGGAGAACTGCTTCGTGTTTTGTGACCAGTATCTCATCCAGCAACTCAGACAGCTTTTGTTTTGTACTTCGATTTAGTGAGAATAGACCACATCGTTCGACTTCACGGTCGATCAGATGCTGACTGTTCTCGACGTATGAAGCCAGATCCCCGGTGGATTCCCTTTGCGCCCATGACTCAACGAAGCGGCATGAGTCGTCAATGAACAGCGGCTCAAAGTCATTGCTGTAGACATCAAGGCTGTGGAAGAGCTCAATAGCATCCCGAAGTAATGTTGCATCAGGGATGATGCTGGTCTCGGCACCACGGTCGGCAGCGATGAGATCGCAGGCACCTCGTAATATCTTGGGCTTTAGACTCTGATCGGCGAATACATATGCGCGAAACTGGATCAGTCCCATTTCCTGGATCACGGGGAAATCCTTGGAGTGCAAGAGGAATGACTGGTCGAGATAGTAGAAGATCCAGCGAACAGTAATCTGTAACAAGGTTAGTCCTCAAAGTGATGGCTTTGAGAGGTATAAATGACGTACTAATCTCGAGTGCCAAACCGACCAGGCCTCGATCACTGCCCGCAATGTATCGACATCGGTTCCACCTCCAGCCCTTGTTACCAGGTTGTCCCGTAGCTTCCCAGCTACATAGTCCTTGCACCTTTCCTGTACCTTCTTGGCAAGCAGGGCGGCCCGCTCTTGACGACAGATGTTCTCGGCACCTTTGTACAGCTCTTCCAACGAGATTTCTGGCTTTTGACCATCGAAGATTGCTGATAGAGCAGCGTCCAGTTGTGCCCAGGTCTTGTCGAAGTATGGCTCTTGGTTCATCCGCGGTCCGGTACGGAGGTTCTTGACGACAAGCTTCTTTGCTCCCGCATGAGGGCTGAAGTTGTTCTGGCGAGCATTTGCACTGAATGGCTGTGCCTTTGCTAATGGAGTATTCGAATTCGATCCTGTCAAGGTGCGCACAAAAGCTGCACCGTTCTCGGGCGGGGAACCAGAGAAGTTATACATCTTGTCTGATAGCACCGGATGACCCGACGCGGAGCGCGAAGGTGAAACAGAGAAGCGAGACCGTTTCGAGGGAGGAGAGGGGTTCTGTGAAAGGTTGTTGCGCGAGGGATTCGAGGAGAGAAGCTCCGAGATGGTCCGTTGCGAGTGCGGTTGTGATGGCTCTCCTTGATCGGGAAGCTTCCTCTTGCCGCTCGATTTGCGCTTACCGCTCCGCTGATCGGGGTCGGCGCTCGAGTTCTGCTGCATCCAGCCGGTTCAGTCCGACACGTGGGAGAAGCTTTCAACGATGGATGGATGGCGATGATCGATCGAACATGTCTCTGCCAGGGCGGTCTGGGCGGAGTCGTGCGGGCTCGGGTGTTGAGGGAATTGACGTTGCTCCTCCTCTGGCGACGGTTGTCAACCTCCGCACGGCGATAAGATAGCACCGGCTTCGGGCCTGGACAACCACCGTCATAGGCCGCATCGGATTTATGTCTTGAGGCCGCCTTTAGACATTTCATAGTCCCTTAAATTGTGAGATCATCAACTTGGTCTATCCACCTATACTCAGAGTTTTGAGAATGTATTCAAATGTCCCCAAAATGTGACCCGTCATTCTGCGGGCACAGGCAAGTAATCGTGGCTGACATCCTACATGCAAGTATACGTCCAGAACCTAACCCTTCAACGCCCTGAACCGTACACTGGGGCCCGCTGCAGTGAACTATCTACTCAATCCTAGAATGGAAAGCCGAGAACATGCTCAGTTGATCTGGCTAGACGGATATATTCATTCATCGTCGAGCCAGAAATGAAAAAAATGCATTCGTGAAAATGTGACTCGAAAATCGCTCAACCTCCTACTCCGCTGATATATTACACGCCATCCTTCCCGATCCTATTCCACATGCCGTTCCCAAAAGCAATCTAAGCTCATGAAAACAGAACGGGCCGAGTGTTCTGCTGCATTTCTTGGTCCTCAAACTGCGAACTTTTAGCAACATTATCCAAATCAAGCTGGGGAAAAACAAACCTCAAGGAAGTCAGTAGCGGTCACTAGGGCCATAAATGACTTGACGAGTTCGCAGAGGGCTTCATGATGAGTGGCACTGGTACTGCCTCCAATCTTGGCAAACCGCTTGAACACACCGACCATGCAGGGCCGATTCTCGGCGATGAAGGCTCGAGTCTGTGCCTTGATCTGCTCATTGTGGGCTCCCCGGGAGAACACGGCAGAGACAATGACACGGATCACACACAAAAGCAAGTCGTAGTACTTTCGGAGGGCATCCGGGTTATCAATATCTGATTATGTCAGTAACAGTGCCAAGAAGAATACACATATTGATGCCGAGACTGACCAATGCCAATGTCGGGATCCGCAGCGAACAGCCGCGACTCATGGACAGAATCGAACAGACCGGACTTGAGAACATAAGTGGCTCCGGTCTTGGTCTGAGACAGCTGCTGGAGCAGCGCTAGTAGAGATTCGTAGTATGCCAACAAGGAAGAAGTACCTGCAAACGCGATGGTTAGTCAGACTCGTGGACGATTTGGACTAGAAACGAAACTTACCAGCTGCCTGTGCATTCCGGAGTTCAACGGGAAGTGACCTGATTGCGTCGAGGAAGAGACTAAGATAGTTAGACTGGGAGATTAGCTCAGCGAGAACACAATCTGTTCGGCTATCCAGAGCGGCCAGGCAGTTCAAAAACAGAAGTGCTGAAGCACGGCAAGCCTCCTGGCCAGTATAAGCATCGTCGCAGACGGCCTCTACAAGGGCAGGGCCTGCAGTCTTAACGATTTGCTGGCTGTGACGGCGCAGGCTCTCGTGCGTGATATCGGATGATGTGATACGGGTGATGTAGTGGGAGCCGATGCTGTAGAGAACTTCTCTCAAAGACACGTTGCCCGAAGCCAGCATGATCCCACGAATGGACACCTGGAAGAGCTGGTGAAGCTTCTCATCGATGACATCTCCGCTGCGAGAGGTAGGGGTCCCAGGAACATCGGATGCAAGCTTGCTGATCAAGGTCTCTGCTAAACGCGCGAGCTCGATGGCTTCTAGCGATTCGTTTTCAACTGAGATTTCGAGCTTGGGCAGAATCATCTGAATGGCGTGTAGGATGAATGTCGGCCTAGTGGCGTCGTCCAAGACGGAGCAAGTAGTGATGGTGGTGACAAGCTCTGCCCAGGATCGAAGGGCGAGATAACGGTTGTAGCTAATTTGCCGGCTTTGGTTGGTTGCAAGAATGAAGATCTTCAAGCTTTCCGCTTCAGCCTCGAATTGTTCTTCGCTCTGAGGTCGTGCTAGACCAGAAGCAAGCAACTCCGATTTCCGAATATGGATCAACTCCTCAACCTTGGCAATATCGTAAAGAACCAACGTGTCTCGCTCTTGGCTGGCACAGTCTTCAACGGCAATATTGCTCAGGAAGGTGAGTTGAGGTGCATGGAAGTTGCGCGAGACATCGAGGTCGGCGAAGTCAAAAAGATCGAACACGGACGCATTAGAGACGGATTCACCATTTTCCAAAGTCGAGCTTCCGAGAAGAGTTGATAGAATCCCGGCTTGGAGTGTGGGCGATCCGACTTTCGCTGCAGAGCGGATCTCCGTGGCAGCATATGCAAACAGATGGCTTCGGTAGAGCAGGAATTCTGCCAAAGCCGAAGTCGCATCGGTGACCCAGAATTCATCAGTGGAAATTAGATGGCCATTCCAGGGGCTGTTGGGCCCGACGATGGGTTGTCTGGTGAACATGTTCATCAGGAATCCATGCGCGCGCATCTCACCGAGAGTGAAATACGTCGCGAGCTTCGAGGACCATAGATGCTTGAGAACTTCGAAAGCCATGCGCTTGAGGTGCACCGTGTATGATATAATGGTTCCACCCAACTCATCAGGGTAAGCTTGCAGGAAGCCAATGATGGCATGTAGCAACGACATCTGATTGGCAAACAAGCCATCCGAAGGTATATCAAGAATATTCCCCAGGCAACTGAAGCCGAGTAGAAGATGAGCTACTGTGGGGCGATCTGTGATCATACCCAGGCAGCGATTCAAGAGGGCCAGAAGGCTTTCTCGAATCACATAGCCAGCTGCCTGTGGCCCACACTCTAGTTCTCTCAGGTCCGGGTCCATCATGGAAACAAGTGAGCGCGCAACACTGTCAACATCCACCTCAGTAGCAAGCACTTCAACGATCTTGTTTGAAGACTGCCACTTTGTAAGTTCTGGCGAGGACATCTTGTTGAGTTTGCATGAACTTGTCAGTTTCTCTAGCAGAGCCATAGAAGTGACGGTCAGTTGCTCATGCCCCGTGCCGCAATACAGACAAAGCGCAGGCACCAGAGACAAATTGTTCAGGACACTATCTTCAAACGAAGCGAGAGACGAGTTTGCAACGGTGGAACGATGTCCCACCGAATTGGACTTGATCATTGGCTTGACAACGTTGAAGTAAGTCGACTGAAGATCCATAATCAAGTTCATCACCTCAACGCTGCGGAGTAGTGTCAGGACCAAAACTGAATCGGACGAAGCTTGAGCGACTTCCGAGATATCTAGTTGACTGATTGCGAACAGTGCTTTCAGGACATCCTCGTTGAAAAGCCACTCCATCACACGGGAAAACGCATGAAGGCGAACGTAGACCTCGAGGTTGGAAGCTTTAACAGCAGAGTCAGCAAGAGAGGGTTGGCTGAGAACAGTGACAAGATCCTCATTGAAGGTCCGTAAGCTAGTCACCACGAATTCCAAACAATTGTAAGTCAACAAGCGGGATTGGTAGGTATTGAGATCCTGAATTCTCCGAGAAAGAGCGTGACCCAGGATGAAGTCAATGTAAGGCTCAATTCCAGGCATGCGATATGCGGCCCCCAACGATTCCGGGAATGCAAGGGACAATGGTTTTTCACTAAAGTCGGAGGTAGGCGTGACCATCGAATTGATAAGAACCACAAAGGCATTGGTTTGGTCAAAGCTTGCACCAATCTTCTGCAACGCCTGCTGTTCGTACCATAAGCTATGGTTGGAATGGGCGGGGGCTTTCATAAGGGTTGAAGCCTCCCCCGCTGGTGCACTGATCAAAAAGGCGTTGACTGACTCCCACATATCATTGCCATGAACGGGGGTTCTATCGGTCATTAACGCGGAGAGTGTAGTGAAGATGGTTGCTCTGAGATGAGTTGGGATTGGCCCCTTACACAAAGTCAGAAGTTCCTCCGCGACCTTGAATGATTGATTCTGAAGCATCCATTCTCGGATGGCTCCACTCTGCTTGCACAAGTGACCCATGAGACGGAGGTAACAGGTGAGCATAACGGGGGATTCAGGCTCGCTCATATCCACAGGGCCTGGCTTTCGAGCACGCATCAGGCCCTGAGTAGTATGCGAAGTCTGGCCGCTGGCTGGAGATTTTTCCGTGACTCGGGTGGCATAGAGGTGAAGTTCAGCAAACATCTGTGTCCAGTTCATGTTTGTAGACCGCTTCAACTTGGAAGTTAGGAATTTTTCCTCCTCTGTCAAAAACCTGTGCGCGGCAGCTGCATTTTCCTCTCCTTCTGAGATAGAGCAGAGCATCTCGCAAAAAGCACTGACTCTAGGGACTGTTTGACGCTTAGAGGCCCATTGGAGGAAACCATAGAGGTTGCCTTCAACGTCGCCCCAGAATTCCTGCGCAGCATCTTCCCGGTGTTCAAAAGCAAATGAAATGATCATCAGGAGGGACTCAAGGTGAGTTCGCGCCTCCACTAGACCGCGATTCGTACTCGACGTTAGACCATCTCTCAATGCAGTTATTTGATCCAATCGCTGCGTATCTTCTTCTGATTTGAGTTTTCGAACAGCATCTGGCATGTTCGCGATGCAGGATTCCACAAACACCTCGAAACCCTCCATCAAAAGTTCTTTCATGTAATTGCTGCAGGAACTGGAGTCCGGTAGACTGATCAGGCTTTCTTTCAAAAGCAATGTCACTAGTTCGCTGCGCGCGGGGTCAGCCCATTCCTCGATGTTGACGCTGGCACAGATTGCCAACATCAGGTCGAGCGCCCCATCATCAAGAGATACCATGAACATGTCCGTACGCTCTTCTGCTTCTTTCTCTGGATCAACACCGGGGATATCATCTGATGAGCCATCGTCAAAGTACCACCCGCTGTAGATTGCTAGCCACAACGCAGTGATAGCAGCTTGGAAATTCGGGAGCTTCCATGTTTGACCATCCGTGGCCTTGGTGATCACTTCGTGCAGGAACCGAGCCTCGATTCGAGTACCCGAGCTTTCAGGAGATCCGTGACGAACAAAGGACGCGATTGCAACCGGAATGTAGTGAATGAGTAGTCCATCCAAACGGTCTAGCTTCTTCAGATGGGCGATAAGGAGGCGAAAGTCCTCGACGCTAGTGAATGTGCCCTTGAAAAGATAGCGTAGGATGGCCCCAAGCGACTCGTGCTGCTGTTGAAGGCTGTGTCGTTGATATTCAATAGCTTCCATGATGTCGCGATCCTCCTCCTGCCCCACGATAGAGGCCTTCTGAACCTGGTCTCCGAGAAGTGACAACCACTTTTCGACGTCTCCCATGGATTCCAAAGCTTTCCTGGCGAACAACGACGCGTTCTGCATTTGTCTATTCTTGGTGTCCAAAACGAGCGCCAGGGTTTCCTGCATGATAGGCTGAATGTTCTCTGGGCCTTCCGATTCGAGAGATTCGCGGCAAATCAAGCGTAAACATTCGAGAACAAAATTGCGGCGCTCATGGAATCGCATTATCGCAGTAATCAGAGGAGGTCGATCCAGGATCTGCGAGTCTTCCTGGGCGGCAAGAAACATCATCGCCGCCTCCAGCTCGTCAATGTTCAAGGCGTCGGCAAGCTGCAGTGTGCCTTGTTGAAAGTCTTCGTTGATGGAGTACTCGACGTCGGCAACCGTGATCTTGCCTATGTTCATGCGCCAAAGATTAGAGACGTACCTCCGGTAAAAGTGAAGCGAAAATTTGTGATTTGTGACAACCACTTACCCGAAAGTACTGTTTGGCGACTGGCATTGCTCTTCGCAGGCTTGTCTAGGAGTTTTTGGAAGTCCTGAATATGTGTTTCCAATTCGATCATTAATCGGTCAACATTCAAGAACGAGCTGTCGGAGATAGCCGAAAGATCCTGGTATAAGCCTCGCAGGCTTGCCAGGTTCTCGTGAAGCTCTGCCATGACGGCGCGGGGTGGTGGAAGTGAGAAGGGTAGCTTCGAGCTCTGTTGTTTCCTGAAAGGCGGAACGCGATCAAAATTCCGGGCGGTCATCCGCTTGGGCAGTACTGCCGCTCCACAACACCGCAACGGATGAGAAGCTATTGCCGACACGCGAACGCCTGGACCGCGACATGACTGGCTGAGGTGAATCATTCTAACTGCGAGAAATTGGAAACCTGATGTCAACGATTTATGCGAAAGCCCAAGACGAGCGGCTGCTGCGCCCAGCGCAATGGGGGAGATCTATTTGGACAAGGCGCTCGGGTTGCTGTCTTCGGACAAGCAGAAGGAACGAGCTGATGGCTTAGCAGGTATGCTCCTCTCAGTTTTCATGGCCATGACTGGGCTTTTAAACTAATGAGTCTTTAGATCTCAAACACATTCTGCAGCAGAACAAACAGAGCCCTAAGCTGTAAGTGCTAGCATTCTAATCAATGCAACTTCCCCTCAGTGGATAAGCTAACACGCGGTCTGAATCATTTCAAGACTGGAGCTTAGCGATAAAGCCTGCCACAAGATATTTGAAGCTCTCTTTCGCTTTATTGCGGTTGAGCGATCGATTTACATCCGCGCCCAACGATCGAACACCAAAAGCCCGTCAACCACCCGGTTGTCAACATGCGCCTCGGTGTTTCGCATAGCAGTCGACACCTTTCTGCGCAACATCCGAGCGAAAACAGTGCGCGCAATCCTTGATCATATCACTGAGACAATACCAGTTCCTGGGGAAGGCCTGTGGGAGCCGCTAAGTGGGGACTACACGAAATGCTTAACGTCGCTTCTTCAATACCCTCCCCATACTGAGCATCTGGGCGATGCAGACTGGGAAAGGCTCATTGATTTCTGCCTCGATGCGATAACTATACAAGAGAGCAGCGACGAGAGCCAACTCAGCATCCGCAGTGGACACCGGTGTGCACCCGAAGATCTGCTGGATGCAAGTGATGGCCGCTCGACCCCCCAAAGGATGACACCCGCCCAAGGAAATAGAGAGAAATTTGTGGGCGATAGAAATACCGTCGGAGAAGTCCTAGCGTGTACCCAGCTTCTGACATCAAGTCCCAGCGCCCCCATACAGGCTGCTGCGGAGAGCATCCTTCAAGGGCTTGTTGAACTTGTCAGATCACCATCCTTGAAGGCCGGAAATGCACAGCAGCTGGCGTTCAGTAGTATCAATACAGTTGTTTCCAGAATCTTGTTCGACCAGTCCGAGCTGGCTCGGTCGACTCTGACGGATCTGATCCCAGTAATTCGACGCCTGTGGACCACTAAGCTCCAGAGCCTGAAGGATGAGCTTCTTGCCACAACCATGCTGTGTCTGGTCATTTTCGCGGATGCAGCTCATAAGAACCCGTCTGATTCGCTTGTCCGCTCAATTGAGGGACTGGCAAGCTCCATCCAGGCCGAATATGTGAAGCGGGCTGATAGGGAATTGCTCCAGGTTGACGAGACGGTCTTCTACCAAAAAAGAGGAAAAGGAAATGGACCTGTCTATGGGCCTCGCCTGGGAAATTCTCGATCAGAGCACAACTGGACTGTGATATGGGCCCTTGCAAACTTGCTTAAACTGGCCGAAAAAGCCGCTGTTCAGGAGCCCGATGAAGCCGATTCTGAAGAGCTCTCAAGCAAGAGACAACGTCTCACATCAGGCATAGATGATGTATTCCGTGATGCAATATCTGGAACAGGCGCGCAGAGGATCTGCGCCCTGCAATTAGTCCCTTTCCTTGAGGCCGATGTCGACATTGACACAAAGGATTCTTTTGTTCAACGGGCTATCCCGAGCATTCTCGATGACAACAGCACAATCTCAACTTGGACATTGATAGCACTGACAAGGTGAGTGGTTGTATCATCCATTCAGGTGCTGATACTAATCAAGCTTTTTAAAAGTGTCGTTGATGGCCCAAGTGCCCGGCATCATCAACTGAAAGGATACTGGCCGCAATCTGTGGATCTCGCAACTCGTACCTTCTCCTCTTCTGTAACTTCCAGAGCGGCTTGCAATTTTTTGCGTACAATACTCGAGGCAGATCTGCTGGAATACTCCTTCGTGTCAGAGAACATACGATCATTGCTCTCGTCCGCGAATTTGAATGGTCCTTCCGCCATCTCCGACTCGGCTCTGCAGATGTGGGCATCGATAGCCCGGAAGAGGTTACATCTGAGTCCTGGAACAGCTCAAAATGCGTCACAGCAAATTTGCAGTTGGCTGAGAGAAGTATGGACGATTGGTACGTCAGCTAAACGATCTTTATGTGAAACATCAGCCACTTAACTTCCCCGCAGGTAATCTCACAGATCGACTTCAAACTGCTCAGATCGCCATGTTTGCCCGCCCGCTCAATCTACTCGACTTGTTCATGGCATGTACTAATCGACATTTCGAGATTCCTGATCTCCGACATTATGGGCCGTCGGGCTTCGTGGCTCGGTTTTGGTTCTACTTCCATGAAAACAAGGAACTCCTGCGATATATGTTCAGCACAGGTAGTGCTATCATGCATTCCAATCCTTGGAACCATGGAGACTTATGGTCCTTGAAGCCCTCGGCTCGCCAAGATCCAGATGATACCGTGATAATTGAAATGTTGCGAGCAAAGTCTGAGACGTTCCTGCAATCATGGAAGACGATAAGCGAAGACAGATCGCTTCACATCACCGCGGACGTTCTGCAAATCTTGATCTCTTTCTGCATTGTTTGTTCACTTTTTGGGGCATGCCTTCCTCGGCAGTCAAGCTCTCGAGTGCAAGGTCTTCAGCAGAACTGTAATGCTCTATGGACTTCCATTTGCGAGCATTTGTCAATACACGAGTCGACTGCCATCCAACCGTGTCTTGAAATCCTATCACCAATTCTCGCTTCAGAGTCCGAAATCGAGTTGTCCGGCATTGGGGCCTCTCTCCATCCACTTCTTGGCCCGTTGGCGGCAATCCTCGAAAAGCTTCGCCAAGGCTTGAAAAGGGACGCGCCTAATCAGATAGATATCATGGACCTGGACGACCGCTTGACCTACCAAGGAGATGAGGTCTTCACCAACCAGACAATTCTTGCCTCCAACCGAGCGGCGACTTGTCTCTTCTCTGACATTGCCACATTTCAACGCTGCGAGACCCTTCGACTGTCAATCTTGTTGAGAGCACAAATTGAGAACATTGCTGATGAAGTTCCGAGGTCAACTATTGTGGAGTATCTCACAGACCTGGACGAGTCTGACCTTTTATCCGCGCAAGGAATTCTCCCTGCAGTTTATAAAAGGTGCTCCAAGTTGCAGCGGGATGACCTGATTCAAGTTCTAGAGGACCTTGGTGAGAAATGTCTACAGTCATATGAAATGGAGCGTTGCGAAGCTTCACACGACATATGCATTCGCATGATGACGGCTTTCGTTGCGGCGTGGACAGATTCACAGAATGACGGCTTTAACGAATCGGCCATGGACTTGTACAGCTGGTTCATGGAGGCTTTGCTTGCGAAGAAGAGGGCATCAACTCATGTGTATATTGCTCTTTCGGAGCTTGTACAGGCTGTCCTCGAACTATGTCACTCATATGGCAGTGAACAGACCCTCCCATCTCCACGAACCACCCTTTTCATGATCCTGCAAGAGGGTGATGTTCAAGTTAAATTTAGCATTGCTGATTTTCTACCAACATTGTTTGAACGATTCCTCCTCAAAGACCACGACGCAATCTTTGATGATGTTTTGGCAAACCTGCCAAGAGATCCAGATTGGATCGAGGGGATTGCTCTTCGCCTTCTTGTCCTATCAAGACTGGCCTCTAAGTGGCATACCTTACTGCGAAGAAGCATCTACCATATGTTTGAGACTCCAGCCCAAGTTCCGAACTCCCTCGGATATGCTCATATGTGCATGGTATCTACATCGACATCTCTTGGCTTGAGGGATGGAAGAGAGTTGTTCCGTCTGTTCGCTTCTCAAATACTCTACACTTGGACCGAGACCCAAAGTGTTATGTCCATGCCGTATCGCATTTTTGGATATGGCACCCTTCAAGAAATGCTCATCGACGTGAAAGATGAGGTCGTTGGACAGATGATGATGCGCGGCAAGGAATTAGAAACCCAGGAACTTGCAAGCTACCTTGAAATACCTCATGTTGAACTTCTTGAGACATCATTTCATAAAGCTGAGGCATACAGTATTGCACGAGACATCAGCACACCGCCCGAGCAGGGAAGTCAACCCAAGGGTGTTGAAGTTCGACTGAGGAAGTTGCTTGGACAGGAGAGTTTTATGAGCCGAATAGAGGAAAATTTCCCGCAGATCATCGCCACTTTTTTCAGGACTCTTGATCGACATGATCAGATAGAACGAGCAATTTCAAAGCGTCCTAGCTTTCGCCATGCTCTCGATATCCAAACCCAAATTAGTCTGAAATGTGCTTCACAGAATTCTCTGCCTGCAAATCAACAACCGTCATTCCGAGCTCGCTACCTACTGGATGAGCTCGAATTTTTGTGCAAACGTGCGGGCTTTGAGCTTGAATCAATATGGTCACCAGCTCTTGCTACATATGTCTGTCGCTCTCTCCTTGAGACCATACACCCTGCACTGGGATCTCTGCATACGTGCTCCGTTATACGAAAGATGAGGGTTCTTCTCTGCCTTGCAGGACCAATCATGCTGGAAAATTACCAATTTGAGATGATCCTCAATGCTCTTCGTCCTTTTATCGTCGATGTCCACTGTTCTGAAGATGCCCTCGGCATCTTTTGGTACCTTCTTGAGGCAGGGAAAGCTTACTTGTTAGCGAACCCCGGCTTCACAGCTGGCATCTGCCTTTCGACATTGGTGACACTCCGAAAGCTCTTTTTGTCATCCCCGGAAAGTACCACACAGCAGAGTCAGTTTCAAGCTGTGCTTTCGATCGCACAAACCTTCCGCGAGTGGCTCTGTCAGTTCATGGACAACTGCCAAGGTTCAGATTGGAGCACTGAAACCAAGCAATCGTTTGCAGGGCTGCTGGACTTGGCACGGAAGCTGCCTTCCTTAATGAACTCCTCAAATGCCCAAGATGAAAATGACCTGGTCTTTGCCATCCTCAGAGATCGCGATTCCACCCAGTCTCTCTTGAGTAAGCCAACTGCAGATCTGGTGCTCTCTTTACTTTGTCCCGAATTCAAGGAAAATAGGACTGTGAACAAGAGCAGCTTCGAGATTAATTTGGATTCTGAATCACTTGTCTTTTCACTCTGGGAGACACTGCACAGGTTTGAAGACGGCCCCGAGTACCAGCTGTGGGCTGGTCGAATTATTGGGCGCTCCTTTGCTGCTACGGGCAAAATCAATGAAAGATTAATGCGCGAGCAAGAGAATTCTTTGTTCCAAAGACCGGAATTGAGTGACCACTCGGATCTCGCTCACCGGTCGAAGATTACTATTCTTCGACTTCTCTGCAGCAAGCTTCAGGTCCAAGATCATGCAGAGACTGGCTTAATTGAGAGGACACTCCAGGTTATTATCAGCCACATCACAGATGCCGATGATTTTCAGGCGTACGTTGATATCATTCCCGAGTCACTTATGCCGGCTCTTCTTTGGAATCCGTATTCCTGCCCGAAATTGTCCCTTCCGGCAGCCAAGGTTGAGATATTCGACCTTGGCCTTCAAGAGGCTGCTCAGCATTCACCTCTTACCGACTGGGCCCGCAATGCTTCACTCTCTTTGTCTAGTGCCGCCCCGCATGATCCCGTCATTGGCCCATTGCGAGCGGTTCTAGATACAATCCCAGGACTGGCAGTTCAGGCCTTGCCATATATCATCCATGAAGTGCTACTCTCCGAAGATAAAAGAGAAAGTAGACTTCGGCAGGCGATCTCTGGACTATTCAAAGACATTCTTGGCAAAGTCACTGAAGACACAATGCCGCATACTCGACTTGTCATCAGCTGCATATTGTATCTTCGAAATCAGCCTATTCCCGGTGAATCAACGATCGTTGATCGTGATAAGTGGCTTGAAATCGACTATGGGCAGGCATCTGCAGCTGCCCATCAATGTGGACTGCAGAAGACATCGCTTCTTTTCCTTGAAATCGAGGCATCTAGGGTCATTTCAGGATCTCGCCGCGCCTCTGTGGCAAAATACGAACCACCCGTGGAGCTTCTGCATGATATCTTCAAAAATATTGATGATCCGGATCTTTTCTACGGAATTCAACACAGCTCATCTCTGCCAACCGTCATGGAGAGGCTAGAGTATGAAAGCTCAGGCTTGAAAAATCTTCTCTTCCAGAGCGCGCAGTACGACAGCGAAGTTCAGATGTCTGATAATGCAAATCCTTTTGGGGTCTTAAGAGCCTTGAACGCGACCAATCTTCAAGGAATAGCCAACACAATGCTGTCTGCCTCTGGCAGTGCGAATAATATGCCGGCTTCTTTCGGCAGCATGCTACAAGCCGCAACAAGTCTCCAGCAGTGGGATATTCCAGTCTCATCATTGGATGTTTCACCCTCAGCGACTGTATTCCGCGCATTGCAGAGCTTGAACACATCGGCATCTCTATCCGAGGTTATTCTGTCCCTGGACAACTGTCTGCTGACAACATTAAAGACTCTCAGCGAGAGTGGTCAATCCACAATTGAGTTGCGAAACACGATGCGTGCACTTGGGATCATGACTGAGATAAGTGACGTTCTACAAGCCTCGTCAACTCAAGAGATGAAAGACGAATGGGAGAGGATTATGGACAGGAGCAGTTGGTTGAAAACTGAAAGGTGAGTTTGACTGCGTTGGTTTCTCCCTCCTTAAAGAACGTGTTTTAATTGCAATAGCTATACCGAGGTCGGGGAGATCTTGAGCTGGCACGAGGCATTGTTCTCTTCCATTAGGAAGAATGAGTTCCTGACGTCCAAGTCAAACTTGGGCCCAGGAGACGCGCGCCTACTCGAGGCGAAGGTTTTCCGCCAGTCGCTAGATATTACTAGGAGTCATGGTGTTGCCCAGGCATCCTTGAAATCCGCAATCAGCTTGTCAAAGCTTGCCGAGCCTTGTGCTGACTTGGGATTGAATATTGAGGGGGCAGCGAAATTTGACCTTGCCAACGTTCTTTGGGACCAAGGGGAAATGACTGCATCGATCCGAATGTTGCAACAGCTGAAGGGACAAAGTGACTTGCACAAACAAGCTATTCCGCTCAGTCGTGCTGAATTGCTCGTAACCTTGGTGAGCCCTCTGAGGAACCTTGTCAACTTTCAAGTCTAATGCATCTTCACTAGGGACATCACGTCGCTGAGGCCCGACTAGAGAAGCCAGAATCAATTCTCCAAGACTACCTGTACCCGGCTGTCAAGGAGCTAAAGGGTGCCTCGGAAGGGGAGTCCGCTGGGCGGGTCTACCACGGCTTCGCAAGTTTCTGTGACCAGCAACTCCTGAATGTCGACGGAATGGAAGACTTCAAACGAATCAAACAACTGCGTGATCGCAAAGAAAAAGAACTCCTTGGCCTAGAAGACATGATGAAGAATGCAGAAGGTCGAGAAAGAGAATCTCTCAAGATCTTCCGTGCCAAAGCAAAGCAATGGTTTGATCTCGATGACCGCGAATACCAGCGTCTCTTACGCAGTCGGGAGGCTTTCTTGCAACAGTGTCTTGAGAACTATCTGCTTGCCCTGCGGGAAAGCGAAACTTACAACAACGATGCTCTCCGATTCTGTGCATTGTGGCTCGACAAATCTGAAAGCAAGACTGCCAACACGGCAGTATCCCGATATGTCAATGATGTGCCAAGCCGCAAATTCGCACCTCTCATGAATCAACTATCGTCTCGCCTGCTCGATGTTTCTGATGATTTCCAGTCTCTTCTCACTAGCTTGGTCTTCCGAATCTGCGCTGAACACCCATTCCATGGAATGTACCAGATTTTCGCCAGCAGCAAGTCAAAGGGTGGCAAAGATCAATCCTCGCACTCTCGCTTCCGAGCTGCGAACAAGCTCGTGGACCGCCTGAAGAACGACAAGGATATTGGCCCGACCTGGATTGCAGTCCACAACATGAACATTACATACGTCCGTTTCGCCATTGACAAGCCCGACAGCAAATTCAAGACTGGTGCGAAAATTCCTCTGAAGAAACTCCCCACCGGTGATCGCCTGGGGAAGGACGCCGAGACTTACAAGCTGCCACCACCCACAATGAAAATCGAGCTTCGTGCAAACCTCGACTATAGTGATGTTCCTTCGATTGCCAGATTTAGCTCTGAATTCACGCTAGCGTCGGGTGTCAGCGCACCCAAGATTGTGACCGCTGTTGCCACCAATGGAGTTCGATACAAGCAACTGGTGAGCTACCTGGCCTCCTTACTGGGCATCTATTTTACTAACAAGCCTTCAGTTCAAAGGAGGAAACGACGATCTCCGGCAGGACGCAATCATGGAACAGGTATTCGAGCAAGTGAGCAGTCTTCTAAAAGATCATCAGCCTACACGCCAACGGAACCTGGGAATTCGAACCTACAAGGTTCTCCCGTTGACGCTGAACGCTGGAATCATCGAGTTCGTCCCAAACACCATTCCTCTGCACGATTACTTGATGCCCGCACATCAGCGTTATTTCCCGAAGGACATGAAACCCAGCGCCTGCCGGAAGCATATTGCAGATGTGCAGACCAGGTCATTCGAACAAAGGGTCAGAACCTACCGTCAAGTTACGGAGCACTTTCACCCCGTGATGAAGTACTTTTTCATGGAGAAGTTCAGCAATCCCGATGACTGGTTCAGCAAACGGTTAGCATATACACGAAGTACTGCTGCGATCTCCATTCTTGGTCATGTTCTCGGACTTGGTGATCGACATGGTCATAATATCCTGTTGGACGAGAAGACAGGAGAGGTAGTGCACATCGACCTGGGTGTGGCGTTCGAACAAGGACGCATTCTCCCTGTGCCCGAGGTGGTTCCCTTCCGATTGACACGAGATTTGGTCGATGGGTTTGGCATCACCAAGACAGAAGGCGTGTTCAGGCGCTGCTGTGAGTTCACACTAGAAGCACTTCGGCAAGAGTCGTACAGCATCATGACCATTCTTGATGTGCTCCGATATGATCCATTATACAGCTGGACCGTGTCTCCGCTGCGAATGAAGAAGATGCAAGACAATCAGGACGCTGGTGACGGGCCACCTCTTCTGCCTGGCGCACAAGACAAGCCTGTCACCAATGAACCAAGCGAGGCTGATAGAGCTTTGACTGTGGTTGCCAAGAAGCTGAGCAAAACCCTGAGTGTCACTGCCACGGTCAATGAGTTGATCCAGCAAGCAACTGATGAGAAGAATCTCGCGGTACTGTATTGTGGTATGTCATTTTCTAGCGTGTTGGCCTATTTGTGTCATTGGCTAACTTGTTATTAGGTTGGGCGTCTTATGCTTAAACCAAAGCTGTGTTTGAGCTTTAGCGTGTACATATTGCATCCATGCCATACTTGTCAATAAGGAGGCCCAGCACCAGATGTGCTTGTGTCAATAACATTGCCTCTCAAAATAGATCTGCACTCTCGTAGTCCCATGGAATTCATGACATCTGAGTTCCCTAGCTTTTTCCGTAAACTGTATACTGTCCGGTTAGTGGATAGTGGACCGGGGGATTTGAGAACAGAAGAGGAAGAATTTGCATTTAGTTGAATTTAGTTTAAATGTCACATATTAACAGACCATGTATTTACAAAGCATAATCGATGATCAATTGGACCTTGGACTGCGAAGCTTGAGTTTCGGAAAGTCCGACAGATCTGACGAATTCTGCGGCTCGACAGCCTTTTTCGGCCGGGCTAGAAGGCCGAGAGAAACGCTGCGCCTCATCCATGTCTTAAATTATTCATCGAACCATTTGTCGGCTTCTGAATTGTCAAATACGTGGGAAGTGTAATTTAATTTCGTTGGCCAAGCTCCTATCTTGGGTGCTTGCTCCTGAGGCGTCAAAACTCCAGCGATTGTTCTGGCATTCGTGGCGTTTTCCGACTCCAGGTGCTCAGGTGTTATCACCGCGGTGGCGCAGATACATACCATCACTCTGTCCTGAGATATCGGCTGAAAATCTTTGATTCTTGCTGCTCTATTCTCCTCTGTGGCAGGTCACGAACTTGACACGGCTTTTACTATCAATACTGGCATTCTCTGCCATGGCTGACACGCCCAACCGAGGAATTGTCGTCATTTCCGGAGGTAGTGCCGCGAACAACCTTGTCGACGTCTTCGATGCCGTGAGAGACAGCAAAAACTGTTTACTCAGTTACATCATTCCCATCAGCGACAACGGTGGCTCCTCATCGGAGCTGATCCGAATCTTTGGGGGGCCCTGGAATTGGCGATGTTCGAAGTAGGCCTCTTGACACGCGACACTACGCGAGATCTCTTCCGAAGGGCTTACTTGACTGACTCTATAATCACAGGTCGCCTTGTTCGTTTAATTCCAGACTCCCCTGCCAATTCTGAGCGGACGGCGATCAAGGCTCTCTTCAATCATCGCCTGCCCGCTCAAGCAGGGGCAGCGGCGCATGAATGGCTCACCATCGTAGATGGCACGTCAAGCCTATGGAAGTCCATCCCCCCCGCTAAGAAAGAATTGATCCGCTCATTCTTGAACATGCTGAACCTGGAAATCCTCAAGCGGGCTCGGCCACCGTCTTCTACCTTCGACTTCACGTCTGCTAGTGTCGGAAATTTGTTCCTTACGGGTGCACGACTCTTCAGCGGGAGCTTTGAGAGTGCAATTTACCTTCTGGGAAGTATATGCGGCGTGCAGTCGGATATTGTGCGTGTCATCCCGGCCATCAACTCTAACTTCTCACATCACATATCCGCCACTCTCGCCGATGGGACTGTCATTGTCGGCCAAAATAGCATCTCCCATCCGAGCGAAACCACAGCCCTTCAGCCCGACCGTGGCAACAGGCCTAGACGGCCTAGTTTACTCCTGGCCGATGGAGATGATCTAGAAGATACTGGCTCGGACGTGTCCGATGCCGTGTCATATGAAGAAGATCATCTCCCCGGATCTCTAGCCACTCTTCGCAACAAAAATATTTCATTCAGCAAAACAGAAAACGAAGACTTACCATATCGGATCAGCCGGATTTGGTATATCAATCCCTACGGACAGGAAATTCGGCCGCCCGCAAACCCACGTGTTCTGGAAGCACTGAGTGATGCCCAGGCTATCATCTACAGCATTGGCTCGTTGTACACCTCCATCATACCGGCAATCATTCTCCGTGGCGTTGGCAAGAATATCATGACCAGTCCAGCTCGCCATAAGATCCTCATTCTAAATGGTTCTTTGGACCGTGAGACAGGACCTCCATCTGCGCCATTTCTAGCGTCAGACTTTGTTGAGGCTATTGCGCATGCCTGCGAAGAGAGTCGTGGACGACATCCGCATAGAGTGTCTCAGCACCACGGAGAGTCACCATCATCCCCGGAAACCATCCGGCCACATATTCCTATTCCCTACACTGCATACGTGACCCATATCTTGCATCTAGATGGCCCTGGGACGCCTCAGGTAGACCGCGAAAGGCTGGCAGAGATGGGCATTGAGACCTTGCGCTTGTATGGGCGCAAAGTCACAGTCATGGAAGGGGGTAAGGAGGTTTGTGTGGGCATGAAATATGACCCCAATGCTCTGATACAAGCGCTTGAGGTGGTGCTAGGAAAAAAGGGGGATGCCATGGTGCGTGGAGGTTTCGGGAGTGGTTTGGGCAGGAGAAATACACTGGATCCTGGCCGACGCGATAAATAAGAGGGAAAGTGAACAAAGACCCGAGAGACAATAAAGGGACATTGTACAATAATTTATCCTATAATCTCAATCAAAAACAAAGATCATCGTGGAAGGAGTAATTTAGGATCCATCGTTCACTCCAAAAAAGCCATAACCCCACCTCGCCCATGAAATGCCAGAAAAGATAATGTCCGTATGCTGTAAAACGCCATGATAGTCCATGATCCACCTCGCCATGCTAAAATGAAGGGTATTCAAGAAATTCATGCTTTGTTCGGTGAGACGACACCCCGCTTCTTAGTGATCACCTTCAACTTCAATGGTATGAGGCTTCTGCGAGGTCCACTCGACTCGTTCCGAGTAATCGTCTTTCGACATACCGGGCACGTTCCCTTAGTCTGTTTTCCTTGCTCGGTACATTGATCGTCGATCGATTGGAGGTATTCGACGATGCATTTGTGACAGAAGAGGTGGCCTGTGACCAGAATAATATCGTGTTAGAGGATCATAGGTTGTCAAAAAGGTATGGCAGTGATGAAACTTACCACATGAAGTACTAGTAGCGTCCTCTAGATTATCCATGCAGACTGGACACTGATATGCTATCAACATGGAACGAGCTTTGTCTGCTTCGTCGGTTGATTGTGCCTTGACGGCGTCTTCACGCTGTTTCGCAAGGGCTTTGGCGAGGGCAGATGAGCCTTCGACCTCAGTCAGGTCGATAGACTCGATAGGACTTTGTGGGCGGTTGGATGGCGCCGAGCTGTGAGGACCACCTTCATTGTGTCGGCGTTTTCGTTTTGTGCCCCGAGGCATTGAGTGGGGATCTGGGGAGCTGGAGGAGGAGGAAGCGATCGGGGAGACGGAAGGCGTTGACGAGACTTCCCTAAAACGGCGAGGAGAGGGATGTACCCGAGCCGAAGTAAGGTCAACGATAGAAACTCGTCGACTCATTATGGGATGAAATTTCCAAGCAGGTGCAGACAGGTCTGTTGATTGAGTGCTTTCCGAAGAGCAATCGAGTGTAGCGGGGCCAGCCCTTATTAGAAAGGCGTGGAACGTCTTTCCGCCGGGCCAGAATGTCCCAGGGACAATATAATCAAGTATAGGTAGCGGACTAGCGCCAAAAGAAAGCCAAAGAGAGTTCCAAAGACCAAGAACCAACGTAGTTGACAAAAAGATACAGCAAGCCGCGGATGGCAAAATGGCAGCGTCAGTTGTTATCGATTAGTGATAAGACATCTTTATGAGGAAGGCGGTCAATGATATCAGCAGCACACTTCTTCCGCCTCCTGCATGACGCTCAGATACCGCGATAGGCACTGATATGGAAACTGCTCCACGATCTTCCTCGATACCCCATCGCCTTATCCTTACTATCAAGCGCAGTCTTCGACCAGGCTGCAGTTGCATGAGCTGCCATGACATGAATCCTACAACTTCAGCCACTGTATGATGTTATCTCGGAATCCCTCCTACACTCCTTATTCCAGGGGTGTCGTGAGGTCGGCGCGCCTGATATTGCGCCCAGCACCGGTTGTCTACGCGCAATCATGGCTGTTGCCTGTACGAGGGCGTGTGAGGCCATATTCCACGCGGGTCAATGATGAGACTACTCATAAACGTTCTCTTTCCGGTAAGTTGTTGGCATTAGCACTGTCACGGCCAGAAACAATTTTCTGGAGATCGACGGACTGACCAGGCACAGTTCCTGCGTTACCCAGGTTCAATGAAATTGGTGTTCAGCATCTTAGCGACTATGTACATTCCCAGGTCTTCCCGAACAAAGGTCGAGTACCTGATCCCGAACTCGTCGCACTCTCCAAAGATCACCTAGCAAGACATGACCTTCTTGGCAAATCTCAAACCGGTGCCGACCCGATCGCATTTGATCTACCGCCCCTCCATGGCCAGACTCTTGACGAGCATTTTTACAAGCTTGGAATGGATGCATCGGAGCCATATTTGACAAATGCCAAAACCTTTGCAGCTTTTAGTTGCCCGACGAAACCGCGCAAGTGGGTCAAGCGCAGTGGATGGACCAAATATAATTCAGACGGTTCATCGGAGCCTGTGGATGCGCCTAACGAGGAAATGCTGACCTTTGATACCGAGGTCATGTACAAGGACAACCCTTTTGCGGTCATGGCTTGCGCGGTGAGTCCGACAGCTTGGTATGCATGGTTATCTCCTTGGCTTCTGGGGGAATCTCAAGAAAAGGTGCATTTGGTTCCTTTGGGAGACCCTTCGCAGGCCCGAATCGTCGTTGGCCATAATATCGGTTATGATCGTGCTCGAGTTCTGGAGGAGTATGATATGAAACAGACTCGCAACTTTTTCCTCGATACCATGTCTCTTCACGTCGCCGTAAACGGCATGTGCTCTCAGCAGAGACCAACCTGGATGCGTCATAAGAAGAACAAGGACCTGAGAGATAAGATTGCGAGCGAGCATAATTCTGTGGAATTGGCCGCGTTGCTTGAAAATAATATGCTCAGAGAAGAGGAAGAAGAACTTTGGGTTGGGAGAAGCTCGGTGAACTCTTTGCGAGATGTCGCCAAGTTTCATTGCGACGTCACCATAGATAAAGCGCAAAGAGACTTCTTTGGCGAGCTTGATCGGGAAACCTTGCTCACAAAGTTGGATGAACTACTCGACTACTGCGCTGCTGACGTTGCGATTACCCATCAGGTCTTCAGAAAAGTTTTTCCTAATTTCTTGGAGACCTGTCCCCACCCGGTCAGTTTTGGGGCCCTTCGACATCTCTCTTCCGTCATTCTTCCTGTGAACCAGACCTGGCAGGAATACCTCACCAACACTGAAGAGACCTACCACAAACGACTCGACGACGTTCAACGGAAACTTCTAGAATTATGCGACGAAGCTCTGAAGGTGAAGGCTCAACCAGATGTCTACACGAGTGATCCTTGGCTACAGCAGCTGGACTGGTCTGGCCAAGAGATCAAAATGGTTAAGGGTAAGAAAAAAGGGGACCCCCCTCGTCCTGCTGCTAGGCAAAAGAAACCGGGTATGCCGAAGTGGTATAAAGATCTTTTTCCTTCCAGCAATGCCGACATCAACCTCACCGTTCGAACAAGGATTGCCCCCATCCTGCTCAAACTATCTTGGGATGGCTACCCTCTGGTCTGGTCCGACAAGTATGGGTGGACTTTCCGGGTTCCTCGTGAACAAATTAAGAAATACGAGAATCAACCGGTCGTTGTGTGTGACATGGCAGAGGAGAAGAACCTGCAGCTACGCGATGACAGAAAGAACACCTACTTAAAGATCCCTCACAAGGATGGCCCGCAGGCTCGGTGCACTAATCCTTTGGGGAAGGGCTACATGCAGTACTTTGAGCGCGGAATCTTGTCTTCTCAATTCGAGCTTGCCAAAGAAGCCTTGGATATGAATGCTTCATGCTCCTATTGGATCAGTGCCAGAGACCGAATCATGGGCCAAATGGTGGTTTACGAAGATCAAATCCAGAAAGATGGCGCGACACAGGATTCGACTGAAAATCGACTCGGTTTTATCCTGCCTCAGGTTATTCCCATGGGTACCATCACTCGCCGTGCTGTGGAGAATACCTGGCTTACCGCAAGCAATGCAAAGTCCAATCGAGTTGGATCCGAGCTCAAGGCTATGATCAAGGCGCCTCCAGGTCATGTTTTTGTTGGTGCTGATGTTGATTCTCAAGAGTTGTGGATTGCCAGTCTTGTTGGGGACGCCCCATTCCAGCTACATGGAGGTAATGCGATTGGATTCATGACGTTGGAAGGTTCCAAGGCTGCAGGGACCGATCTGCATTCCCGCAGTGCTTCAATCCTGGGCATCTCGCGTAATGACGCCAAGGTCTTCAACTATGGTCGTATCTATGGAGCCGGCATCAAGTTTGCGGCCACGCTTTTGCGTCAATTTAATCCTTCTTTGACGGAAAGGCAAACGCAAGAGACCGCAGCCAATCTTTACAAGGAGACGAAGGGAACTCGGACCTCACGTCGTGCCCTAAGCGAAAGTCCATTCTGGCGAGGTGGAACTGAATCATTTGTGTTCAACAAGCTTGAAGAGTTTGCCGATCAGGAAAGGCCTAGGACCCCTGCGCTCGGTGCTGGTATCACGGAAGCCCTCATGCGCCGCTTCATAAACAAGGGAAGCTTCATGACTTCTCGCATTAATTGGGCTATTCAATCGTCGGGTGTTGACTATCTTCACCTCCTGATTGTGGGTATGGATTATCTCATCCGGCGGTTCAACATTCAGGCCCGGCTGTCTATTACTGTTCACGACGAGATCCGCTACCTGGTGAAGGACGAAGACAAATACCGGGCTGCCCTCGCTCTCCAGATCGCCAACGTATGGACACGTGCCATCTTCTCGCAGCAAGTTGGCATTGATGACCTCCCACAGTCCTGCGCGTACTTCTCCGCCGTTGATATTGATCACGTCCTGCGGAAAGAGGTCGACATGGACTGCATCACTCCTTCACACCCTCACAAAATTCCTCACGGCGAGACTCTGGATATTTCTCAACTACTGGCTAAGAACGAGGCAGCGTTCTTGGATCCGTCTATTGCCCCCACCTCCCCTCCTCACCCCGAAAACTACGACTATACCCCCCGGGAATCGGTCATGTCCACACTGCAGGCATCCAATGATCTCGCGTTCATCAAAGCCCAAATTACTAAGGATGACAAGGAACTCCGTGAGATCATCAAAGAGAAAACGCAAGCCGCCAGTGGCGGCAAGGCCCCTACACCCCGCTCTTCAACCTCGAAAACCAGAGGCAAATCTACAGGCTGGGTATCTGCGGAGCCCCAACGAGCGGTTCTGATGGACCTAGAATCTGGCTTATATCCCGACTTCCGAAACCCTCGCCCATCATCCAGCGGAAATGGCAAGACTCATCATCAGGTTGGCATGTATCGGTCTTCTTGGAAGCCGCGGCCATCTGCTCGCGCTTAGCCATGGCCTGCTCTACTCCACCCTCCCTTGACTATCTCTCTAATATCCTTCAACCATTTCCCTTCCTTTTTCTGTATCTAATTATTTTTTCCCTCTCATGTTTGAATTGTGGGCCGGCTGTATGTTTTATGCTCTTATGTGGAACTGCATTGGGGACCAGCATTGGGACGGCGTCGGAAGTGTTTAACTGTTAGGTGACGATAGTGTACAAAATGCACATGCATCTGCAAGATTTGGCTTGAAGCAAAGTATTCGTCTCGCACGGTAGATGGCTATTCTTGAACCTAAAGGTCCTTAGTTCACGGAATGGGTATGACCTCCACTCTCCCGATCTCATGTCTCTTTCCAAATCGAAGGAACCCTAGTGAAGTCAGCTAGTGTTCATTTTGGACAAAAAAGGGCTCTTTCCACTTACGCAACCTCAATGACAGCACATCTACCCTCTTGGACAATCCTGGTTCCCTCTTGCAAGGCTTGATCCAACTCGCTTTGCACCTTGACCGTAGCGCCCCAGGCGTTACCAGCAGCCGTGGCAATGCCTGGATAATCAGGCGATGGTTCAAAGGAGATATTGAGATCTACGTGAGAGATTGTCAGCTTCCGCCGCAGACTTCCCAACCAAGTGAAGGCAATAAGTTGACGAACCTTTCCTGTTGGACTTTGATGCCAATCCATTATTGTGAACTAGAAGAGCCGACACTTTCGGTGCGTTCCAGCCCCCGTTATTCAAGACGATCAGTAGGAAAGGAATATCATAGCGTCTGGCGATCCAGTAGACACTCTCCATCTGCGAGAAGAGATACGTCCCGTCTCCAACGCTGACATGGTATCAGTATTTTCTTAAGACAACAGATAGGGGGTTACTCACATTCCACAGACGAAAGAATTGGGCTGGGCCAGTTTCACTCCCAGAGTGGCACCACCACCCCAACCGAGACCACCAGCTCCACTGCCAACGAGACTTCCCGGCTACAGTATATTGTCAGATAAAAGGCGTAGTGGGTGTAAGGGCATGGCCTACCTTCACCAAGTTAAGGTGATGTATCAGTAGTCCGGCATTGGTGACGGCCTCCATGACAAAAGTTGTATCTTGGGGAACATGCTGTCGTAGACGAGATGTAAGATACGGCACGCTAATCACACCATCCTCGGGCGGGTATTGCAAGCTGCGAAGCTCCTCTCGCCATTTTGTGTAGCGTGTTGCGCGAGCCTCGAACTGCACGGCATAGTCTGCTTTGTTGAGGTTCTGTTGATCTAAGAAGGCATTGAGCTGTCTGAGGGCAAGCTCGCAGCTGACTTTGATCCGGCGGATAGCGTTGATGGAGAACACTGTTTATGGACTGTTAGAGAGGTACTGAGTGGACAGATGCCAAGACCTACATGGCATTTGCTGCTTGAGTGGATCAACGTCGAGGTGGAATATCTTGGTTCCTTTTGCCTGCCAGTTAGCAGATGTCTACAAATGCCAGAGAAAACCATACCTCTTTGGGGTTTACCCGCGGTAGGAATCCATGGCACATCGCAATCCAAAATTAGGATTACATCGGCCTCGAGAACTGCTGGGTGCGTGGTAACAGTCACGCCCAGATAGGCTTCATGGTCGTTTCTGATGCAAACGTCGGACCCAACCATCTCGACCACACCAATCGGTAGCTTGTCGCAAAGTTCTTCCAACAGAGGAGGGGCGTTGCGGTTTCGACCAAGATAAGTAGTGATAACAAGCGGTCGCTTTGCGCTCATCAGAGTTGTCGCAATCAATTCGACCTCTGTACTTGTCAGATAAGTACAGTGGCTCAGAGACAAGGTTTCTTACCTGACTCGGGCAGGGCACTAGGCACAACAGGTGTCAGGGTTTCTGCTTCGAGATACTTCCGGTCCACTTTCTGTAGATTCTTGTCAGATTCTCCATTATTTTCAAACTTTAACCAGAGACTTACTTCTTCTAAAACTTCTCGAGCAGCCATAAGATATGTTGGGCCCTTGGGATCCGACATGGAAAATTGCAAGGCTCTGTTGACCATCTCCTTGATATTGCGCCCTGTCTTGATTTCCGCGGAATACCGGCAATATTGACGGAGAATTGCCGCCTGGTCAGGCACATCTTGCAGCCAATGGATGAACCTATGAAATGTTAGCTTATGGCTGTGACAAGAGGTTGAATCGCATACTCTGTTCTTGAGCCCATCAGTTCACCTCTTTGGGTGAAAGGGCTGAGACCCGCAAAGCAGAGAACTGGGACTCGGCCGACCGAGGCATTGTGGATGGATTGACCCAATGCTAGGGTGCCGCAGTCAACATGAACAAGAACACATTGCTGTTTTAAGTTAGTGCATTACTACAGAGAAACTGTGGACACAAGAGATGATTCATACGGGAATCCCAGTGACCTGGGCATAGCCAAGGGCCGCGGAGAGAGCAACCAATTCCGAAGGGCAAGTGATGATGTTGGGAAACGTGGTTGAGTTTTCTGTACTCAGTGGTATTAGAAGACAATGCTCCTATTCATGCTTTCTGTTCTGAACGGACCTTGTTTCGCTTTGATCATGGCCTCTAGCATGGCAGGGTGGTCACTCCCCCTGTTTAACTATGTTAATCATCCCACTTTTGCCGATCAGTATATGGACATTCGACTTACAGATTGACAAAGCAATGGGTAACTCCAGCCTCAGCTTCAAATAAGATTAGCGACACCATTCAGGACTTGGGAACGCCGAACTCACAGAGAGCTTCAAAAAAGCCTTCAGCAGCGGAACTCAAGCGGGCATCATCGCCATTCGCGTCCTCGTCGTAGCGAGGCCTTTTGTTGTCCCTTGTCATGATATCAGAGTAGCTGTGGCTTTGTTATAGTAGCACTGACAGTTCTCAATGGCATTGACCGGGGGTTGAAGAGGTTAAAAGGGCGAGTCCCCGGATTTTCTGGAGGGTTGAGGAGTGTACATCGCCAAGCTGCCACAACTTTCTCCGCAAGCCAATCAACCCCTGCCAAAAGGCCCCACAGCGGTGTTGATCCGCAGTTGGACCCTGTTGAACCCCCGCCCCAGTTCAACTGTGCCTCGGGCATGATTGGAATTGGAGAAAAGGGAAGGCTGCGATGGGGTCCAACTGTGTCACATCATGGCCTTTCTCTTCGCATCGTGAACTTGGCACTGATAGCTTCCGCGGTGGCCTGTCGCTCACCTTCTTAGTTGCTTGGGTGGTCCAAAGATAGATCCATACGAGTTTTCTCCCCATTAGCCAGAATTAAGTTAAAAATCCCACAAGGCGACTCAGCTCCTTTTGATATTATGGTACTGTGCACTAGGTCCGGTTATTCATGGGCCTTGTCTGGTGCAAAGATGCGCAATTCTCAAATATATATTTCGCGAGTCCAGGACATTCCCATCACCACGCTCAGTTTAGGATAGGAACCTTAGGTTTCTAACAGCGCAGGCGGTAGTGAACAACATCGTTGTTTTAGATGTGATTTCACCAAAAAGCGGGCAAGACGCAGTTGAAATATTCAAACCTGAGCGCAGGTGAGTTACTAAAGATTACCTTTACTGTGACGACCTTTCGTGAATCTTGCAAGATCGAGTGTTCAAAAAGTGGGCCATGACCCGGAAACTGAGATCGTGAGTAAGTAATCTTGGCGTTCTTTTCAAGCCCAACGTCCCCATTTACATGACCAATTACTAAAGATCACCATTCGGAGTTCCGAAACCCCGTACAGACTCTCTTGTATACTTTTGATTTTGGTTCTAAGCAGATCTCTTCACATCTCTTGCAATACTAACCGAGGCAATGATAAGTGCGCACAGACCACACTTTGTCGCTGGAATGATGATATCATCAATACCCTAGAGCATATGTATAAAGCAACGTCGATAGCCCGAGAAGTCTTAGTAGTATCTGCCAAGCGCAGTGCACAAATCAAGCATGCCCAAGTTAATTGCCATCATCGCCGGAGTCGGCCCTGGTACAGGCAGTGCCATTGCCCGTCGCTTTGCACAGGCCTATCCAGTTGTCCTCCTGGCTCGGTCGCAACAATCCCTAGATCCCGTCGCACAGGAGATCACGCAAAACGGTGGTTCAGCAATCGGTATTCCAACCGATGTGACGAGTCCTTCGGGAATGACCTCGACTATGGATCAGGTCAAAGCCCACTTTGGTTCTGATATCAACATTGCGGCGGCAGTCTACAATGTGGCTAGCAAATTTGTGCGAAAGCCGTTCTTGGAGCAAAGCTCAGACGAGTTTCTGGGTAGTCTTGAACCGTCTATCAAGGGCGCTTTTAATTTTGCACAGGCGACGCTGCCTTATATGCTGAATGTGAAAGAAGCGCAATACCCACCCACTTTTATATTCACAGGTTAGTCACGCCACTAGGACTCTATATTCGTTTCTAACTTGCTTCAGGTGCCACAGCAGCGCTCAAGGGAGGATCTGGACTTTCCGGGTTCGCGATGAGCAAATTTGGAATCCGTGCTATGTCCCAATCGCTCGCACGCGAATTCGGTCCTAAAGGCGTTCATGTCTCCCATGCTATCATTGATGGCATTATCGACACCGAGAAGACCAAGGGATATAGCCCAGACATTCCTGATTCCAAAATCGATCCTAACTGGGTGAGCTTCCTGAACCTGCAAATGTAAGTCTGCTTGCATACTGACTACCTCTAGATTGCGGAGTCGTATTGGTTCTTGCACACGCAACCAAGAACCTCTTTCACACACGAGATAGATCTGCGAACATATTCGGAGACATGGTGAAATATCTCACAGCAGGATAGGGTTTAGCGTCCATTAAAAATGCTATACTAGAATATGTTCATTGCTCGAGCGGAAACAAGGCCTTTCTCTTGCAACATATATACCGACAGCCCCGAGCAAGGGAGGAATGATTACTATCTAGACTCGTAGCTACTCTCTGGGAATTCAATGGTGGAGATCGAATATAATTATTGCTCGAACCTGAAAGTATATAGTAGACAAGGATATGTGACCCCTCTCAATCCCGAGAAACAGTCTCACTGGCAATATCTACCTTAGTCTTCGCAAAGTCACGAGCCTTAACTTCGTTCTTGAACAAAATATCCATCTCAGCAAAGGTGCGGTTCTTGGTCTCGGGGAGACGGAAGTATGCCCAGAGCAAACCAAGTCCCATGATAGATCCATAGAAGAACCCAGACTTTGCACCCCAGTTCCAGGCCGCCTTCTGCATCATGTGCGGCACCAGCTGACCGTAGACGAGAACGGCAACGTTGTAAACAGCACGGGCAAGGACGACGCTCTTGTTGCGGAGGAAGTTCGACGGAATTTCAGTGACAATAGTGTAGATGATCGGACCGATGGTGATAAAGAACACAAAGTATTCCACGAGAAGAATAGCACCAATTCCATAACCGATGTTCGGGTGAGTCTTGATGCTCGGGATACCCATGAAGCCGATCACAAATGTTGTAGCAGTCATGAAGGCAGTACCACAGAGCAACAAGGTGCGGCGACCAGTTCGGGGCACGAGGAACCAAGCGACAAAGACACCGACAATAGCCAGAGCGTACTCTCCCATGCCAAAGTCAAATGAGGCACTTGGAGCAAGGCCAGCTTGCTCGAGGAAGTAGACGATGTACGCAACGAGGGGAGCACACAGCTCTTGAATGAGGTAGGTGAAGACGGTGATCTCGGTACGACGTAGGTTGACACCCTTGAACAGGTCCCAATAGGTGCTAGTAGCCTGCATCTCATTCTCAATTCTGACGGTCTGTACCATCATGGCCACGGTATCGGCAATCTCATCTTCATTGCTGTCCTTGGCCCGCAGACGACGGACGACTTTGCCTGCATCTTCGGTGCGACCCTTGCGAATAAGCCACCATGGCGATTCGGGAGCCAGGTAAATTCCGATCGCAAGAGGGATCGGAAGGATCCACTGAAGCGCGAAGGGAATGCGATAAGCCCACTGTCCAGTCGAGGACAGGAACGCACGCAGGACACCAGTTCCAAGCAAATAGCCAATACTCCAGCAAAGCGACACAAGCATTGTCAGATAGGGCCGCAGGACGTTCGGGCAGACCTCGGCGGCATATGTGGTGGTCAATGTTTGGAACACGCCCCATGGGAGACCGAGGAGGACCTCAGCACCGAGATACATGTAGATGCTGGTGGCAAAGAATTGGAGGAAGATGAATGCCATCATGAGGAAGAGACAGCCGATCATGACCCAGCGGTAACCGAAATGATCAGCGAGAATACCGTTCAGCAGAAGACCGATGATTTCTCCGGCATTGACACCATTGCCGATGGCGGACTGCAGGGTGGCGGGGACTTGATAGGTTCCATCCTTCTGTAGCGTGCCGTAGTGCTCTTGGAAGGCAGGGAAGGCAAAGAAACCGGTGACGAAGGCGTGATCAAAACCTTCCATGATCAGAGCAGAGGAGAACCAAATTGACCAGAAGACAGCCTTGGGGTACTTGCGAATACCCTCTCTCAGGCTCATGCCATGCTCGTCCTCGGTGGCCCTCTGGGCGCCCTTGAGAGTGTCATCGAGATTCTCAAATGTCTCCTCATCTTTCTCGCGGATCACCCTTGTGGTGGCCTGGTCATTGACGTCCTCCTGATGTTCGGCCATCTCGATAGGTGATGAGTGCCAAAAGGGCGATATGGGAGAGAAGAGGTTGTCGTCGAATGCAAAATAAAAAATGGAGTGATTCTCCCCACATTCCACGGACTGCTTGGGGCTCTTTGTAGGGCACGGTTCCTCCACCCTCCACTAGTCTTCTCCGCATCCCCAGACCGCGTGGAGATAGACTTAGACTTTCGGTGGGGGCAAATCCCCCAGACGGGGTCAGCGCCGTGGTTTACCCGGTCTAACGGGCCAATTATGGACCGAAATTGAGACTTCATCCCTGTCATTTCGGACTGGAATAGACCGAAATCTCAGGTGTCGGATCGCTATCAGCTGCACCGAGTGGTGCCAGAGTTTAACGAGGTCAAAGGGAAAGGCTAATGTAAACAACTTAGTTCAACATCATACGGCGATGCCGTTTTGCCGCTTCATCTTTGCTTGGTAAGACTATACGACCGATATTGAGTCCTTTCTCGCTTACTGGCCCCGCTCCAATTGCGTGATGCCATTAGTATAACTATCCACCTTTCTGACTTCAACCCGCCCACCCTTCGTATCTCCCCTTGTCTATTCTATACATTCCGCGGTCTTGGCTGTCTTGTCCTGGATTGCTTAGTTACGAGGTCCGAGCGCCACCCAACGCCACGAAGAAGTACAAGTCGCTTCCCCAGTTGATCCGAATTTCCCTTTGCTGGCAGTCATGTCGTCGGCTAATTTACGTTGGCTGTCTGGAAACGGGCCCCACGCCCTATCGGATGGCGTTTCTTTTGGGATGCCGTGGCCAAGGGGCCTCTATCAGCCAGGCCAGAAATTCGTGATCGAAGCGAAGGATGCCCAATGGCCTCTTGACTCGCGTGAGCTCGCTTACTGGGCGGATGGCTCGGTCAGATGGACTGCTCATTCGGTTAGTGGTAACATTGACTATTCGGATGAGTATACCGTCCAAGGCGTGTCACATCCACCGGAACCCACTGCGAGCATCACAATCGAACAGCAAGAGTCATCTCTGTCGGTGGCTTCTCCAAGTGGACTGTATCTGAGGTTCGCAGCATCTGGCAGCTCGTCGATTCTCGAGCAACTCGATATCAATGGGCAGACGGTCTGCTCTGCGGCCACGGTGGTCGCGTCGATTAATGAGAAAGAGTACCGAGCGCGAGTCAGTGCAGTGAATGTGGAGAACTCCACTCCCAGCAGGGCGCTGATCAAAGTTTCTGGTGTCGTGGAAGATGGAAGTCACAACACACATCTCCCCTTCGATATTCGATTCTATGTGTACTCTCACAGTGCTTCGATCAGAGTCCTCCACTCATTCATCCACGATCTAGACCCAGACAAGGCTATTACTTCCCTGGGCCTACGGTTTAATGTTCCGCTTGGGCACACCGAGCTATACAATCGCCACGTGAGACTAGGTGGATCTGGTGGAGGTGTCTTGAAAGAGGAAGTAAAGGGGCTTTCCGGATTGCGGCATGGCCCGACTGTTGCAAACCGGACTGATCAAACATCGGGACGAGAAGTCAACCTGCGAGAAGCCGAGTGGGTTAGAACAGACCTCACTGAAGGACTCTCGTATATTCCCTCATGGGGCTCTTACTCGCTCGCTCAGCTGTCTTCCGATGGCTTCACGATCAAGAAACGGACAAAGCCAGGATGCTCCTGGGTCAAAGTCACTGGCGGTGGACGAGCCGATGGAACTGCATACATTGGATCAGCTTCTACTGGAGGTCTTGCGGTCGGAATGTCCGACTTCTGGGAGCGGTACCCCACCCAGCTCGACTTGGACCACTTGACCACCGAGGAAGGATCTATCACTGTGTGGCTATATTCACCACTGGCAGAGCCCCTGGATACATCTCCGTATCATGACGGACTGGGCCTCGATACCTATCAGAAGCAACTGCAAGCTCTTGATGTGACTTATGAGGACTATGAGCCTGGCTTCGTCACTGCCAATGGAATTGGAAGAACCAATCAGCTCTTTTTGAGACCTTTCCTTCATACCCCATCGAACGAAGACCTCAGTTCATTCTCTTCCCTGGTTCGTGAGCCACCCCACTTGGTTGCCACTGTAGGACAGTTGCAGTCCTCAGGCGCATTTGCCGGCTGCTGGGCTCCAGATTCTCAGACCCTGGGTGTGAAGCCATCGCACCAACGCGCTGAGATTGAGGATAGGCTTTCGCTATTGTTCAACTATTACCATGGACAGGTTGAGCAACAGCGTTGGTACGGATTCTGGGATCATGGAGATGTACAGCATACCTATGACCCTTATCGACATGCTTGGAGATATGATGTCGGCGGGTATGCGTGGGACAACTCCGAGCTTTCGACAGATCTGTGGCTGTGGCTTTACTTCCTCCAGACCGGAAGAGCCGATGTGTTCAAAATGGCAGAGGCTATGACTCGACACACCGGCGAAGTTGATGTCTATCATTCTGGAAAGTTCAAAGGCTTCGGTACTCGACATGGCGTTCAACACTTCAGCGACAGCTCGAAGCAGCTTCGTATATCCAATGTGCTTTACCGCCGGATTTACTTTTACTTGACCGGAGATGAGCGTACTGGTGACTTGATAGCCGAACTCCAAGATTGTCAGAATACCTTGCTAGTACTCGACTCACATCGCAAAGTCCAGGAACATGCCGGTATTCCCCAAGGGTTCGCCATGACAAACATTGGTCTGGACTGTGGAGCCCTTATCGCGGCCTGGCTTACTGCGTGGGAGCGACGCTCCGAGGGATGGGCCCACTATAGGGATCTCCTTATCAAACTACTTGATGGTATCGCTGGGCTCAAGCATGGTATTGGGAATAACGCGATCCTACTGAACCCAAACACCGGAGAGGTGCGAGAGTGCCTCCCGCCGACTCCAGAGTATGCCATCTCTCACCTATCCATGCTTTTCGGGTTCCCCGAGGTCATCGCCGAGCTCTTCCATTTCGCACGTGAAGAAGTTCCAGACACTACTGGACGATTCATGAAAGTGTGGCTTGCATACTGCCGGGCTTACAATGGAGGACCGGATGTCCAGCGTGAAGAGTTTGGGTTCGAGTTCCCCTCCCACGCCACATGGAGACAGAGTCATTCTACTCTCACGGCCTTTGCCGCGGTTGAACAAGATGATGAAAAGCTGGCGCATGCTGCGTGGAACCAATTCTTCAACACTGATGGCTACAGAGGTGATCATGATTGGAGAGTGATCAAGTGTACAGCTCCCGAATACTTCACTGAGGGTGAAGAAGTTCCATGGATTAGGACTAACGAAGCTGCTCGGTATGGGGTATCTGCTATCTCCAATCTTGGGAGCATTGGGAAATTTTTGAAATAGACGTTTAGTATAGGTGATGGATTTGAAGTTGACTAGTCTTGAAACCTTCGTACTAGATGAATCTACATTGTTTTAAAGAAATTCTCGGACATAGGCAACGCCATATGCTTACATAGATTCTTTCAGTCAAGTTGTATAATTAATTATCAAACCGTCTCACCAAGTTTCTCGCCAAGTCAAAGGTGTAATCCTTGCCTTACAGCCACATTCATGGCATCGGAACCCACCAAGCTGTCAGCTGGCCCCCAACACTAAACATACACTTTAGGGTCGGTTCTCATTGACCCGCAGCCCCGAAAGTATACTTGAAGAGGAGGTCCGATCCACTGACCCTTGTGGGGTAGCTTTTTGGTCCCAGGGAATCTCAGGGCTGATTTTGTTCATGCATGGCCTCCTATTGATGGAAAAATTACAAGCCACTGAATTTTGCGGGGAAGATCTTTTCTAAGTTTATGAGGGGTACAGCGTGACCAACAGCAAGCCGAGGGCGACATGAATTAGTTGACAAAAAAAAAAGTTTGACTTGCCAAACAAGATCGTTGTTTCTACTTTGTTATTCTGAATCTCCCAAAATCTTCATACCATTGCTCTGGCAGACTTTCGGAATCCAACATGGCTCCTACCAGATATGCTGTCGTCGGCACTGGAGGCCGGGCCTCATTTTTTTACAGTGCAATTGTTCGGGACTTTAAAGATACGGCAACTCTTGTCGCATTCTGTGATACCAATCAAACTCGCATGGATGTCGCCAATGATCGAGTGCAAGAGTTAGGTCTTCCACGATTGCCGACCTTCAAAGCGATTGATTTCGATCGAATGATCGAAGAAACCAAGCCCGATACAGTCATCGTCACGACGATTGACCGAGCTCATCATCAATATATCATCCGAGCAATGGAATTGGGATGCAATGTTCTCAGTGAAAAGCCGATGACGGTGGATGAGATCAAATGCCAGATGATTCTTGATGCCGTCAAAGCCACCAATCGACAACTTCGAGTTACATTCAACTATCGATACGCTCCTCACAACACCAAAGTCCGAGAGCTGTTGATGGATAATACTATTGGAAAAGTCACTTCTGTCCACTTCGAATGGCTGCTCAACACCCAGCACGGGGCAGATTACTTCCGCCGCTGGCACCGAGACAAGCGCAATAGTGGAGGGCTTCTGGTACACAAGTCTACGCACCATTTTGACCTAGTCAATTTCTGGCTAGGCAGTCGTCCTGCGACCGTCTTTGCACAGGGTGATTTGAAATTCTACGGCAAGGAGAATGCTGAGCTTCGTGGAGAGACCAAATTCTACTCACGAGCCCACGGCAGTCCTGCCGCAGCAAATGACCCATTTGCTCTCCACATGGAAGACCACCCTCAGCTCAAAGCAATGTATCTCGATGCAGAACACGAAGACGGGTATTATCGAGATCAAAGTGTATTCGGTGACGGAATCAACATCGAAGATACCATGGGCGTGTTGGTCAGCTATCAATCCGGCGCGATCTTGACCTACAGCCTCGTCGCATACTGCCCGTGGGAAGGATTCCGCGTTAGCTTCAATGGTACAAAGGGACGTCTGGAAATGGATGTGTTGGAACAGTCGTACGTCAATGCTGGTGGTGAACAATCTCAAGAGGGCGCCGTGGCTCATACGAAAATCACCGTGCATCCCATGTTTGCGCCACCCTATGATGTTCCAATCGTCGAGGGGGAAGGTGGCCACGGTGGTGGGGACCCTGTTTTACTCAATGATTTGTTCGGGACGCCTGCGGCCGACAGGCTTCATCGCGCCGCCTCGCATGTCGATGGGGCAATGTCGATCTTGACAGGTATTGCAGCAAATAAGGCCATTCGTACTGGGCAGGTAGTTCAAGTTAAGGATTTGGTACAATTTTAGACAGGGAAATCAGGCGATAGATTGTGGCCATGCTCGGGTGAAATAAGCAGATGGAAATAGATGTACATGAAATAGAACTTAGTGGAATCGCACTTTCACATCCAATTTTTGGCTTTCAACATTCATGAAGTGATTATGATGGTGTATGTGCATTTTTTTCAAATTGGGGACCGTCATCCATATTCACAGCGAGTTTCCTATGCGCCAGAAATGATATTCTGCGCGATGAGCAGTATTTTATGGCGTCCATTCCACAAAGGATAAACGCCAACAGTCAACAACGTGGCCCACAGCCAGATCTCAGCCACAACAATCCATGCAATGAAAAGCTAGAAGATGTTAGCAGATGATCATCTTCTTGACTCGAAAATGACTTACTCCTTTGCTAAACTCGAATTTGGCGGCATACATCGGAAGTGGCCAGAGAACCCAATGGCCCAGGAAGGTAGCTATGGCCCAAAATAACGCATACCGTGACCCCCTTCTTTGGATGACATCAGAAGCATCGTCGCGAGCTTCATTGGTTTGAGTAATATGGGAGTTCTTCCGGACGTCTGTATCAGTACAAGATCTATCGTGATCTTCATCGATCCCATCCACTGCAGCGACAGCCAGGCTGACCTTGCCCAGCGATGTCCAGTCGAAGTTCTCCGGCGCGAACAATGTGATGAGTACAGAGTATAATGCAGGGCTGAATGCAGATGCAATTGTGCCGTACATGCATGGAAGTGTTTGTCCTGTTGAAGAAACAGTGACAGAGCCATAGTAGCGATGAGCTGTGCCAATCCAGACAGCGAGGCCTGTCAACAGCCCAAGATAGGCGGATGCAATGACCGCCAGACGACTTTGCTTTCTCCAAAGAATCGACAAGACGAGTGGAAAAATCCCTGGGCAAGTTATCACTCCTGTGGCATCCAGTCAGCAAATATCTAGTAAACATGAGTTTCTCGAGGGTACCAATCATGTATAGTGTCCAGCCCATGTCAATTCCAACATAGTGGAATAGAGCGGTTAGACCCGCTGCAACCAGACCAAACAGAATCACGCCTATTCTGCTCCAGAGGATCACTTCCTTGTTTGTTGCGCTCCTGTTGAAATAGGTCCGGTAGACGTCAAAAGCCACAATCGAGGATACGGCAATTACCTGTGCTGACAGCGTAGATGTGACCGCCATGAAAGTCATCAAAAGCGTGGCCACCGCGCCTCCTTTGCCAGCTACTGCGATCGCTGCATAAGGCAATGCCAGTCCATTTGTCACCTCTGTACTGGTCATTGTCTGAAATTAAAATATTAGCTTTCTGAACATGATCGGTTCACCGGCTGGACTTACTCTGGGGTATGTCGGAAACGCCTTTGTGGTCTCTAATCCAAGGGCAACCATACCCATCACAGTCCCAAGAGCCCAGGGTACACTGAAGTAAGATATTCCTCCAATTACATAGCCTGGAACAACACCTTCCGGTGATGCAGCGAAGGCTTTCGTGAAGTACCCAGTGTCCATCTATACACAGTTAGTCTCACTTCACAAGCATGGTAGCAACAGAATGAGACACCAACAATGACGGCTCCAAAATTTGACACCAACAGGATAATTGCAAAGAAGATCCCCTGTTGGGATGTCATGGTCAAGAGTGATCCTTGATAGTTTCCATCGACAATGTGATTTGGCTGAGCTGCAACGACGAGATCATAGAGTCCTCCAATTGAGCCAACCTCTGGACTAGTCAACGCTTTGAGGGTCAAATAGCAGCATAAAATCAGAATGATGAACGTGTGTATATAGTCCGTCAAAAATCTGGGGCTCAATTAGCGTTGTGAATTTCTCAATAGAAATAGGCTAACTCATACGTCGCTTTGATACCGCCTGTCAGAGTATAGATGACGACCCCAAGCGGTAGCAAAAATGTAGACGCCATGATGTGCATTCCAGTGCTGGATAAATTAGCACTCTTTCCACTGGTAGATTTTGAGCTTTTTTGACGGACTGACAGATATGTAATGGCTGATGAAGCTCCGAGAATCATATTGATGGTGTTAAACAGGTTGTTGACCACCGCCAAAAAAGTAAAGCTCAGGTGAGCAAGGGTCCCTGAGGAATATCATCAGTGTTGACAAAATTCAAGGATAAGGATGTTGGGATGAACACTAACCATATCGAATCTTGATAATTTCCAAGACGGTATGCGCGCTAGGTACACGTCTCTTGCAGACAGTCCCGAGATATGCAAAACACACGATCATAGGCGAGCACCCAGCCGCATACCAAAAGGGACCACTGATGCCGTATTGATAGGCTACCAAAACGGCACTAAGTAAAGCTGTGCTCCAGAGCCATGACTAGAATGCAGTCAGAATTAACCTTTGAAAGCTGTCACCCAGACATACCGAGACAACTGCCGAGGCCACTAAGCCAGTGCCAACAGACCGATTGGCAACCATGAATCTTGTCAACATTAGACGAGATCTTCGATCTTGACTGGGGCTGAGCATACGTTTCAACTTTTGAATTGTCTTCACCGACTGTTTTCTTCAATATTCTGGTGACCACCATCATTCCTTTGTTCAATTAGTATCTTCTCGAATTCCATCTGCTCATCACCTACCTGTCGCAAATGCTAACCCAACTCCAATCACAACCCCATATCCCACACCCTGTGACAAAGGGGGAGAAATTTGAGACATGGTTTACGATGCTGAAGAAATAGTTCAGAACAGAGTGAGCAAACACAATACTAAGGCGCCGGCTACGATCTTTACCATGACTCTTATACCTGCTTCAGAAATATCGGCCGAGACTAACTGAGTGTAATAATGCAGATTCATTTCCACTATGGCAGCTTGTCTTTCACAATTACTCTTTCTGGCATCTAAAAAGAGAAAATTTGTGTCGTGTTCGTGCTTAAATTGGAGCTGCCAACAAAATGGCGTGCTTACTGTGCTTCATCGCGAAGCTTTCTCGTCATTTTTGTAGAGAAGCCGCTAAAATGGTGCAAGCACGGCTGGATAATCTAAGTCCCCATTTGGCCAGTGCCAATCCTGAAATTATGCAGAGTCACGCCAGGGGTATTCTAGAACAATCCGAGATATGTGATCTAGCCTAGGGTCCATGTATCGCCAGTGCTTTGAGAATCAACTTCGCAGGCCACCTATTGCTTCTTCAGTTTGATGACGATTTCCTTTCCATCCGCTATTGTTCAGTCATACCATGCTCACCAACTAGTTAACTATGGATACATGACCCATTCTTTAGTCAACCCTACATGGTATCTCCCAGTCTTGTATAGAGACGCTTGTTCTGATTCTGCGCAAAGGACTCTACCGCTGGTTCACAAGGTTCTCTTCCACTCTCAGAAATTTGGATTATCAAATGCTGGTGAAAGGTCCTGTTAGTATCTCCGTCATATGTTAGCGACCCCCTGCCGTCCAAACCTACCTTTGAAAGACCTTCAATCGGGAGAGCTAGTCTGCTGGAGCTGACTGCGAAGAGGTTAGACCTGGTTCGCCTTATGCGCTCGCGTGATCCAGAGAGGGTGAATATTTGATAAGATGCCTCGGCGTCTCGTCTAATAACCGCCTGGCGACTGTAATTGCCGCAACAATGGCGGCTGGAATACTCCCAGTGCTGGAGCAAATCGGATCGGCTGCATCGTGTGGGTTAGCCATTAGCCTCGCCTGCAGGAATCGACCCACCGACATTCTGCTGGCCATACAGTATATGGGAGATTAACAGATTGATGATAAATATATGGATTCAACTGTTCTCAACTTTTAAGTTCCTGATCGAGGGGCTGTCCCAAAGGAGCCTTCCGCTGGTTAAGACCCAGCGGGTCACTGCTGGACCTGAACGGGCAGCGGCCGAGGCGTTGGCATTTCCCTAACTCTGGGACTGCAGGTTCGGTCGGCTTTCCCCCTTTCCAAGTGCACGTTCGCCCTTCTTTTCTTCAATTCACGAAGGAGCAGATCACAGGCAGAACGAACAAATCAAAATTTCGAAGCACAATCCTGCAGTGGGCGACGATCCAGGGTCCTGTCCAACTTCCAAGTTCCCTTAACGTCATTTCCCCGCAGCCACCAACCATGTTTCCCGTCCCAGCGATGCTTGTATCGCGTTGACAGCCACGATTCAACCCCCGTCATTGCAAATTGCAATCTCAGACTCTGTTTCGTCCCTCTATCGATGTATCACTGCGACTAGAGCATTTGGTTCGGTCTGTCTCAAGGGGCAAGGTCTGTCGAGACCGCCGAGGACCCTCCCATCCGACCATTACGACAGCACACAACACGCCCGACTGATCCTCCGTCACTATGAGCGTCCACTCGCTTGACTACGCGCAACGCGCGCCTAAACCAGATACCCTTCAAGTGCTCGACCTCGAGGCCGGTCACCAATCACCAAATTCCCCGATCTCACCCATGAGACGGGAGGGCTCCGTCACCGATGCGTTCACCACCGCAGCAGCCAGAGTCAATTCCACCGATACAGCCAAGCGCCGAGCGCGACGCTCCAATACCGCACGGTCATACCATCCGGAAGGCTTTTTAAGTGAGATCAATTGGCAGCCAGGCACGGAACCAGGTATCGACCCAACGAAACCTCTACCCGCATACAGCTCGGAATGGGCGTCGAACGTGCCGGGCGACCTACAGCGGGAGTGCGAGATCACCGTGGTGGACTTTTCGCAGCATGAAATGCGACAATATGAACTTGACAACGAGACACTTCCGCAATTCCTCTCCCGTGAGCGAGAGCCTTGGGTACAATGCCGGTGGATCAATGTGAATGGGTTAAGCTGGGATGTGATCAAATGCGTCGGCAGTCATAAAGGGCTACATCGACTGGCAATCGAGGATATTGTCCACACTACCAACCGGACGAAGGCTGATTGGTACTCGGACCACGCATTTGTTGCCTTAACATTGCAGAAGCTGGTGAAGCTCCAAGAAGCGGATAGCAGTGACTCCGAGGACGAGGGTAACGGACATGAATGGGGCGGCAAGGAGCGCAAGAGCTCTGTTGTGAGCGATAAGAGCTCTGTGTCGATGAAACATTTGACCAAACGACGTCTTATCTTTGATGCCCTGAAAGATATCTTCTGGTCTCAAAATCGATCAAAGAACGAAAAAGGGAAGGCGACGGTAGGAGCCAGTGTTCGCCCTGGTCCAAGGCGATCAAATTCAAAACGCGCGTCCCAGTTTGGGAATATTGCTCCTGCCCGAGCAGCCACTGCCAGAACACTCCAGCGCTTTCGCGGGGGCCCGAACGAGGATCGGATCGATTTTATGGAACGACACGCTGTGCTAGCGTCCAAGGGCTTATGTGTTACCTTGGAGCAAGTTTCAGTTTTCCTGCATGCCGACAACACCGTCACATCGTTCTTCGAAAACAGTGCAGACGATATCGAAGCCCCCATTGTCCGACGCCTCAGCTCACCGGAGACCATTCTTCGGCAGTCATGCGATGCTAGTATGCTTCTGCAAGCCATTCTGGATGCTGTCATCGATCTTGCCATTCCAGTTACCATGGCCTATCAAGATGCAATTGGCGACCTCGAGCTTGGGGTCTTGACCGATCCGGACATAGATCAGTCAAAAAGCCTCTATATTCTAACATCTGAGATCGCGGTGTTGCGGAATTCGATGCAGCCAATGGTAGCCGTGATCAATGCACTCCGTGATCATCGATCCGACCCAATTGCTACCCCAGGCTTTGGCGCCCTGCGAAAGGCGATGTTCAGCCCGATTTCAACGCCTGGTGAGCCCGAGCTCCAGCAGCCTGCTGCCACCATTGGCACCATTACACCCAACCTGAAGAGCTTTGGAGGCTCGAGTGTCACGATTAGCACGATGTGCCATACCTATCTAGGGGATGTCCTTGATCATTGTATCACTATTGTGGAGGGATATGATCAAATGCGGCGCGCCGCAGATAACATGATAGATCTGATCTTCAACACTATTGGAGCCTACCAGAACGAGAGTATGAAGCAACTGACCATAGTCACCTGCCTGTATCTTCCGATGACCTTTTTAACGGTATGTGGTGGTTTTGGAACCTCTCCTACTGCCATTTGGTTCGCTGATAAAGAGTACAGGGTTACTTTGGAATGAACTTTAAAAAGTTTGAAGGCATCGATCACAGTGACTCGTAAGTAAATTTGACGGGCCTTCGTCGGTCGAGCAGAAGCTCACGCATTTGACAGATATTTTTGGAAGATCGCTGTGCCATTCGTCTTTGTCACCACGCTTTTGCTCATGTAAGACTTGATTTCTCGTCCTACTCTAATCACCATCAATACTGACATCATCTTTTCTAGGCGTGATAAGATCCAGCGTTATGTTGTCATGCTCGCACAGAGACGCCTTATCATTAGCTCCAGGAAGCAGAGACGAGAGAGGAAGAAAAGGTGACTTTCGTCTTGGCAATGCTTGGCTTTTGCTATCACTATGCAGCCGCATTTGGGAGGGAAGAATTGCCCTTGCTCTTTTGTATAATTGCTTTGGCACTAGACATCATCATTTCTTGTATCTATTAGTACATGTATTATACACGGCTATGCCTGTTTTCTTAACCAATCGTCTTCCGCCGGAACGCCATATAGGCCTTCCAAGGTAGTCTCCAATCTCCACTGAGCAACTCAGGACGGAAAACGTCAAAGTCATACTGCTGTAGTCGCTCAAGCCACAACCGTGTGGCAATCGCAGGCATGAAGACACCAAATGCCCGGTTGACCTCGTCCAGGGGTGTCTCATTACCCCGAGGCCCACCAAGCGCAGAAGTATCATACTCATGACCCTCCTCACCCTCGTGCTCGAATTCGTGCCCAACGTCCTTTCCAGCACGGAGATTGCTCAACATCTGATCCACGGTGATCAAATGATCACTCGCCCGCGTAGCAACAGCAAATACCGCATCACGAAGACCCTCAGCCTCAGCACCCCGTCGTAACACCTCTTCTTCCTTGACCCCATTCTGCGCCATGATGTCCAGAGGTAGGATCACCGCACCCTGTTTCGCACCGCCCCCAATAGCCGGAGGTCCACTCGGAGACTGAGGCGTCGGCTGAGGGAACGCAACCAACGGCAATCCCCGCAAAACAGCCGCAATGCCGACAGCCTTTCCAATGTGGGATGCCACATGATCCGCTGTCACAGATGTCATCGGTAGCGCAGCCAGCGTCAAATACATCAGTGTGGAATAGGTATTCTCAGCATACGACTCGAGAGCCGCAATGTTCGGGTAAGGGTCATTAGTGAGAGTTTGCTCCCGCGCATTGATAAGGCGTGTTAGCCAGCCCTTGGTGATCCTTGTGCGGCCTTCGGTGCGCTCGTTGAGATCAGAGATGGCGGAGGCAAGTAGAATTGCGACGGGTTCCTTGGGTGGAGCGCCGGCAAGGATTTTCGTTACAGCATCGCGCCAGAATTGTAGGCGCATGAGGCCGATTGTGGGCGAGGAGGTGGTCTCGGGGATCATGGAGAGGGAGACGTTTAATGCGCGCAGGGCGATGTAGAAGGATCGAGCGTGTGGTGGGATGAAGGTGCTCAGGGTGTAGGAGGGTCGGTCATATTTTCTGGAATGGCGGAGATTCAATTAGCCTTGTAATTCCTTGCAGTATTTTCATGCAGTCCGAGCAATGGTTCTGGGGGTGAAGGGGTCAACGGGGTATCGCATACGAGAGGAGGGAAACGCAGTATTTATGTGCTCCTTGGACTTCGTCCGCGGTGAGTGGCGCAGAGACTGGTGCAGTGCAACTGAACTGCCTTAGTTGAGGCCAAGGGCCTCTTGATGTGAGTCGACATGGCTTCCTAGCCCGACACGACCGTGCTACTCCTCGAACAAAGGACATTGGAGGCGTGTGTTAAGGTGGAGATGAAGTTGAGGTTGCGCCGCCGAGAGAAGTAATCGGCCCGATAGTATTGGTCCACAGCGCGGGTCTCTTTGTCTGCCAAATAATAGAGATAGTAGAGGCTAAATGAGATAGATTAAGCTTATTATGCAGTTTTATCTCACTAACTAGTTACATTGAATGAACAAATCTTGATACTCTAGCAGCAGCTCAATCCTGAATCAGCGGGTAATTGAAATTTGACCTTTTTGGGACGCTGACGTCGATCGCGCCCGTTTCGCGTTCCTCGGCGCGTCTCTCCAAATCTCCTTTCTCTTCTTCTCAGCCTGCACCGAATGTGTCAACCACGAGTATGAACGAGGATCTGGAGCATCGACCAGCGAAGAGACAACGCTTTTTCGTCGACAGCTCCGTTTCCTCGCCAGATTCGGTAGCGGGGATTGGGCACGCGTCTCTGCCTCGACATTGTCCTGGACTAGACGACCGCGAAACGGAGCAACATGGCTCTACCAATCTTCCAGAGACCCCTTCGAAGGGCAGTGCAGCTGCCTGTGGATTGACAAGCCCGATTGATGGGCTATCATCAGAAAGTCCTAGGGGTGACGCAACAGAGCATCCATTGACGGCGTCCCGGCTACAGAACGGAACGATTCAGCCAGCTACCAGCCAAGCCGCCGTGCATCCGACGACAAAATCGCCCTTATCGAACGGTTTCGATGTCGATCTTTTCACTAGTATTATAGGTGAAACCTTGCCTACGGAATCGTTGCAACTCATCCAGTCCGCGTCATCCAACAACGTCGAGCGAGCGGTCAACATATTTTTCGACGGATCATGGAAGAAGCCAGCGAAAACGAACTTTGGCAGAGGGACTCCGACCATACGGCAAGTCCTTCCAGCGTCGACCCCGAGTGCGATATCGAATACCCTTTCGACATCCAAAACCCAGGAGAACTCAGCCGAGCACGTATCCGTTCTGCGAAAGCAACCGGCAGCGCGGTATATAGGAGCTTTTGGTGTCGGAGGATGGGCCACGAGGAGTGGACTGGCTCTACTCAAACATGGAGATCCAGTCAATATTGAACGTGCCCGGTCTCAGCCGGTTGCCAAACGCGGCCGTGGTGGCAAGCTGTTCACAAACAACAGGGGGGATGTTCTGACTCGGTTTACAAATGCTTCTGGCCAGGAGATTGGAAGACTTCCCCATGAAACAGCCGAGTGGGTCTCAACCCTGATTGATCAAAAGATGTGTCAGTTTGAGGGAGTCTGTGTGTTTATCCCGGACAGAGTACGGGTGAACGATACGATCTACTTGCAGCTGAAATGTTACCTGCGCAAGGAAGCGTTCCAGCGCGGTCCCTTCATAGGAACTGTCGACGACAATCGATCCATGGGCTTGTTCGAAGAGAAGGAAAGCGCTGAAGAAAAGAATCTACGACTTCGACAAGTAGCTCTCGTTAAACTATTCCATGAAATCAATCTCCAGCCAACCTCCACCAACCCCACCACAGAGAAGCACAAGCGAGATGGCTTACTCCGTGCGGCTGAAATGGCGGAGCAATACGACGGTGTCAAAAAGGAGAATGAAAGAGTAAAATCCAACAAAGATCCCAACGACTCCTCTTCTGAAGAAGATACTGCTGAATTGGAAGAGGATCAGCTCGATACCTTGTACCGCAAGGCCCAGTCCTTCGACTTCAGTATGTCAGTGGCTGAGCCTGCTGCGACTTTCAAAATGAATCTCCGCAAGTACCAAAAGCAGGCTTTATTCTGGATGCTCTCCAAAGAAAAGGACAAGAAGGAAGCTCGTGAGCGATCCATGCATCCTTTGTGGGAAGAATACACGTGGCCCACGAAGGATGTTGATGACAAAGAGTTGCCCTCTGTTGAGGGTATAGATCACTTCTATGTCAACCCTTACTCCGGCGATCTGAGTGTGGATTTCCCTGCTCAAGAACAACACTGTCTTGGTGGCATTCTCGCTGATGAGATGGGTCTCGGAAAGACTATTGAAATGCTCAGTCTCATCCACTCCCACAAATCTGAGCCTCCACCTGGAGCTTCCGACGGTATGAACTCTGTGAACGACCTTGCGAGAGTCCCGACTTCATACGCCGGCGTGGTTCCCGCACCCTATACAACACTTGTGGTTGCGCCAACTTCGCTGTTGTCCCAATGGGAGAGCGAGGCGTTGAAAGCTTCTGAGCCAGGCTCCATGAGAACACTACTGTACTACGGAGCAGACAAATCTGTCAACCTGCGCGAACTCTGCTGCGCGGCCAACTATGCAAATGCACCTCATGTCATTGTCACCAGCTACGGCGTTGTACTCTCAGAGTTCCGCCAATTTGCGTCGCAGTCTTTAACAATACCTGCTGCGCATGGTGGTCTCTTCTCTGTTGAATTCTTCCGTGTTATCCTAGATGAAGCCCACATGATCAAGAATCGCCGGTCGAAGTCTGCTAGAGCATGTTACGAGATGCAGGCAATACATCGATGGGTTCTCACAGGTACGCCGATCGTCAATCGCTTGGAGGACCTCTTCAGTCTGGTGCGCTTCCTAAAGGTGGAGCCATGGAGCAACTTCTCCTTCTGGAAAACGTTCATCACCGTACCTTTCGAGAACAAGGAATTTGTCCGCGCCCTCAATGTAGTCCAAAGTGTCTTGGAACCTCTTGTGCTTCGACGGACAAAAACGATGAAAACACCGGAAGGCGAACCTCTGGTCCCATTGCCAAAGCGTACAGTCACCATTGAGGAGGTTGAGCTTTCAGAACAAGAACGCGAAATCTATGACTGCATTTACACGCGAGCCAAGCGAACCTACAACGACAATGTCGAAGCAGGTACTCTTCTCAAGTCGTACTCCACCATCTTTGCTCAACTGCTCCGCCTTCGTCAGACCTGCTGTCATCCAATTCTCACACGCAACAAGGATATTGTTGCCGATGAGGAAATCGCTGCGGCAGCTCTGGATGCTACCAATGGTCTGACGGACGACATGGACCTGCAAGAGCTTATTAATCGATTTACAGCGTCGACGGAGAATGCAGAAACCGAAGACCGGTCCATCAAGTTCACGGCGCACGCCCTCCGGCAGATTCAGACAGAGTCGAGCGGAGAGTGTCCTATCTGCTGCGAAGAGCCGATGATCGATCCCGCGGTAACAGCCTGCTGGCATAGCGCCTGCAAGAAATGTCTCGAGGATTTCGTGCGCCATCAGATGAATAAAGGTGTGATGGCTCGCTGCTTCTCGTGCCGAGCAGATGTAGATGCGAGAGACATCTTTGAAGTCGTGAAGCACCCGCTTTCTCATTCCGCCACTCCCATGGAGGACTTTGCTGGTAGCGACACTCCACTAGCAGGCTCACAGCCTGCTCCTCGTATCTCTCTCCGCCGAATTAATCCCCTCTCCCCCTCGGCGCATACATCAGCAAAGATCCACGCGCTGATCAACCACCTCTCTCGCGTTCCACCAAACACCAAGTCTGTCGTGTTTTCGCAATTTACCTCGTTTTTGGACCTCATCGGCCCTCAGCTCTCCAAAATGGGTATCTCCCATCTTCGCCTCGATGGATCCATGCCTCAAAAGGCCCGTGCCGCGGTCCTTGCTGAATTTACCAAGACCGAGGAGTACACGGACGAAATTATCGACACCGAGGACGAAACGCCGTCGCGGGCTGGCCCCTCAACTTCGAAATCACGCAACTCCGAACCCAGTCCCAGTGTTCTCCTTATCTCGCTTCGTGCTGGCGGTGTCGGTCTCAATCTCACCGTCGCCAGCAACGTCTTCGTCATGGATCCCTGGTGGAGCTTTGCCATTGAGGCACAAGCTATTGACCGCGTCCACCGAATGGGCCAATTGCGTGACGTGTCCGTGACTCGGTTCATTGTCAAGGACTCGATCGAGGGTCGGATGCTCCGTGTGCAAGAACGCAAAATGAATATTGCTGGATCGCTTGGCCTGCGTGTTGGTGGCGATGAAGGGGACGATGATAAGAAGAAGGATCGTATTGAGGAGCTAAGACTGCTTTTCGAGTAATCATTCGAGCGTTTTGATGTTAAGGCTGGCATATTTGACACAATATGGTATATAGGGTTTCTTACATATCGGGGTATGGGTGGTTTCCTCTTCATGGCGTCAGGAATTCTGGGGTAAAACAGGCCGTCTGTTGAATGTTCTTCTTAGTGACGAAAAATAGAATACACTGCACTCTTCCATCATTTCCATTACTGCCCACCCTCATCTCCTCCCTAACGGGACTAAAGGGTGCTCGAATTACATGGCTAGAGGAGACATGTTTATAAATTTGCCTTTTGCCTAGTTACATGAGAACGAATACACATAGAGAAGTGAAACAATTAAGCCGAGAAGGTATAGTATAAACGATAAGACAAATAACAACAGACACCAGGGATATAATTCACTCAAACTCCCATCAAACACGAGATCAACAATCAAACCGATTCAAGTATAGAACGCAACTAGCCATCCCTAAGCCTTATTGCTACCATGACGAGGATGCGCAACCTTGCTCAACTTCTCCTTCATCTTATGCAACGGGCTATGCTTTCCATTCCCACTTCCCTGCGAAGACTTATCCGCACTCTTCGACAATCCATTCTCCACAGACCCACCCTCCATCTTTGCACTCTTCACCCCCTTGGCCTCTTTCTCAAATTCCTCCGCAGGAACCGGCGCAGGACCCTGTGGACCCTTCAACGCCTCCTCGCTCACCTCGTGGTGGTCAGTGGTAGGGGCGTCTTGGCTGCTCTGGCCCGCGGTGCTTTCAGTGCTGCGCTGCTCGGTCTTGGGTTCGCTGGTGACTGCGCTGCTTCCGCCGGCTTCGGCTGGTATCGAGCTTGATGCTACGCCTGCGACGGGGACCGGGGAGAGAGCCGGGGATGTTAGAGTGGGTGGTGCAGTGATGGGTGCAGTAGGAGCAGTCTTTGTGATATCGACGTCGTCGGTGTTTACATCCGCGAGTAGGTCTTTGCGAGTGGGATCTGTCTTTGCGCCGTCAAGTCGAGGCTCTTGCGGGGCGGTGTTTCCTTCTGAGACCGGTGCTCCTGGTTGTTCTAGAGAATTCGGGTTTAGTTAGCCTTTTTTAGGTAAATCGATTGGTGGCGTGCATGTGTAGGTTTTGTGGAATCTTTCTCCGGGGCTAGATTCATGCTCTTCAAGCACTAGATGTGGATGTAGATAGTTCTTGACTTACCCTCGCGATTACCAGCGTCATATGGGTCATTGGGGTTACCGGATCCTTGGACACCGGCAATAGGTTCTTCGCCGTGTGGTGTAGACTCCTGCTGGACTGTACTACCATCACCCCACAGGGCGGCTGTGGCTGCACTGACGACTTTGCTAACGGCTTCCATCTTGGTGGGAGATTTGATAGTGGGAGGTTGACAGGAATATACGAGGAAAATTTGGTAATTGTGTAGATAATAAAGTATCTAGGAGTATTCAGGGAGGCAGGAGAATCAAGTAGACTTTAAAGGATCGGAGATTGGAGGGGTAGAAGAGGCGGAGGAGAGTATAGATAAAATACGATCGTTTCGAGTAGGTGAAGATGTCATCAATGGCTGGGGATAGATTAGCTGGGTCTACAGCGAGGAAGTGGGACGGGGGCGTAGGCCCGCGTCCAAAGGACTACGTCAGTGGAGCCCAGGATATACGGAGAAGACTGCAGATGAGAATCTTATTGAAGGAATAGATTGTTTCAATGATGGTGTTCATTGGTTGAATTGGAGATTGATTGGATGACGATGTCAGGCGGATCCTCGATGGACGCATAACATCATCTGACGTCATATCACGTGTGAGAATATAGAGTGAGGTATGACGGAAACTGCAAGATTCAAGACTGAAGACTACTGGAAGCTTCCTAGCAAGGTATAGGGTCGGTGTAGAAACAGCTGTTGGCCTAAAAAATGCAGCAGCCCAACACGAACAATGAATAATAACAAATTGGGAATCAGCAAAAAGGTCAGAATCAAACACTACATGCTCCATAATGCAGTCACTCTTTACGTCGCTACTTAAACTTTCTCATTCGTTTCTTCATTCCCTTTCTCCACATCACCCTCGCCCTCTCGTTTCGTTGCATTGGGATTCAGGGGATGCTGAGGGTCATAACCAATGCTTTTCACAATGCCTAGACCTTTAGTCTTACCCTCCCGGAACAGGACACGATCGCCTGGCGCCAGGAACTCGGGCCGCTGGATGAAGCGGAACGCCACGAGGGCGCGGTCGCCAGTCCTGATGAAGGGGCGATCGATGTCGATCACTGCGCAAGTTTGGCTGACCGCTCCAACGTGCAACATGGCCTGATACTTGGGCTTGATGGTAGTTGCATGAGACAGGATCAGAACTAGAAGGGCAGGTTAGGAAGGTGTCACACAGTGGGGAACGCCTAAAAATAGAAATAAACTACGATAGCTTACCTTCAGCCACAAATTCGCGGTACACTTTAGGAGGATTGTCCATCTTTTTGAGTACCACCATGCCCTTGCGGACTTCTTTGCGGCGGACGCGTTTTAGGGCGAACGAGCCCGACTGGCCTGCGAAGCAAGCATTCACCTGTATTCGCTTGCGCTCGATACTCTTTATCGTGGTGGTGGTGAATTGACCGAGAGAATCTGGCCCAACGACAACCGAGTCGCCCGCATGAATCACACCGGACTTGACCACCCCCGACACAACTGTACCTACGTGAGGCACTGAGAAGGTATCGTTGATCAGGAATTCGAATGGAGCTTCCTGATCATAGTGCCCTCGGTGAGGAAGGATATTCAGGAATGTCCGAACAAGCTCCAAATTCTCGCCGGTAACATTGGAGACTTGGAAGATGGGGCAGATACGCTGACTGACGAACTGAGTCGCCGTGTTGATGGTCTCTTCCATATCTTTCACAAAAATGGGGATCTTGCGCGCACCAGGAGACTTCAAAATCTTCGACAATTGCGACAGAGTCTCCTGGAGGATCTGAGGCGGGCAGATATCGATTTTGGTGACGATGACCATGACAGGGACGTTCAGCGCGAGGGCAATTCCCAAGTGCTCACGACTCATGCCGATCAAACCATTGTTAGCGGCGACCATAAGCAAACAGTAGTTGGGGCTGCTGCTCAGCATGCCAAAGACGGTAGTGCGCAGGTAGCGTTCGTGGCCCGCCAGGTCAGAGAACGAGATGACTTTCGCAGAGCGCTTCCCGATCTCTTCCCAAGAGAGTTTTCGGCCTTGGGTGTTGCCCACGATGTCGCCGTGGCTGTCGAAACCCATAATTTCCATTCCGACGGAGCTGGTTCGCCCGCTTTCAATCTCGTGCTTGTGGCGGAAGAGGTTGACTCGCGCACGGCCACGACCATCATCTAGGCTGCCTTTTACCAGCACACCAAGCATGGTACTCTTCCCCGCGTCGACATTGCCTACGACCGCAATGCGCAGTTCCCCTACCTCCTCAATATTCGTTGCAACCTGGCGGATCAGAACTTTGCCCCATGCGCCCCTGATACGATCATTTTTCACCGTGGATTCCTGGGCACCGCCCACATTATGCGTGAGTAGTATTCGACAGTGAGCCGGGATCGTCTCAGCAGCTTCACGCAGACGCTGGAGCGCCGTCTCCCATTGCGCCAGGTCAAACCCCATTGAATCGCCACCATCTTCAAGTCCTAGATCGAATATTGTCTCTCCGTGGCCTTCGTCGATTCGCGTTTGTATCGTTGCGGCGAGAGCTTGTAGACTATCCTCAGTTGTCGAGTCCCCCGTTCCGAGAAGGAGCTCCTTCAGCTTGACGGTGCGGGGCGCATCGGAAAGGCCAAGCTGGTCGAGGATCTCGAGTTCAGCATGGTCCTCGACATCGCGGGACACGCTGCTGGTCTCGTATCCGCTATCGCTAGGCGGGACCGGCACGGCAGAGCGATGCGCTTGCTGTTGTTCAGCGTACTCTGCGAACTCGCTGAGGGCCTAGCAATCATGTGAGTGAGGGCGCGGCGTGCCGCTACAATCGTGAGGCACATACGATCTCGCCTCTTTTCCTCTCCTCGGCGTTGGTTTTCGGTTTGAGTTGAGGCATCTTCGTGTGGGGTTGGATCAGGAGGTAGTTAAATGGGTTCGTGCCGAATGACGGTGAATCGCTCCTTGGAGTAGTGACGTTGCGGCGGTTCGGGGTGGATCTCGCCTTTGGCTCTGGCGCAGTTCAGACGTGTATTCGAGGGATCATCGCTTGACGCTGCTCTCTGAATCGTAAGAACAGAATAAAACAGGGGATTGAATCAGCTTCGAGGGAATAATCAGAGCATAGCAAATAAATCAAGAAGAGTAAAAAGGTAGAGAGGAGATCATTTCGAGGGGGGCGGGTCCCAGCTTTATCGATAAAGGTCGAGTCACTTGCTTGAGTCATCGAGGGTCGACTGCCAAAAAGAGCCCCCGCAAATCCCTTTTAGCTACAACATCATGTGCTGCGCCACGGTCACCCCATGAAGACTATTTTGGAAGCCAAAAGAACTATACTGTGACTAACACTGCGGTTTGGAGAAGGTGCCAGAGTCACCCTGGTGGAAGTAGTACAGCCTTGCGGCTCTGCGAGGAGCACAGCTACGGGAGGAAAGTGGTGGGCGGGTCGGGTCATAAACCAATTTCATGGTCTCATATCTATGCGACGGGATCGTATTTGGATGGTATTTTCTTCCATTCCTCCTCCCTGCAGGTGTCTTCTCGCCGGACGCCGATTCCTCTATCATTTCACGGAGGGCTGATCAGGCCTGGGGGGAGATCAGGCCTGGGGGGAGATCAAAACGACGGAATCGCCTAGAGGTGATCGAAGCGTGTCAGTATACATGGATTGAGATCCATTCAATTGAGGAGAGGAGATTCAAGGAGCGACTCACCTCGCACGAAAAGCATCTCTTCTTGCTTCTTGATTGTCTGTCAAAGCCGCGGCAACCTCTGATTAGCAACTGTCCATCCACAATATCCACACTTGTGCCCTACCCTTGTGATCTCCTGCTCGTTTTCGTCTTCCTCCACCACGTAGATGGTCTCTTCCACGTCACCCAAAACAAGGTTGCAGTGGCTGTCATATGCCTGAAGAGTCATCGCGATCAGTCATAATGCCAGGAATGGGACGTGACTTGGGGGAAAGCTCACGTGAAGGCGGCCCTTGAGTTCACGGTCTCCGCGCAGCTTCACGAACACAATCTCGTCTAGCGACAGACGGACAAGGTCGAGGGGCTCCGATACGGAAGCACCAACATCTTCGGTGTCAGCCATGGTGAGTGGTGGGCAATGTTCACACTGTCCACCGAGTTTCCAGCTTGCGCGGGAGATCAGAATCGGCGAGCTCTGTCCGCTGCCTGATTGGGACTAGCGCGCCAGTGGAGGGGTGTGCTGAGTCATCAGTATCTACCCCGGGTTTTGCTGGCAGTGCAAAACGTACATGCAGTGCAAACGCAATCTAAAACTATTTATCACAGGGTATGATTTCGTTTGACAGAAAGTAATGATGGTGATCATGGATAGAGCTAGCGGGATAAGCTCATAGTAACCATGTTACTTAATTCGCAATCGGGTAGCCCTGCTGTGGTACCAGATTTGGAGCGCTAACGACACTATAGACGGAATTGGCTGGTCAATCATATATACAGCTTCGAACATTTCATCGCTAATCCCGCTACCGAAGCACTCATTCGAGGTGACCGTCTATCGCTCAACTAAGCAAACGTCATTTTGATCAGGACACTGAGCGCTGATAACCAAACAGCCGCATTCGACTGCTTCAACGAGACAGCCGCTCCAGTACTCGAAGTCTTAGTAGCCCCAGCGGCCCCAGCGGTGCCAGAGGAACCAGATGCGCCAGATGCGCCAGTTCCAGTCGCCTTTACATCGTTATTCTTCCACGGCGATGCAGTCACAGTGTAAGTCACGGTGGACTGCGACCAGGAGAACACCGACCCGCTAGGCGGTGCGGTCAGTGCAGTCACGGCGCCAGTATTGTACAGCGTCTGGGTGCCATTCGGGGGTAGATTGTTTGGCTTGTAAAAGGTGTTCGATTTGGACGACGGAGGCGCAAATCCTAGGTTCTGGCACTTGTAACTGTCAAGGACACTCCCGCAGGTGCCCCAATCAATCACCGTGCCATAAAGAGTTGCTGTTTTGAACCAGAGGTCTGCGCCCATGTCGGAGGGGATCGTGTCGGGGCAGGTTTCGTACATGCTAAGTACTTTCGATCAGTATGAGTCGCACAACCAGAGAAGGAATAACATACGCAGACAGCCCGGCGCTAACCTCGCAACATCCACAGGCGGTGTCCTTATTCGCGAGCTCGATAGGCGAGGTTGTGCTGCTATTCGTGATACACGAGTTATACTCCTTTTGCGCCTTAATGACCGACTGCACGATCTTGCCAAGATTGCACGAACAACCGCTAGGAGCATTATCCGGCGCTGGCCAGAACGGGACCGGTTGGGTGGCAACAGGACATTCGATGAAGTACTCTGCTACCAATTCGTCGTATTCGCACGAGTATGCCTAAGGAAAAGGTCAGACAAGGCCCATGAAGATAGTAACTTGGCGTCATACTTGATTCCAGCATGATTCAGCCACACAGTTCATATAGCCCTGGTACATGGCACATCCGCAGCCAAGAACACAGATCTTGTTGCCGGCACATATGTCCATGCATCCCGTACTCTCCGTTAGGACTTTTGTTGAGCAGGTAGTGAAGGCAGAGGGGTCTGCGCAGACGCTGGCGGTGATGTTAGTCTGTGCGAGAGCAAGACTAGCAGCCCCTAGGGCCGTTAACGACACGAGTGTTGTCTTGGAGAGCATTTTTGAATTGACACAGGCCGAGTTCGAGTGGGTTTTCCAGGTTCGAGTCCAATAAGTATATTCCCGACATACAGTCTTGAAGCAGCCTCAATCACTAGCGGTGTACGGAGTAGGTATCGAAGCTTCGCTTCGTGGATAATTAAAAGGCACACCACAAGGCGTACACGGTACAGGACCAAGCTTTCAGCTCCATGGCTTGTTCTAAATAAGCCATTTATTGGAAGGCGCCAACTTGGCCCACCTGCAGGAAGGAATTGTTGAAATCTAAGCCCGTTGTTCGAGCTTGATCAGCTCGGTGATTTCGGTGATTTGGTTCCTGCTTATCAAATTGTGTCAGATTGGGTCTTTATATCCAATCGCTTTGATTTTCCAGTTCCTGCTATCAGGGGGTGGAGCAGTTGTGGCGTCCCAACACGAGCCGGCCTCGCCTAAGCTATACTGATCTAGATAAGTGCGATCCTCAAGGCAGAGCGACAGTTCACGATTGTTTTAGACCCTTGAACAACCCGCCGATGACCCTGAATTTCTCAAGGTTGGGGTCCGGAAATGCGGCACCTCAGCCTCACCAAATCAACAGACATTTTGCCTTTTACAGGTTGTGCTTGAGAGTGCAGCTCCTGCTCGACAGTAGAATAATATGTCGGTCGGCGAGCTCAAGGGCAAAATAACCGCCGAGACAAAATGTAACATTAGCGATGTCTTGAGTTAGTTAGTCCTCTTATTTTGAAGCTCTATGGATCATGTTAGTTATGGCTTACCTGTTAATACTATATTTTGTGATGGTAGACCAGCATACTCGACATACGCGAGATCTTCAGAGTCACTTGAGTTCCATGGTAAAAACGCGGCCCGAAACCTTTCATTATCTTGTTAGGGGAATCAGCGGTTCAAGCCGAAATCTCCACTAAGCGTCTCAAAGGCGTTGTCCGGGGTCAGTGCTGCTGTAAACGGAACAAATGGGAGCTTGCTTCGTCAAAGATTCCTTTATTTGACAAACCCCTGTAATTCAGGGCCCAGAGCTGGAGGCTATCAGTGATGGCCAGTCAAAGGAACCGTTGACTGACTAAGCCTTCAGCAGGCATAGTTGGTTAGTTACCGGCGAAACCACTGAGACTTGCGCTGCTTCCTCATCCTTAATACCTACTTTTCATTTCGGCGACGATTCAAGTTTTTCATTTGGCTCTCTATTCCTCTCGGTACTGGAATCCTTTCGCTCCGACATATGGCGCGACAGCTTTACCTCCTATATCTACCGCTCTTCGCGGGGCTAGTGCAGCCTCAACTGCTAAGCTCGTTACCATAATGCGCGGTTCGATCCCTGGTGTCTCTCCCACAATGTGACAGGGCCGCCTTGATAAAGGATTAACACAGGACACATGCTATACCGGCGCGACGAGCTCTTCAAATTGCAATATTAATGACTACAAATGTTTCTGTCAGAGCTCAGCGTACCATGAAAATTTCACCTGCTGTGTAAGGGCGCAGTGTGATTCGATAAATGCCGAGAGTATGAGATATGTAATTTATGGATCAGAATCACTGGCTCAATGATGGCTTAGGTGTTGGGAGTGGCTCCGAGTAAATGCTTCTCTTGTACAGCATTCATCAAGGCAAACTGACAAGGGGCTTCTTTCAGGTATGGTATTGCTATCACAGTTTTACCGGCGAGTGCATGCTCCAGTACTTTTGGCGTTTCGAGTCCGGCCACAGGTAACTATTCCCAAGCGACGCTGCCTGATGTTACTGATGTACTTTATCTGACTGTGACGCAGCCACGAGCACATAATTGCCCTCCGCTGCAACTGGTACGATCAGTCACAACACAATCACGGCGACAGCAACCGTCACGCAGTAAGCGAATGGGAACAGCAACAGTGAGAGTAACAGCACCTCGGCAGCCTCCTCCACAGTCGGCACACACCCACTCTACTCTAGCAGCAGTAGTTCCAGCAGTGGCTCATCACGAAGAAAATCGGGATTGAGCACCGGGGCCAAGGCAGGCATTGGAGCTGGCGTTGGAGGCGGTGTCTTGGGCATTCTTGGGGTGGTTATCGCGTTCATCTGGAGAAATCGAAACCGAAACCGAAACCGACCACAGCAAATGCCCCAAGACATGCCAGAGATACCCGATCAGGGAGGCCAGAGAACATCATGGGTGGAATATAAGAGCGAACTTGACGCGAACCAGCATCACCATCAGCAACCCGACCACAACACCCAGGTTTCCAAGACAGCCGCTTACGAGTCCCCTCCAGCGGATCCAGCCTCGGTCCTGTCGAGGCCCTGGAACGAGTTGCATGCAGATCCGGTGTACTATCACCAGTTACCTACTGGAGAGAACTCTTCGGGGTTGCAATGAAAGCAAGGATCCTCCGCTGAATGTATATATTGTCCGCCGTTAACGCATAATGATCATTTTCGATTGGCGAAGCCACGAATGTCCACGATGTCCACATGAATCAATCTCAGAGAGCAGAAGATTGCGAAAAGGGAATGGGCGATTGTATATATCCATACCCACGAGTATACCCCGGTGGATAGTTCGTTAATCGATTGGAATTACCGATTGACCGAGGCCTCTCCCCCAGTTTGGCCAGACTAGCCAGTTGGTTGGAGACTCCACTTTCCTCCGCTCTCCACTGCGGACCAGCCCACCTAATAATCATAATCAAAGTCCCTCTTGCTTCTGTAGCTACGAAGATCTGACATAGTGTGGAATAGGTAGTGACAGTAGCCAGGGACCAGGCAGTTCAATGGTCTGTAGGTATTACGACCAGCAATTCGGTGCCTGGCCCTGAACCGTACGCCGAACTGCCCAGTCATAGCTTGAGTCTCACTCCACGTAGTATTTCCATGCGGCCCCTCCCCCGGACTGGACTGGACTGGACTGGACTGGCGTGGCCGGGGTCGATGCGCACCCCCTCATTCCCTCGCCCCCCCTTGCATTTCTTTTCCTCCTTCGCGTGTTGTGATTGTGCCGCTTTCATCCTCCTCCCATCATCTGTCGCACTCATGAGGAGGACCATTCGAACCGGTGAGAGACTCTCCTCTCCCTGGCTATATTCATCGCGACCCAGGGCATCAGAGAGCCGTCTCCATGTCTACAGTTCCACCACACGACACCGAGTGCTTGATCTCACCGGGCGCACAAGACCAGTCTCCTCCTTGAGCAGCTCCTCCCATTCCCAGCCATTGTCCTCCCCTCGTCATCAACGCAGGCGCGAAACCCATCCCAATGATACCGTCCGCGAGTTCAATACTGGAAACAACAACCTGGGCGCCAGCGTCGTCTCCACACACGAGGCCCTACAGCCAGAGGAGGAACCAGATGACGCATCCCTGTTCGAAGCAGATGCCATCTTTCCCACCTGGGAGTCCCCCGAACAAGAGCACGAATATGCTGAGAAATTCATTCGCGTCCTTGAGAATGGCCAGCCCGATCAAGTGATGAAGGCCATGACTGACCCACGGTCGGCGGGGCTGGTCGGGTCGCTACCCCAGACTGTCTTCCTTGAGGCGCTCCACTTGCTCTCCCCGACCCATTTTGTGGAGCCCTTCCGCGACCTCCACCACCCCATTCACTCCTGGGCCGTGCTCGTCAACGGTCTCAGGCGCGTCGAGGAGGTTTTTGATACTTTCGTGAGTAATTTGTTTACCGTGACCCGCTACCGGACAGTGAGCGGCCAGACCTTGCAATTGGGAGAATTTACGCACCTCCTGGATTGCGCTCGCGCCATGGGCAATGGCGTTCTCGCGGATCAGGTGTGGGACACGATGGCGAAGATGGATGTCATTCCGGATACGGTGTGTTATAACCACTACATGGAAGCCAAAATTTGGGATCACTGCTATGCCGGACGAGAAGCGTATCGAATGCGCGTGAGTCCCCAAAGTTACAGGAAGCGGCGCAGCGAGGAGCCAGTGCAAGGATGGCAGGGCTTTGGGACTGCGCAGAGAAGTGTTCGAAAGTTTGTTCTCCGGATTTTCGGCGAGATGCAAGCCGAGGGCCATCTCGGTGATGAGCGCACGTATATCAACTTGTTTCTCGCAGCAGCGCGTGTGGGCCATGACCGGGCCATGAAGCATATCCTCAAGGAAGTTTGGAATATTGATGCGGAAGCTTTAAAGCTGGAGCCTGACAACTCGAAGCTGCCACCAGTAACGCCCTACGATCCGTGGTCCGCTCTGCATCCAACTGAGAATTTGCTGTTTGCTGTAGCTCACGGGCTGGGGGTGAACAATGATATTGCCGGTGCGATACGAACCGTCCAATTTATCGCGTCCTCTTACAATATCCCGATTCCCGCCAAAGTCTGGCACGAGCTTTTTGAACGGGCATACGTCCTATCGCGTCAGCGTTGGTCGGCATCGGATACAGCCAAGACCGAGAACTATACCGAATGGGCCAACACCATAGGCCGAGTCTCCGTCGACCTCGTGCGATCAGTCTTTGAGACCATGACCTCCGACCCTTACAACGTGACCCCCACGTTACAGGAGTGGCGATTCATGATCAACACCAGCATTGACAACGGGCGACTAGAAGACTGCAAAGACTACATCCGTGGCGCATACAACCTCCTAGAGGAAACTCGGAAGAAACAGGCTGAGGCTCGCGCGCTTGTGATGCGTTGTCTGGCCCCTGCCCTTGAAGCCGCCGAACGACAAATGCGACAAGGCGCCACCATGCCAGACCCAGAATTATTCCGATCCCCCATCCTCGCGGAGGCCATCCAAACCTACGACATCGTCCGACTCGAGGTCTGGCAACAAGTCTACCTCCTCCAGCGCATTTTGTTCCTCGTTCTCCGTGTGCCCAGCTGGAAAGACATTTCAGATAAAGAATGGCATCTCCAGGAACGACCCAAAATGCTAGAAGAATGGACAGACTTTGTCCCCAGCAAAATCCAACTTTTCTACGGTGAAGAGACGGGCTTCATCGATATGGTCGGTGCCAAGGGCTTCGGCAGCCGTTCTTACAAAGTCGGACCCAAGGACATCCCCGTGCGCCGACAATCTGACCAGAAAGATCTGTTTGATCCAGGTCCCTGGCCAGCCTGGGATGAGCAGAGCAAATGGAACGATCTTGTCGTGCGACATTTCTATCTGGATCGTACGGCGGCACCGCTGGATCGACTATTCAAGTTCCAATTGCCTCAGTCAGCGGAGTTTTACGAAGCTGTGAGAAAGATGCGCAATACGTGGACTGAGTATCCAGAGGATCATGAACTATCTACGAACAAGAATCCGCATGGTGGGTTCTATGGGCGTCTGGCGGCGTTGGGGATGCTCAAGCCGAGGGAGAACAATAGCGTTTTCTTGCTGGATGATCAATCGTGGATTTAAGGGGTGGGCTGCATACGGCATATATGGCCACTGATAGCATTATTTGTTTTAGTTGATACCCATCAGGACGGATGACGAGGGTGATATGGATACAGCCGATGCTGGGCATTGGCACCTGCATTTGTTCATGGTTGTACCAGCTGCATGGAATAGAATATATCATTCAACCTTCTTTTCGACCTATAGTATACATTCTAGCTAGATATACCCCGGTCTCTGGTTTGAGTCGAGCTCGGGAACTGCAATTCCCAGGGTCTTTCAATTGGAACCTAAGAGCTTCGGAATTAAGAGGTCCGCACAAGCGGTTTATCAGGCTGTTTATAAGCCATACCCTTCATCTATTTGATAAAAGAAACATGGGTAACGATCTCGTCAGATCATAGCTTCAAGCATATAGTAACATATTATATTCATTATGAGCTCTCGGGATATCTCCGAGGAGCAGACTGTGTACAAGAGTCGCAAGCAACTCAAACCCATGCAATCATACAAGTAGGGCACAGCCGTCTCTCCTTACTACATCAGCGCAGTAAGAAGACAGCCACTCCCATCCAGGTCTACACTAGACCGTCTCCCGTTTCAAATCATTCACAGTCATATATCTTCCGATGGTAATCCACCCCCACCGGAACCAGACCATCTGACTCTTATGGCCCATAACCATCGCCGACTGCGCAGTCAACCACTCCCCAACGGAACTAACAAACAACAACCGCCCCGGCCCGTTCTCACCACTCTTCTTGCCCCCGAACAAATTCCCCAACACCCCCAACAACATCGAGTACGGCGCGTCCAGCACACCCGCATACTTGCGCAGCATCGACGTAGACGTCAACGTATACAGCGTCACGGGACAGTTAAATCCTTCTTTATCCGTCATCAGCGTGCGCAGGAAATGCACCGCGCCGTGGTACAGCGAGCGGTGGTTGGGATGGTTGCTGATGCCGTTTTGGTCGAAGGTGACGAGGACGTCGATGCTAGCGGTGGGCGCCTTCTTGGGGTTCTTCTTTGCGGTGCCGTTTAGGGTTGCTGCCAAGTCTGGGGAGAAGGCTGAAGCGAGGAGGGAGGTTATTTGATCTGCAGCCCAAGTTGCAGTCATACTGTCGGGGAAGCGGGTGGGATCGTCGACGATGAAGACGTCGGATTCGTCACGGATGCCGAGGAGGAGGGCGGATTTTTGGAGTTCTTTGGCGCGGGTTTCGCCGAGACCGTCTGCGTCACCTGTGGATAAATTGTTGTTAGTACTCTTTTCTGATGGACTCCATGACTGATATGTGGTGTTTGGGATTGTGTCTGGCGCGATTGAGCCAGCCCAATGGCGGGAATGAGCGCTTAGAGAGACGTACCTGTGCTGAAGCAGAGGATTTTCAGGTGGTTTCCGAGCTCGGGCTTGGTGAGCGCCAGCACTGTGGGCGAGAAGAACATGGCCTCGTCATCGGGGTGTGCGATCAAGAGACAGATTCGTTTATTGCGGAGTCGTGGGAAGGAGCGGGTAAAGGGTGATGAGGTAGAGGAGATGGTCCAGAAGAGGAAGACCGCGGCGATGGCAATGGCCAGCGCGGTCAAATTGAACGATGGCGACATTGTAAAAGGAGGTGGCAGGTATAAAGAGTCGGGACGAAATCCACTCTAAACGCAATGGCGCAATAATGTCCTGCTAACTGACGGTGTTGCTCACGCGACGGCCGTGTTGTCCAATGACGTTTGCCACGAAGCTTTGGGTCCCCAGAACTTTTCAATTCAGTCTTATCTCGGTGGCAGATGGAGAGGCAAGGGCGATCGAGCTGGACTCGGAAGATTGTGGATCAAGGCATGCGATGTTTCAATCGTTGGCCCCGGTACGGTGGGGTACGGCCTAGCATCCCACTTGGTCGAGGTGTTGAAGATGAGATAGCGGCGAAGGCGGAAGCTACCTATCTTCGCAGGAGGCGCGAGACGATCGTCAATTAGGTGGTGGTGAATTGAACAGGCACCGAGCCCATAGTTTCAAGGGGAGAGACGGTCGGGAGGGCGAATCACTCGGCCATAGTAAAAGAACACGGTGGCCGAAAGCTGTGGTGCCGGAATAGGGGGAAGCTCAAATGAATGATTCCTTTTGCGGGACGATCGCCGGGAGTGAGGGTCACGTGTCAGGGGTTCATTGAGGCGATTGAGGAGAGACGACGGGGGAACAAGTTTGAAATGATTGAAAGAATCAACCTATGACCTTTGGAGAGTCTATGAGTTTCTTATCTATATGCAATGCTTGTCTAGGGAAAAAAACCATTTCCCTTGGCTATCAGTGAGACGGTCCTTATCAAGACCACAAGGTGAGCCAGTGCGGGGAGATCTGTTATCAGGCCAGTTCCATGATCTGCGCCTAATCGCCGCCCTGCAGATTTGGAGCTCTGACCTTAGATACGTTAAATTCAAGCGCAGGCTAGGTACCTAGGAGAGACCGCTTGGTCAGCCGCAGGCCATGGCTCCCGATGATCGAACAGGTTCTACAGTACACATTAGCCAAGGTGGTTGTCTCTCTGCCCTGTCTGTTGTACCTGCCTAATTGGGCATATGGAACACTTCTAGCCGTATTCCCGAATATTCCTTCGGTCGAGCCGAAATACTGAATGAGCATGTGTAACTGACCAACTTAATGGAGATGCGAGTGCTGAAAATGGACAATACTCATATCAGATCCGGTTGTAATTGCCAAAGTCATCCTTAAAGATGACAGTCTCCAGAAACTTCCGGATCGAGTCGTCTCATCTTACACCATCTTCCAAATGTCATCCACACCCTTTGGTGTCAAAATGGTGAAATATCACGGACCACAATGAGTCAATTTCCAACATCCAATCAAGAATCTACGCCATGGGAAAATCAGCCGTCCAACGGGCAAGCCTTGCGAAACACGAAGTCATCGTTCAAATTTCTTAAGGTGCTAAGGAAATATAGAGTAACATATGACTACCAGATATCTCAAGCAAGTATAGATCAGCGTGATCATCGTCCAAACACTTGTCTCCAAAGATCCTGTACAACATCACGTAAACAAAAAATCCACATCAGCTTGACACAATCCACACACCCACAACCAAAACCCACCCGGCACACCGAAACTCCATCGGCCCGGCAAATTACTCAAAAAGCCTCACCCACCCAGACCGTACCAGTTTCCCGACAGATAACTGTGGTACATGCAACACGCCATCGGGCTCGACTCAAGTCTTAGTCCACCGCTCCCATTGCGCATCGCTCTTCCCTATCCTTCTTACTTTTGACTATATTGGTATACACTAGTCACTACTACCTCAGATCAGAGTCATATGAGGGATGTCTCATTATCATTAGGTACAACCAAGTCGCACTAACTAGTAGTCTCTATGACACATCCATAAGTAATCCTTAGCGATGTCGGTCTAGTTAAAAGACCCCAAAGCACGAATTCCCCCCCCCAAAGACCAAGAAGGATGCCCATCGTGAAACGTAACCCGGGCCTCCGCCGCCGCCACTGGCGGACCTACTAAGCATCACGTTGCGTCGGGCCGAGTATAAAGTTCTGGGCGTAGGTGGAGTAGAACTACAGGAGAAGGAAGATAGTATGTATGGAGTACAAGTTGTGAGGGAAAGAAGGTGAGGGGGACCGAGCCCAGCTCCGCTGGGCGAAAGACGGTCTAACAGAAAATTTCTGCGCGGCACGCTTCTTGCGAGCGGGGGACCCGGGAGTTTTCCGGGCTGACGAGAACACTAGAAAAGTTTGATGGTGGTAGGGAGGATGGGACATTGCTTGACTTGGGGTTTTTTTCTGATTTTTATTATTGTTTATTTATGAGAATAATATTGTATTCTTTGTTATTGTTTAGTATGCTGCGATGGTGCAATTGGATGTTGGAGTCGGGGAGGTGTTGGATTTGGGATATAAGAGGTTTTGATGGGATACGCAATATGTTTGGTGATGATGAATTCATGCAAGACTAGAGGCAAGCAATAGCGTGATACTTGCAGGGCTAGATTGAGAGTACATATATCATTCGAAATTAGGAAAGTAATGTGTTTTGTAGATTGGATTCGGAAAGCAATGGCAAGGAAAAGTAATTAGCCCAATAATAATTGAAAATGATTTTGAACTTCCATACAAGTGTTGCCATTGTAAAACAGTTCATAGTCCATAACAACAACCGTGGTAGTAGTATACTCCGTCCTCTATAGAAGCCTGAGAAGTTAGTCACAGTTCAAGGCGTGACTCAGTCCTGGTCGAAGAGTGATCGACCCGGAAGAGGAAGTTCGCCTGAGAGCCGACCATTTCGATCTTCACGGCAAGCCACCTCGTTCCATTGGCTGAAATTCCCGATCTTTCGGTGCTTATTGTAAGGTGCAGGGTAGGGTGTAAGGCGCGAAGGAGGTGAGCCACGATTCTTGTGGAGTACTTTGTACAGAATCTATGGAGTCTAGCTAGCTATTACTGTAGCACCTGGGATAACACATGGCTGTGATTTTTGCACGTGGCCGCGGTAGTCCTGCTCAAACGGGCTTTGATCCATCATTGTTGCTCTACTAAGCACTACCATTGCCATTGTTCGCTTTTCCCACGGGTCACCTCGATTCGGCTACTCTATGCGGGACTGGAGAACTTCTAGGAGGGGCTCCTGGTTTTTCTGGTAGATCGATATGGGACCAGCACTAGAAAGTAGAAACTATTCGGGTTCAAGAGGGGCCGCGCGGGCGACTCCGACGATGTCCGCCGTCCGGGGCTCCTCCCACTACTCCTTGATGGACCATATGTCCATGGCGTGATCGAGTCACCGGTCGCCGGGCATCTCACCGCAAGGAAAGCGAGTGCATCGTGTTCCGCGGCCAACGTCAGATTTCAACATCCCAGTCCTGCACGGACTATTGACCATGGGTACGGAGTAAAGGTCCTTGAGCGATGGGCTCCCGTAGATGGTGATGAGCAAGCACATGAGACGCAGCTTGAACTCAGTAGCTGCAGGTCAGAGGTACCTGATACCAAGTGGACACTATCCATAGCTTTTTGGTGGCATTTTTAATTTTTTTTTTTCCCTTTCTTTAGTTTGTTTTTACCCGTCGTCAGGGGGAAAAGAAGGTGATCCAGAAGGGATCTCCCGCAACAGGGTTGGCACGCGGCGCAAGAGGAACAAACTGTTAGGTAATTAGTGCGGGCAGGGGAATTGATGATTCGCCCAGAGCCCTGCTTGAGAAGCACAGAGCAACTCTTGACAGCTCCCAGGGCTAGACTGGGCGTGATGATCAATGTCAAGCTCTCTCGACCGATTATCAATTATACCTGATCCCTAGACCATTCCTAATTCCCAAGCGGATTTGCATCATGTCAATGCCCCAGCTGAAAGAAAATTGCGACCACCCGAATGACCTGAGTCTGACTGCGCCCCGCAAAATGGCGCCAGCGTGCAGTGCGGGGGGAGAGAACCGATGCCAGCCACTAAGCCCGAAACGGTGAACCAGCGGCGGTGGTGGTGGTGGTGATGGTGGTTTGGCGACGAAGCCGGCGGCGTAGGAAAAAAAATGCAAAGAGTCAGAGCAGAAGTGGAGCGAACAGGGTCTCTGGAACTCTTGGGGCCTTTGGCACGCGTTTTTGTTGCCCAAAGCGGGCAAGCGGGAAAATTCTCAGCACAACGCATCTTGAGGATCTGCCACTAGCGCGTGTATTTTATTCTGGTATTGGAATGTTACCGCTCCTGTATTGTGACTGAAAGAAAAGACCCAGCGGTCGGGCCGTTGCTGGCCCGCTGATGGCGCCACGTGATGGTTCTCTGGTCTGCGTTGGCAGCTTTGGACGGACTTGTTTCGGCGTACGCAGTACCTGGCTTACATGTATTGACGGAACACTGAGATTGACTATTAAGCATTTCATTGAGAGAAAAGCAATAATGATTCGCGTAAATAGAAGGTCATGCTACAAGATCAACAATCAGGAAACTGCTTACTCTCATACCTATAGTCCTATACTCTATGAGTCTATGAGAAGCCTATAAGTCTATGAGAGGCTATAAGTCTATGAGAAGCCTATAAGTCTATGAGAAGCCTATAAGTCTATGAGAAGCCTATGAGTCTCTGAGTCTCCCCCATTATGACCTCCGGCTCCAGGTTCCTACTCGAGCGACTCGGCTCCGTGGACGGCCCCTGCTGCCCGGGGGGGGGCAGGACTCACCTATCTCCTCGGGCTCCGCGGGCAAAGTTCTATAGCGGCAGTCACAAGCCAGCCAAACCGAACTAGAAGGCTTTCGGTGTAGTCGCCGTACAGTAGTGCTGTACAACCCTGGGCGACACGGCACCACAAACCCGGGGAAATAAACCTGCACAAGCCTCAGGTGATCGGGTAAGCCTCCGTGTTAACAGAGCGTCTTGGGAAAGCCAATGCGCTGATGAGTAGTGCTGTAGGCGCAGACGCAGAGGCTCGGAATTTCGTCACTTGCAGAGATGGCCGATGCAGGGAGGTCCGACCGGGTCATGTTTAGGATCTGGGGTAATTAGGTAGTTACAGTACAAGGTTGATTGTTAAGCACTAGGGTGACTCGGGATGTGGAAGACACCATGTGTAAGCGATATGCCGTGCTACTAGAGTAAATCTCTAGATGATAGTTTAATCTAGTGAGGACCTTGACATTGCCACTACGGTATGTGTCTCCGTATATCCGTAGAAGGTCAAAGTCTCAAGGAGCCGAAGCAGGAGACCGCGATCGGCCAGTACCCCGCCGCCCCTTCGGCCACATGCCTGGGCCGAGTGGAAGGGCGTCTTCTAAAAAAAAACTTGGGGGAGATCGCATCCTCATCCACCGACCTATGCCGGGGGGTCTAGCCGACCGTGACTCACTGCGCACGGCCTCTTCTGTGCTGACCCTCTTCAGGAATTTCGGACATCGAACATCCATTAGTATTGACCAAAAGCCGGGAGGGGTAAATGGGTAATCGACATCGAAGGTTTCCCAGGACGCGCACATCAGGTGGCCTTCCTGTATTGCCCTAATGGAGACTAGAGCAGTTGAGAAGTTAAGATGATCGAAAAATGATGCCCACATCTGTCATCAGGAAAAAGAAAAGGATGTGGGGTAGACTTTCTGGGCTGGCATCAGGCGATCCCTGATCTCTCGTTCGGTCGAGAGAGAGAGAGAGTCAGGAGTCGAGGTGACTATTGGTGCTGCCGGCACCAGAGCCGAGTTGAAGAGTTAGAGTTCCTTGCCATCATAAGCTGGTGAATGTGTGAAGTATAGGATAAAGTACAGACTCACCAGGAAGCCACGATGACGTACGCGGCCAGAGGACGGGTTTACCTCGGGGATCAACTGCTCATACCATAGTATCTCATCCAACAATTAACTACATAACTAGTTACAACTTGTGCGCTTGACTCAAAGAGCCCTCCTAGAGAGACCTGTCGGTCTCTTACGGTAGTTTATTCTGCCTTGGAAGTGCTTGCAAAGCAAGCCTGCCAAGGCCATCTAAGAATAAAGATGGGCAGTGTAATGAGGTCGTATTGTCGGGGTACGTGTATGGTAAGACTCCACTATGACGATGTGCCACACCCCACTTGATGACTTTTTTTTAAGTTTTCGATTTTTTTTTTCTCGTTCTTTTTGAGTAAGTCAATTGCATTTCCCAATTCAGTCAATTTTTTCAGCGATGGTGGCCAGACCAGAACGAATGGCCGCCCGGTACCTGGCTGGCCGCATGGGACAAAGTGGACAAAGTGGGAACGGACTCGAAATTTTCTTTGGTTCAAAGAAGTTTTCCACGGATTCGGTGGCTTTTAGGCTCAAGCACATGATCCTCTACAGAGATTCAAAAACCAGCGCAACCGCCGCCAATTGCTCGCTTCTACTACTTCCTTCCCCCTTCTTCACATACGAGATCTGCAAAGTTGGATTATGTTTTGGTTTGCCAGTTTTACTACTTCACAACTCAACCAACACCGCACTGCTTCCTGAACATCAGCCAAGCCTTTCTATCCCGACACACCACAACTCTCCAAGATCATCGTCACCACCTCACATTTCTGTTGACTCACAGCGACCTCTACTATCAGAACACACTCCTCCAAAATGCCAGGCCGTCTGATCCCCAACTTTGTTCGGGGCTCTGGCTCCCTGCACTCATCAGTCTCATCGACTCCCATCCACTCCAATTCGTCCTCGACCACCTCCGTCAATGAAATCCCCCACCACACTGGCTCCAAGAAGCCCGCACATGGCATCTCAGACCGTGCGCGCTCGCCTGAGCGTCGTCTATCTTTCAATATGGACCATTTCATCCACCCTCACCGAGACCACAGCAAGGACAAGCGCCGCAGCTTGGGACGCGCGGGCCGCTCCAAGGAACGCCTGGGCAAGGAGGAGCTCGCAAAGCCGTCTGCCAAGCTCGAGGTTTTGGTTGAGTCTCCTCCTCTGGTCTGCTATGGCAACCCAAGCAACTCGACTGGCGCTCTGTTCTCTGGCCGTCTGCGCGTAACCATCACTGAGACCATTGGCGAGGTCACTCTCAACCAGTTCGACGTGCGCCTCATCTCCAAGACCTCCACCAAGAAACCCGTTTCCAGTCACTGCCCCGGCTGCGCTACCCGCACCGAGGAACTCACCCGCTGGAACTTCCTGACGGACTCCCTCCACCTCAAGCCTGGCCAGCACGACTTCCCTTTCAGCTACCTGTTCCCTGGTCATCTCCCTGCTTCTTGCAATGGCGCCCTGGGATCAGTGGAGTATACCCTACTGGCGCATGCTAAAAGCACTGCTGGCGAGGAATTCAGCCTCAACCTGCCCTTGAACGTCCGCCGTGCCTTGATCCCCGGCAACGACAAGTCTTCTATCCGCATTTTCCCTCCTACCAACCTGACTGGCCGCATCGTCCTGCCTTCGGTGGTTCATCCCATTGGCAACTTCCCCGTGGAGATGACTCTGAGCGGAGTGGTCGACAAGGGTGACGAGACTCAGACCCGCTGGCGCCTCCGTAAGATGATGTGGCGCATCGAGGAGCACCAAAAGATCGTCTCCACTGCCTGCCAGAAGCACGCCCACAAGATTGGCGGCGAGAACAAGGGTGTTCTGCACCAAGAGACCCGTGTCATCGGCCACAACGAGGAGAAGAGCGGTTGGAAGACCGACTTTGACACCGCCGGTGGTGAGATCACTATGCAATTCGATGCTAGCATCAACCCTACCACCAACCCCGTCTGCGACATGGAGGCCCCCGGTGGCTTGGAGGTCAAGCACAACCTCGTCATTGAGCTCATTGTCGCCGAAGAGTTCTGCCCCAACCGCAACACCCGCCTGATCACCCCCACCGGTGCTGCCCGTGTCCTGCGCATGCAGTTCAACCTCCACGTCACCGAGCGCAGTGGCCTCGGTATCAGCTGGGATGAGGAGATGCCTCCTGTCTATGAGGACGTCCCTGCCAGTCCTCCCGGCTACTTCAAGCTCGACGACGCTCGCAGCGTCATGGAGGACTACCAAGGTTCTCCCCTACCACTGCCCGAGTACGACGAGCTGGAGCGAATGGAGTCTCTGCGTTTGGACAGTGACTCTACCCACTCTTCTGCCAACTCCACCTCCAACTCCAACCCTAACCGCGGACGCCTGCGCTTCACAGCTGATGACTTGGTCACTGAGCAAAGCCCGCCTCCTTCTGAGTCTGCCTCCCGCGTGGCATCTCGAGCCCCGTCGGTTGACTCTTCCCGCCAATAAATCACATTGAAACCTACTCTTATGCCCTCGCCTTTGTTTTTCACATCTATCCTTCTCCCGCCATGACGTTATGATCTCCACGACCCAAAGAAAGATATCCAAAGTCACGGACATGTCACAGCCTTCTTATTCCTTTTATTTCCCCATCTCACGATAATCAACTTCTCGGGGGGCATTTCATGGCTCATGATCAATGTCTCCACATCACATTGTCTTCTCATTTCTTTTCTTTTCTACCGTGAAGCGGCGTCAGCGTGTTCAACAAAAAGCATGAAAAACCTGGTATCACAAATGTACCAGGGATGATGAATGGCAACTCATAATCGACTGGATTGCATGTATCTCCTGGCTCGGACGGACGGAGTTCGTTCCACCCCTGCATTATACCCATCACTTCCATTTCTTCTTGTCATTTATTATGTCTGTTTTGCCAATGGGCTCTCTACTCTTTGATATCTAACCTAATGCATTGACTTGAATTGTCTACCCTTTCTTTTAATTGTAAATTTTGTAATATCTAAACTAGCCTCTTTTCCTGTAGATGCTCTTACACCGTTGAGACTGCTGTTGAGATACGCTCACCAGCGCCACACGCAATCTTCTGCGGGAGCCCTTGGCGTTCAATGAGCTGTAGTACAACTTGGCGCCTCTTATCTACGAAAGTAAACCAATCATACTTTCCCCGGGTTTTCTCATCTTGTCAACAATGACCCCACCGTTGATCGCTATGTCTTGCCACCACCCTTCGCGAGACCCACTCGCAAATACTGGGGTTGAAGAATTCTCCCTCAAAACATGCTGGTCCATAGCAGCTTTTAAGAGACGCGACCACGCGACCACGCAAAAGCATACAAACAACCCAAAGTAAAGATCCCCTACAGAAAGTCAATTTAAGGTTAACAGCCGAAGTCTTACGTTATGACTCGGCCGGAAGCCTCGGAGGTCTCGACCCGGCTTCCCGACCACGGTCCCCACTGATGATGCCATGTATCTCTCGAAGTTAAACCCTCATTGGATTCGAACCAGCTGGTCATTGGCCATGGGAGCTATTGTACGGAGTACTACTAAGCTGTTCCAGAACTTGAGATAGGGTCGCATGACCAGCTACAAGGAGGCGCTTCAATCAAGCTATATGACATCATACGCTTTGGGGGAGGTTTTATATTCGCTGTGGAGGAATGCCTACACGGACCGGGGTCTCTGAAAATACTGACTATACTTACTATTGGCCATACATATTATTCCACAAATATGTCGAACCTTTTGCGCAGGGCATCTGATGCTTTACATCTCCATCAGCGGAAGGATTCTGAGGACTCGGTGAACCAGGATTCTGTCGTGAACCCATCCCAGGAACCACAAGAGCCGCAGAACCCGCAGTTGCCTCAAGTGTCACAGGAGCCACAAGGGGATAAGGCTGAGCCTGCATCTCAGCCTGAAGCAGAGGGAGATAATAAAGATAAAGCCGGTAAGTGTTACCCGTTTTGCTGTACCTTATGTTGTGATATGTGCTCAAGCGTTCGTATCCGATGTAGCAAATGCCCCTCATCACCACCACTGGGGGGGCTTCCTCCGTCGTTCGAGTGAGGAAGAACGGGAAAAGCGTCGAGTGAGCCAACAAGATAAGTAGCGCGCAGATTGGGCTGCTTCCAAGAAGTATGATCATGCGCGGCGGTCCAGTCATGGAGCGAGCGTTATGTTTGAGGGCGGCAAGCAGTGATTGAAGTACAGTTTTGGTTTAAAATTATGCTTCACGATGAACATGATGGGCTGTAAATTGTCATGAAGTGGTCGATTTATCTTCGTCGCTGAATATCATTCGTCTATTATCTTACCCAAGCTCGAGCATGCTGTTCTATCAATCACCCAATTATCAACCATCAAATCTTCCACCCTTCGCCCTGCTTCCACATCAAAATTCGCAACCCCAAGAACGACACAGTTCCGATGACAACCATCACGGCGCTGAATAGCTGCCCCTTCCAGAAAACCGCCCCCTCTATATCCAACAACGCCCCTGCAATAGGATTTCCAATCAACAACCCCAGCCCCGCAAAGATAAACGACATTCCCATCCGCGTACCCAACATACTCATATTAGACGTAAGCCTGGCTAGTATAGTTGCCGGCAGCGACACAATCGCCCCGGAAGCAAAACCGTATAATACAGCAAAAACAATAGTACCCGCCTCATTTCGGATTCCGATCCACGCAAAGGCCAGAACAGCCGCCATAAAGCTAACCGGAATAATGGTATTGAGGGAGCCAATGTAATCGGCTATTAGTCCGGGTGCGATGCGTCCGAAGACGGAGGCACCGTTCAGAATGGCGATTATGTAGAATGAGATGTCACCGTCGGAGTGGAGGAAAAAGCTGAAGTAGGTTGGTAGATAAAAGAATGGGAAGTATAGGCCGACGAAGGAGAAGAAGAAGCCCACACAGAGGATAACGAAGGGGGTTTCTTTGAATGCGGCCATATCCAGTAGGGATCGGGGTTGTTTAGGTGGTGGGAGACGTGGCTTCATTACGGCGATGGAGAAGATGAGTCCGGCTAGGGCGACGAAGGCGATGATCCGCGTTGTCCAGCCAAAGCCCAAGGGGTTGATTAATTTGTGAAATATGATAGGGTATATCACAGATCCTAGTGATGAGGATTAGCTTCCATATCGCCATGATATTTTGCCTTTTTCATGTAGACTCACCGATACTACCCCCCGAGGCAGTGATACCAGTCGCTAGTGCACGTCGCGAGGTGAAATAGGTCGCTACAATAGCAATACTTGGCAGGAACAAGCACGAACAGCCAAGTCCCACAGTAAGGCCGTGAGCTAGAAAAACCTGGTAGTATTTTGTTGCCAGCGAGGTCATCATTAGACCGAATACGACCAGAAACGTGCCAGCCGTAATCAGCGATCTGAGGTAGCCTTTGTCATAGATAGGCCCAACAACTAGTCCTGCCATCAAGAGCAGAAAGCCTTGGACTGTTCCGATCCATGAAATCGACGATGCCGAATAGTTCGGTAACAAGGTGTTTTCGTAGTAACTTTGGTAAACGCCAAAGGTGTTGACCACGCCCCTGCAACGTCGCATTAGCACTAGTCCTTTTGCCAGGAGTACGTAGATGGCTTCGGGACTGACCAGCAATTAAAGAACAGGAAGAAAGCCCCTGCGACCTGAAGCCAGGCAACGAGTCCTCCATTCGGAGGCGGAGGAGGTGTCGCAGGTTCTTTAGGTATTTGATTCTCAATCTCTGATTCATCACGCTCGGCCAGTAGCTTCGGAGAGAGCACATCGCTCGAGACACTCTCTTTCTCTTCGTTAACAGACATGATGTTGGGAATGTCAGGCTTTGGATGTCGAATACAGAGGCGCGCCGGGCGGCCTAATATAAACTAACATTCCATCCGTGACGAGCGGATTTAATGATTATCAATCATCCAAAGTGAATCCTCCTGCTAGTATCTCGGTCTTTCGGCCTTATCCTATACGCGTCGAATTATTAATTTTGGCTCTTTCGTTGTGGTAGCCTCGTCGTTGTTAGTTGAGGGTGTTTTGGATATTATCATCAAGCCCCACTTTTGAGAACTTAGCTTGGGGCCTTACTTCTTTGATATTACGACATGCGAACGGACTCGCTAACCGAACACGCCAAAAGACCGAATATGTCAGAACGCTATGCTCTGACATAACCGGGATCGATATATGTAGCGTATATAGCGCATGTAACACTAGGGGAACCAGTCCTAACATTTGACGAGGAGTGCGGTCCGAGGCACTTGTAGATCTTTGTCGAGAGGAAGATTATATCCATAGAATTGATATAAATACAGGTAGAAGAAAATTGAAAGTTTGATTGTAATGACGATGACTGCGAATGATCGTGATTTGTTTAGGGCGTCGACACATTGCGGTCATCTCGCTGGGACAGTAGATGGCGCAAGGCCTGAATACACAAGCCTATTTGAAATGCAAAGAGCAGTCAAGACAAACTAGGCCTCCAATTAGAGCCTTACTGGCCAAAAAGGTCGAATTTGTGGTCAAACAATTCAGGATTAGTATTGCTATTTGCCGTGGCGACGCGTTTCCAAACCAGACAAGATAATTTCAACAACCGAGCGTTAAAAAAAACTAGACTAGGTCCACTTTATCGACATCGTAGACCAGGTGACCCTGTCGCAATCCCCTCTTGTCTGCACCGAAAACCCATGAAAGTGTCATCGCCATAGAAAATTGAACTTCCTTCAGCCACAACCCCCATGGGCCAGTCTTCCTTCGCACTTCAGCGTTCTGTGCAGCTAACTTGAAGATATCATTGATGCGAGGTCGGCGAATACGCTCGTATATCTCAAAGACATTATTGAGTGGTCTTTTGGGATCCTCCAGTAATCGAGAGAGCAGGAAGACGTCTTCAAGGGCCATTGAAACGCCTTGTCCAGCATGTGGAGACATCGCGTGGGCAGCATCACCGATCAAAAGACACCGACCTTTAGACCAGATTCCACCGGGTGGCAATCTGTAGACCGGGTAGAAGTTCACGACAGAGATGTTGTTGACGATTTCCTTGATAGCTGGCCCCCATTCACCCTGTGCATTCTCCAGAGTCTCCAACACTGTAGATTTGAATCCATCCACTTCTTCCTTCCTGTGCACTTCCCAGCCGTCACGGTTATCACCAGACTCCGGTAGGGCGACTTCCTTGGAGAAGAAACAGAATAGCTCATCTTTCGCTGCCGAACACGGATTCACGGCAAGCATACCATCTTCCGTCAATGTCGCATCAAGGCCAGTAATTTGGTCCGTAGTTGTAGACGATAAAACCTTGGTGGAAATGATAGATCCAAGACCGGACATGCCCGAATACTCCAAAGTCTTTTTAGGGTCGACGTAGGCACGTCGCACAAACGAGTGGATACCATCACACCCGAACAGCATATCTGCAGTATCAGTTGATCCGTCCTCGAACGTGACATGCACGCTCGTATCGCTTTCCTCGATCGTTGTCAGCCGCTTGTTGAATCGGATCGGGATCTTAACCTGCTGCACCGCCTCCAACAGAACATCCACCAGATCTGTGCGCTTGATGCGTATGTAGCCAAAACCGGTCTTCTCTCGCGCCCAGCCAACAAAATCTTGCTGGGCTACAATGCGCCCCTGCAGGGAATGCAGTGTCAGATTGGAGCTGATGAAGCCACGGGCTGCTGCTTTCTCGTAGACGCCCAGGCGGTGCAGGAGGCGTAGGCCGTTGGGCAGGATACCAACAGCTCCACCCAGAGTAGTGGGCTCTGATCGCAACTCATAAATAGTGACTTGAACGTTTGTTTGCTGGTGCAGACGCAAGGCAGCTGCAAGGCCTGCAGGACCGGCGCCGATAATGATTGCCTTGGGCGTGGGTCAGCTATCATGTGAGATTTTCCTCGACGAGTGCATGAGATATAAGATACCTTTCGACTCTGGGACATTCTGGAGGGATTTGGATGTAGCTCTGAGATCTCAGGTGGCAGAAACATGGGCTTGATATACCCTCAGATGTCCGCGGAAGTCCGGGAAGATTACCCGATTGGGTATGTAGCCCCGCGGACTGTCCCCGGTGGGGGAAGTCTGCTGTGACTAGAAGCCCAGGAGCCGCGAGTTTATTTGTGTAGCATCGTTAACTTACTATGGCATCTGACATCAGAATAAGTATACGAAGCTTGAGTGGAGTGGTGCTTTTGTGAAAAGGCTAGTCCGTTTGGGGAAATGTTTCAATGGGTTGAGGCTACGGCCATTGAAAATAAACAGAGCCTTGGATTTCTCGTTATACCTTCCGTAAGCAACAAATTACACTACATCATGCATCGAGTAGAGATATTTTGAGGGAAATTTTATCAAATGTAATTTTTCGAATTATTTCACACTTCAATCCTGCCTACCAGAGAGCGAGAGTCTTTCATTGTACAGCTAGGCAGCATAAAGATGAGATGTTAGTCTCGGGTTGGTTCTCACTGATGAGGTAGACACAAAGCTTTGACTACAAAAAGTTATCCTCGGGTGAGGGCTCGTGAGAATTGTTGCGACTCGTAAGACCCTAGAGGGGTCAGCGCGAAGTCAACGCGAAGTCGCATATCTTGCTGACTCGGGACAACGGTTCCACGCACAGCAATCTTCTGGGCCCTTCTGTTGTTTATACTTGTATGAATCTAGGTATCAGGCAGGTTACGTTTACATGGCCTCGGTGGGCGTTGGCATTTGGCACATGATCACATTTTACATTGTTCAGCTTGGGAACCATTCTGCATCTCATTTTTGTTTTTCTCACTCTCTACATAGCTGACCAACACCGATGGATCGGCTACAGACATAATGCAATAACTCCCACCCTCGGACTCTGAAGGCCAGACATAAAATAGCCCTACGGGTTAAATAGCCAGTAAATCTGAGATGATTTACACTGATAAGCCTGTTTACTATGACTAGACAATCACTTAATCTTGATACTGACAAGAATATCATATGCAAGACATTTTTGACAGTGAAATATGGGGAATGTGACAGGTCAAATGACTGCCAGACCCGACATTCACTACATGCGATATCCCTGTCAACATTGTCACTTACAGTATTTCTCTGACAATCTTCTTCTATATTAATCCACCTCTCAGCTACACACAGGAAAAATCTCATAACCCCCCGAACTGAACAACTGCACGCTATCTGTATCAAATGACACATCTTTACAGCCACTGACATTCTTGATGGAACAGATTGTTAAAGGTAGATGCATATACTCTCACTCTTTCCATAGCCATCGTCGCCCAACCCCGGGCTTTCGAAGGTTACACAAACCTAATCATACCACGAGGGATGCGTCGTCACCTGCATCCCGCCTACCATCCCCGTACCGTAACCCTATGCGTGTGTAATTTCCACGAGACAGGCCGAAATTTTCCAGCTGAGCACATTGAGACGGTGATAATTATTAGAAATTATAAGTGGACCATAGTACAGTAGCCTTTTTAGGTCAATGGAGCCCACTAGATGACCAGACTACTAGAACGGGATTGTTCTAGAGTAACCAGAAATTGGTGATAGCCAACATCAACGATTGTCTTGAGTATTTTTCATCTTAGGACATCGAGGAAATTGAAGAGCCCCGAAATATTTATCCAGTTTTATCATTAACTCTGGAAGACACCGGGGGCTTCTCGTATCCCTTATCCTTATGATCGTGCAAGTTTCTCGAAAACGTCCAACACGGGGCTGGTTCGCAAAGAAGTTAGGGCCCCACTATGTACCCCTATAAGCCAATCACGGCGCGGGACTAGCAGATAGCGGAGCAAGGGAATTTGGAATTTGAAGAAAGACACCACATTCAAGCACGCTTAAGGTTGCGGGAATTACATAGCTCTCTGATCCCATTGCCTGCATGGGTTGCCTAACTGCACGGTCCTGAAGCCTGGGCCCGAGCGACCCCTGGCCGCAGATTTCCCGCCAGCAAAAAAAGACACCTAGACGCAGAGATTCTACCTTCCTTCACCACACTCCTCCCCCTCGATTTTGACAATGATAATGTGTGCACGGCGAAGAGGGGTCCAAGTAAATCCGCCAGAAAGAACATGAATGATGTGAGCTCAAGATGGCTTGAAGCTCGAAAGAAATGTACCGAGAAACGCCAGGGAGATTCCACGGGGGTATAAAAAGACCAACGACTAACGGAAATCCAGATGCAGCAACGAAGCACAAACCGAAAGAAAAACAGATCTCGACACATATATACTATCACGAGACGCGCCAACGACATCAAAACGCACTCAAGAGTCGAAAATTGGACCGAAGGCTGGGACCCCGCGCGCTTCGAGTTCATACACGATTCGGCGAGTCAGACCAGGGTTACTGATCACACACACCGCTTCAGCATTGAACTCTGCGACTAGTCGATGCACAATGGGCACCATATCAACTCGACCCATCTGATTGGTATCCATGATGATTGGATGGCTGTCCATCCGGTGAACGAGGTCAATCACCTCCTGCCCGTACGTCTTGAGCGGCGCGCGAGTCTGCCAGAGAACGCGCAGCTCGGGGCGATTGTCATCACCCAGGAAGGACAAGCAGGGGCCAATACCGGACCCCGTGGTCACCACGATTACCTTCTTGAATACCCGCATGGAATATGCAAAGCCATAGAGGAGAACCCCACGTTTCCAGAAATGGGTGGGCGGGTTCTTGATGGTGTCGGCGGTCCAGTCGCCTGCCTTGGACACCAGGCATGAGAAGCTCGGTGTCCCACGCGTTCCCGCCGGACTGGGGTCAGGGAAGGTAGCAAAGCCATGCCAGTCTCGCAGAGGATGTTTGGAGAGTTGGGTGCCCTTGCCGAAGGTGGTCACGGCATGGTCAAAGTGCAGGCGCACCGCATGAGTGGACAAGACCTCTGCGCGTACAGGGACCTTTCTTAACATCAACCATGGCTGAACGATGGCAGCTACTGTCAAGACCAAAAACCAGAATGCCGGCAGCTCAACAAGGAACAGACCCAAATTCTGTCCCTGGGCCTGGCTGATTTCATGCGCAAAGACCAACAACAACGCAATGAACAAGCTCACGATAAGCCACCCCGAGAAACGGTGGGTGAGTTCAAAATAATCATGTCGCTTCATACGAAACATGGGGTGGGCAACAATGATGATGGCCAGCAGCAGCACGAGGATGGTGTAAGCTAAGGCTACCGGCGCGGCTGAAAAGCTGACGACTGTTGACGCGCTAACGGTGCGAGGCGCCCAATACTGATGCGACATCACTCCGACGAACCCTGTATACCAAACTAGGGCCGCAATGCCGCATCCACTATGTACGCCACCATAATGGTACACTTTGGAAGCGATTCGACGCAAAGTAAACGGCGCCGACCTCGGCACTAACAGCACAATGCGGAAGATGCTGTTAACGACGAGTGGCTGCCGGGCTAATCCGCATGCAAGCAAGTTGGCAGCGGTGGCATTGACCAAAGCGAGGAGCTTCTGGTTGGATGACATGACCCAAATGAAAACGCCAACATTCGCACAGAAGACTAGTGTGAACAGACGTCGATAAAGAGTGAGGACGGCATACCGCAAGAATGCAAATCGCGTCGGACTAGCACTCACGGTCTGTGCCTCAAGGTCGAGGGTATAATCTGAGTCCGTATCGACAGACCCCATCTCCTTGGAGACGACCTTCTCGACAATGTGGCCGTGGTCACCATCGGTGAGGGTCTCCTCACTGGGATTTGATGAGGTGGTCACCATCTTTGTCACTGCAGGCTTAGGGACAGTGATGGGTGTTTTCTCCCAGACCGACATGATGTGAAGGTGTTGCAAGTATGCAAGAATAAGTTCGAAAGATGACTGAATGGAAGAACAGGCGAGAAGTTTGCAATTTGACCAAGGTGAGACCCCAGGGAAGATCACAAGCAGGCCGATATATGGATCATGAGGGGGCAGAAATATACGAAAGCGAATGAGTTGGGAGAATGTAATGTTCAGCCTGATTGACAGGCATGTGCTGGGCACGAGGCTGTGGGCAGTGGAGATCCTGTCCAGCTGTGATTTCCCGGCCCAAGGGCTGAGAAAGCGATGAGATGGTTATTGGGAGATGTTCTCCAGAGCCTTGGTGATTCGTCTTCTCTCCCGTGTGATCGGCTTGTCTTTATCATTATCCTGGTCACTTCCTCTGTCCCGGCTCGTCCTGCATCCTGAATCCCTTTCATCACCCCTGCAGGCAATGTCCTTCGAATCCAATCAAACTTGGCCCTGTGCAAAAAGCGCAATATCCGGTCACCGGATGGTTCTCCTCAGATGCTTCGCAACCATCACCTCGGGTTTTCCCCCTGCGGATAGTCCATCCTGGCTTCCAAAGTTCACAGTGTATGACACCATTCTGCCGGCTCACATCCCGCGTCGACTAGTGGGAATGATCCATTGCCAATGAATGCGCATGCTGGACCTCCTCGACTGGGCTGTCAGCTCGCCCTTGACTACCGGACGAACGGCCTAGACGTCCGGATGGGGTTATGATGAGACCCGCCGTCTCTGAGATAGTGTTGAATGTGGACACCATCTTCTCCAAGCACGGGATAGACGGGATAGACCGGAATGAGCAACCATGTCAACCAGGCCCCATCGTTCGCCCGACGAGATGTAACCCAATCACGACTTTCGCTCTATCTGATCGTCCATCAAAGCCCAGGCCTCAACGGACGTCTTGCTTTATTGTTATGCAAGTTGCCACCGATATTGTGTTCCTACAGGATCCTGTTGCATGTACACGAACCCCGCGAGGATGAGCTAATGCATGATGACCCAATAATGGCAATGGCGAGGCTACAATATCTGTACGAACGGAGTCACAATGAACCGACCCCGCCGACCAAAGCCAAATACTTGGAAGCGGGGGTTGTTTGTTCTCGTCAAAGAAAATAAATTAGCCTCCAAGTCAGAAGGAGACAATGATACTTTCGGTTCCTGGTCGCCGAGGCTATTTGCACCCCTCATGTGCCTCACATCCCTGCAATGCAAGTTACCTTTTCTTTTTCTGCTGCACAGTGCAGTTGATCCTTGCAGAGGGGGAACCCGATAACGTTCCAGATTCAATGTGACCAGACCCAATTTCATGGAAAACAGGGCGTGAATCCCAGGAAACGCAGTGGAACCCGCGATGCACCACGAGCCTGGAAGTAGGGCGCATTGCATCCGTGTGGCGCATCCTTATCGTTAGTTGATCCAAGATCTGAGGGGCAAAAACAGACTTTTGTCTCATTCTCAAGCCGGCATTTGGGGTTGTCACACAAAATGGGGAACTTGAAAACTTTTGATCATGAAGAGACTCCACCGTGAGCGGGCCGAGAGCCCTTTGGAATGCCCTGCAAGCGATTGAAGGGAGCCAAGGCAGGGAAGGACACTATCGGGCTCAGCTTCGGGACCCATGAGACCCATGGAAACAGCGGACGGAAGATCAGCCTCTGGTACCCTGGTTGAGACTGTCAAGCTGGCATGACATGAGTGGAGATCAGATCAATGATGTGTTTGCAATTGCTAATTGGTGGGAGACGGGACGGGATTCAGCCGTGCACTGGAGGCTACATCATCGAGAAAGCAGTTGGGCCGCAGGCCTTCCCGGGAGTGTTGGCAATAATCCCTGTCTGGCGCGATCCGAAGAGCGCTAATCTGCTCCAACTCGTGGAGGGAGGGGTAATGCCCATTCAACTAGCGGCCAATGGTAGTGGGCGCTGCGAGGGAGGGCTGCAGCGCGGTCGATGTGCCAGTCCTGATGCGGGCTCGCCGCAATTTTGGGACAAGTTTAGGTTATGGGGATTCGCAGGCATGCGATCTGCTGGCCGCCGATCTGCGATCCTCGATCGGCCCTCCCTTCGGCTCCACGGGATCCGTGGTGCCTTACAGTGGCAGTAGTACACGGTACTGGTGGTGCTGTAGCACAGTATGTCGTAGTCTCATTGGGCCCGTACGCTCGGGTCCTAGCAATGTAGTACCCCTGCTAGTACAGTAGGGAAGAACAGCTGGAATCGTGTGAGACCATCGGACAGAGTGATCCGAGCTTGTGGCTCAGCTGGCTTCCAGCATGCATGCCAGCCGACGATCCATCGAATCAGTGAAGAAAGGGGCCTCGTAGCGTGAGTGTTGCGCCACTAGTGTCAAGTCTTGTTGGGTTAGCGCCGAACCACTCCCGTGGGGACCAGACGAACCTGTTCGCGATCATGTCCACCCGTCCAATGACACATACACTCAAGAACGTTGATCTGATTTGCAATATTGACCCAATATGCCTTGTTGCGATATTGCTGAATCCGGAAATCCGAATATCTCAACCTATTCTGGATGTCTCGGTCCCTTTCCTCATTTGTGATTTCACATTGTAGGTCTGATGATCATGAAGAAACACTAGCATCGTCAGCATCATGAGAGAGGAGTCATTCGACAAGGGTGGGCTTCTGGGAGAATCTTTTGACAAATTCCAGAAAGTCTAGAGGGGTGGACCAGTCAAAAGTAGGCGGCTGACAGCCCCTCTCTCAAGACGATTGGGTGGAAGCTTTTGGAAGGCTCCAAGGACGCGATTATGTCAGCGCGAAGTATTCCAAATATTCCAAATCAGCCCTCCACCGAATTGTCACTGGGTCGCGCTTGCTTCAGGAAATCAAATTGTGTCAATTTGATGTCTAATTGGAACTGGGCTCCCTTCAAATCCCTGGCTAATATAAAACCCCAATGGCAGGGGTCCTTATTTGTTGGGCCCCTTCCCACTATGTTCCGCTCTGCCTTCCTCATCTCCCATCTATTCCAGACTTTTTCCAGTGATTACTTCTTTCACGTATATAAGACATTTCTGGTAGCCTCCCGGATTCTACCCATTCGCAATGGGATACTGGAATCCCAACATGGCTGTACCTTCCAGCACAGCGGCAGATCCACTGCTGCACCACGATCTATATACAGACCTTCTGACCTTTACCTTCTGCGGTCCGACTCCCTATAACCCGAATCAGCCGCTATTTATCGATGCCGAAGATCCCTCGCGCTCCTTTACCGCGACACAATTCCGACAACTAGTCCGGACTTTGATTGCTGGTTTCAAGGCGTATAATGTGCGACAAGGTGATTGTGTCTTGCTACATCTGGGGAACAGTGTAAGTGAGACATTATGCCTATTCGGTCATTTGGACTGGTCGAGAATGAAAAGAGCCCTTCCGGAGATTATGCAATGCTGACTCGGTCCGGTTGAATATCATATAGATCTTGTACCCTGCCCTATTCTTCGGTATCATCGGCGCCGGAGGTGTATACATGGGCTCGAATCCGCGCAGCCAACAGCAAGAACTGGACCATATCGTTGGTCTTGCCGAACCCAAATTGATACTCACAACTCGTGACGCATTGCGAACCGTTCGAGAGGTTGCCATGGCCCGTGGAATCCCTCATGAACAAATATGCGTGGTTGATGACCGTGCTGTCGACCATTGCGCCCAGCTTTTCTTGTGGTACGAGCTGGGATATTCAGCTGGCACGGATTTCTTCGCCAATGCCGGCGGCGACAATGGCCGTCATCTCAATTTCGCCAATATGCTCTGCTATGGTGAAAGTGACTGGCTGATGTTCACCGATCGCATGTCGGCACAGAATACACCAGCAGCCATGTTCTCGACTTCTGGGACTGGAGGTCTACCCAAGGCGGCCATTCTGTCTCACCATGCTATCGTGTCCCACCACCGATCGATCCAGTATGATGTGCCTTACCCCGTCAGCCGCTTGATGTCTCTGCCTATGTTCCATCTTTTTGGTGCATTATGGACTCATCTCTTCCCGGTCCGCTATGGCCACCCGCTCTTTGTCCTATCGCGATTCGAGATAAAGCAATTCTTGGCAACAGTCCATCGATTCCAGATCTCCGAGACATACCTAGTCCCGGCTATAATTCACACTCTCAACCGCTCCACATTACCAATCCCGGACTATCTTGGGTCACTGCGCTACGTGGGCGTTGCGGGAGCTCCTATCGACGGTCCGTCGATGGTGCAATTCCGAAGCCGTCTCCACCCGATGGCTTATGCATGCCAGCTGTGGGGTATGACGGAGGTTGGTGTTGCTTTCCAGACCCGCTACGGTCAACATGGAGATCCTGGCAGCATTGGAACTTGTCTCAGAGGTTACGAGGTACGCCTAGTTGATCATGACGGCAACATTGTACGGAGTGATGATCGTGCGGGCGAACTGTACGTCCGTGGTCCTGGCTTGCTCTTGGCATACAAGGGTCGTGCGGATGCGAAAGAGTCCCAGGGCTGGTACCGTACTGGTGATGTGGCTTTCATGAAGCAAGGCCATTATTTCATCGTTGGTCGGACAAAAGAACTCATCAAAGTGCGAGGGTAAGTCCGAGTCATTCACCCCATCAATGCACCATTTATCTTAGTTCTGCTAAGTATACTAACTATACCTTTACAGATGGCAAGTCGCTCCAGCTGAAGTTGAGGGTGTCTTGCTTCAGCATCCTGGAATTGCCGATGTAGCCGTCACTGGTGTGAACCTGAAGGATGGCAGTGGTGAAGTACCCCGTGCATTTGTGGTGCGATCGCGCGACCCATCTGTGAACCGTCTGACAGCGGAAGAAATATACAAATTTGCCCGTCAACATCTGGCTAGTTACAAATCTCTGGATGGTGGTGTGGTATTTGTGGAAGAGATTCCGCGAACGGCAAGTGGTAAGATACAGCGATTCAAGCTCTCGCAGATGAATGACTACAGAGAGATGGTCGCATCACTTCTCCAACGCTTTGAAGGTGAAGGACCTTCGACGTTGGGTCGCGCACTGCCTTCAAGTGCGGACGTCCAGCCTGTCGGGGTAGCCTAAGGAGTGTGACCTCATTCTAAGAGACTGTCCAACGTGGAATTTTTCTCCCATTTCGGAAGTTCCGGTAGTCTTCTGTTTTTCCCTCATATCTCTCATTTGCGTTGTCAAATTTGTCTCTGGCGTTCGTCGAGGCTCGGGCTACACAAGACCGATTTACTGGCGTTGGGTTTTCCGGGATGGGGTTTTCCAGACGCAATCCTTTTCTTTTATCTTATTTCGGGCGGCTTACTGAAAAATATTGCGCATTGTTTGGGATTTGTTTCACTCGTTGGTTCACGATGGAGCTATCTATTGGGATCTATTCTTGTTCGATTCCAGCATAGTCGGGTGGGCATCTCGTTTTACAAGCTATCTAACGATATTACGCACACGATTCAATAATCTAGGACTATACCAGCCATTGTGGCAAATCTATCTCGGAGTTACTTAATCACGAAACAACACATTCGATTTTTGAAAAGCAATTATCCAATCGCTGTACCACTTACGGAACTTTTTTATTTCATTGTGTATCCTTACATTCCTAGCCACACTAGAAATGCCCAATAATACATGCATGAAGAAGGTGGAGCGAATAAGCAAAAACAAGCCCTAGCACACCGCACTCTCCGTAGCGACGTGCACCTCCACGCGGCCCATCTTCGGCGGCTGATCCGCCGAGATCGGAATCGTGTAACGTGAGCCTAGGTCCTGGATTAAAGATCGAGGATCCAGGATACTATCGCCTGATCTCAACTTGACAAACTCTGTCTCATGTCCTAGATGGCAAGTCGTCCGAATATAATCTCTTGCCCTTGCATCTTGCTCTATCGGAGAAGATGAGTGTTGCACAAGGGTGATATTGGCACTCGGAGATTGACCCAAGCCAATGGTCAGGTGGTGACGTGAAGGACTTCTTCAGGGCGAGACGGCCCTTGCATCCAGGTGACCCAAGCCTAATGTGACTGTCTCACCGATTTCAATGTATTCTTTAGCAGCGAACAAGGGCCTTTCTTCCTTCTACCACCGAAGGACATACTATGCACTTCTGGAGACTGTAGTTCTTACTTATTGGCTAGCCAATTAGCGACCGACGCCTGTGATATCACGTGCTTCCGAGAGGGGTCACCAAGTATTAACCTTGATGCCTTGAATTCTAGGCAGCAAGAAGCAAGAAAGCATTTGAGTAAGAATAAAATCAAAATACTATTCGTATCATAGATATGGTCGATATGATAATAGAAATGACTTTCCTTCAGGTAACTTGAGAGATAGGTCGAAACTTGCCGTCAGCCTCTTCCTTCCCCGCGCCATAGCGCGTGGAGGAAAAAATTGCCTCATATATGTACAATCTCACCCACATGGGAAACTCAATATTCCATGCTCAACATTGTCCCTTCGTGCTTGATTCATGTGTAATAGGAAATTCTTCTAATTTCTGAGTTCTTTTGAAGAGGCCAGTTGAAAATAATTTCGGCCTCTCGATATAGTCAATCTTTCTTTTAATTGTTAATGTTATGGGCTATTCGAGATGCGGCTATTATTTGACGTGGTTCTGTCAATCCAAAGATACAAGTTGTCCATCTGTACCCAGAAAGTCTCTTTGTATATGCGGCATTTTTCTCGATCCTCTTATTCAGGTTTCCTTAATCTCATCCGCTACACAAACTTCCCAATCCCATTGGCTCATTCCCACGTGTGCTTTGAATTTAACATAATTTGCTATAGGCTTTGATAGAGATAAGAAATGAGGGCTATGATGCATATGCCATAAAGAGCAACTGGTATCCGGGCTTAAATATTATGCTCCTCCCGTCTACTTTTCCAGGGGAATATCTCTCATATCAGGAACAAGGCCACATACTTGGGAAAACGACGGTAGAAAGACCAACTATGTCTACTAGCACCGAGGATGGGCCGGCCGAGGATCGCGTGATGGAAATCCATCCCACATCCAGCGCAGGAGGTGTTTTTTCATCTCGCGTATCTCAACGCAAGGCTACTCATGGAAACAAGGCTACAAACGCCAAGGAGATGGACTTAGAGGTCGCATCTGTCTCGGACGCACCTGAAGTGGAGGAAAGGGACTTCCACAGCAAGCAGGTAATTCGGAATTGACTTCTCCATGGCCCCACGAAATAAACTAATATTCCGGGCATAGGTATTCAAAGGATGGACACTGGCATGGTAATGGACTCCTAATTCCGAAGCTCGCTAGTCAGTTCAACGCTTACTCAAGGTTTTATCATATATAGGCTTGCGTATCAGTCACTCGGAGTCATTTATGGCGACATCGGAACAAGCCCGTTGTATGTCTTCTCGTCTACTTTCAGCAGTGAACCGAGCCATGACGATATTGTCGGAGCCGTGTCATTCGTCATCTGGGCTCTCACCATCATGGTTACCATAAAATACGTCTTCATCGTGCTCTATGCAGATGATGAGGGCGAAGGAGGCACATTTGCTTTATACTCTCTCTTGTCAAGATACGTAAGTGCTCAGGCAATCTCAGTTAAACATTCTATTGACTCAAAATTAGGCTAAACTCGTTCGACACGATCCTCGCCATACGAATTTCGTTAAATTGCAGCGATACGCCACGAACGACCTGCAAAAGCCGAATCGAATGACTCGCAATGTTATGGAACGAAGTTCATTCATCAAATGGGCTCTCAAAATTTTGGGCGCATTTGGTGTCTCACTCCTTCTTGCAGGTAAGCATTGGCATCAAGACGTCGATTGGAAGTCGCTAACGTCACAATCTAGATGGAGTTCTAACCCCTGCGCAGTCTATTCTGGGGGCCATCCAAGGGTAAGCTTGGCTTGAATATAATTACTATTCTACCTAGGCTAATTACTCTAGAATTACCGTCGTGAACCCCAATATCTCTTCCTCGACTGTCGTTGGCGTATCATGTGCAATTCTCGTCCTCGTATTCATTGTCCAACCGTTTGGAACCAGCAGGCTTGCAAGCGCCTTTGCTCCGATTGTCATTGTGTGGATGATTTTCAACTTCTCGTTCGGAATCTATGTAAGTTGCAGGCGAGAAATATCTAAGCCTAAGTCCCAAGGAAAGCGAGGCTAATCTCTTGTCTCTATCCTAGAATCTGGTCATGTATGATGCGTCCGTACTTAAAGCATTCTCTCCCTCCTTCGCAGGGGCGTTCTTGAAGCGGAATGGAAGAGATGGATGGCTGCAATTGGGAGGAATCTTGCTTGCCTTCACCGGTGTTGAAACATTGTTTGCAGACTTGGGAGCGTTTAGCCAACGGTATGTGTACGTTGTTTTCGTTACTCGTTAAGGTTCACTGACCATTCGTGCAGGGCAATTCGTATTTCTTGGCTTTTATTCGTGTATCCTTGCCTTCTTCTGTCGGTAAGTTCCTCGGGTTTTATTGACACATATCTGGCAAATATTCTGACTGCTCGTTACCACCAAGTATATTGGCCAAGGTGCTTTCATTAGCCGAGTACCCAGTGCGTATGCTAATCCGTTCTACCTCACTGTCCCGCCTGGCATGCTATGGCCAAGTCTTATAGTGGCCATCTTGGCGTGTATTGTCGCAAGCCAGGCTGTGATTACTGGGTCGTTCCAGGTATGTTAAGAAGCGGGAAATTCTGAACAAGCATCTGACTTCCTCTAGTTGCTTTCTCAAGTTATGAAGTTATCATACTTCCCCCAAGTGAAAGTCTACCATACCTCAAAGACGTTCCATGGGCAAATTTACATTCCTCTGGCCAACTGGCTCATGATGATTGGAAGTGTCATTGTGACCGCGGTCTACAATAATGTACGTATCCCATTGAGCGCGTTTGAAATCTATTTCACTGACTTTACAAAAGACCACTGCCCTCGGTGAGGCCTACGGAGCATGTGTAATACTTGTCTCTTTCCTCACAACCTGCATGGTGACAGTTGTTGCGCTCATTGTGTGGAAGCTACCCGTGTACCTGGTTCTGCCCGTGTTTCTGATTTTCGCGCTTTGGGATGGAATGTTCCTCTCGGCCGCCTTAAGCAAGGTTCCACATGGTGCATGGTTCACGCTGATGATAGCTGTTGCATTGACCTGCATTTTCGTCCTCTGGCGGTATGGAAAGGAAGAACAATGGAAAGCAGAGGAATCCGATAATACACCTCTATCCCGGACTATCGTGCTGAGTGAAAGCCAGATCGTCCTGCGGAACGGGTCTCAGAACTCAACCATTACCCCAATCAGTGGTCTGGGAATATTCTTCGACAAATCAGGCAGTGCTACTAACACACCGACGGTATTCCTTCACTTTATACAAAAGTTCAGTGCGACACCTGAGGTGTCAGTGTTCTTTCATCTGCGTCCCCTTTCGGTGCCCACCGTTGCTCCAGAAGAGCGATACTCAGTCTCTCGTTGCTACACATATGGCGATGGTCCGAACAAACAGGCTATTCCAAATTGCTACAGGCTGATCGTCCGCCATGGATACACGGATGAGATAGTCACACCTGACCTTGGAATATTGGTCCTTGATCTGATTCGGAGCTATCTGAACTCCCAAAATAATTCCAAAATACCAGAGGATCATGCAGACAGATTGGACGCGCTCCATGGTGCTTGGAAATCTCAGGTCATCTACATCGTGGGGAAAGAGCAGTTGAAGATTCCGAAGAAGACAAACATCCCCCGTCGATTTTTCCTCTGGGCATTTTTGTGGATGCGAGATGTCAGCCGAACTAAGATTCAGCACTTGAATGTTGAGACTGACAGAGTGGTGGAGGTTGGTTTTGTGAAGGAAATGTAAATTATATCCCGACTGCAATACGCTAGAATGTACGGTAAATGTTTGAGCAGAGAGGGTCTTTCCAATGCTGCTCTCTCGAAGCATAAATTCCGCTACTTCCTCATTTTCTTGTCTTTCCTTGTTCCCCCTCTCGGGCCTGTCACATTCGCTCTTTACTTCACCCGCTGCCACTGCCATTCTTTTTTCGTGCCTTGAATCTTCATTCCAATTCTCTTCTTCTTCTTCTTCTTCCATTTGTTGTTTGTTTGACACACTGAGTTAGCACCCTTTCCTCTGTATATCTTCCGGTCGGTGGTCAATCAACTTCTTCTAGATTCTGGACTTCTCGATTCAACGTGGCCAAACGTGTTGGACACCACTGGTCCCCGTGCACTTTCCGTGTCAGCATCTCAACCTTGGGTTCTTATTACCACAACACCTGATGGAGGGCAATATCAGTTGCAAGTCACCTGTCAACAACCGGATGAATATTCCCAAGACGAACAAATAGAGGAGGTGGGGTTTGTTTCCAACTCGGTTCTTACCTCATCGGGATCTGTACGGCATACTTCACCTCCGGCAGCAGACAGAGTCTCTTCGCTACATTGCAACCACTGTCGTAGGGAGTTCCAAAGTAGGGGACCGCTGAAGTAAGGTTTTCTCTGGCCAATACTTTATCATGCTTCTAATTTGGCCTAATTATCTCATAGCAAACACATGAAAACACATACACGTCCCTTCAAGTGTACCGCGGACAAATGTATTATGGGATGTGCGGACCCCAAAGGACCTCAATCGACATATGCAATCAGTACATCAGGGCCAAGTATCCACTGGGAAGTTCATGGTCTATTGTCATTATCCCCATTGCGAATTTTCAGCCAACGGAAGAAAAGGGCCAATGCGACAAGATAACCTCTCACGCTATACTGACAACAAGCATAGACTGGGATTTTGATTTCTGGATTGGGCCTGATTGAGGTTTATGTGTTTAGCCGCTTACATCAGATCCTTGATAATGATAAGAAATTTCCAAGTGAAGTAAAGTCTTTGTGAAGTGACCCTGTGGCCACCTTTTTTACCCATGACAGTATTCGGGTGTAGTCATTGGTAAGGCACAGGAAAGTCGGCGTATTCCTTAAACCCCTGCCGCTGAGAGGGTTATTACTTTTTAGGCTTGAGCTCTTGCATACAAGATCCCAGCGCACACAGGACAATCTTTAGTCGCAGAACGATCATTATTGTGGCCAGTCCATAATCACTAGCCTAAAACCGCCTGAGAATAACGAAGCTATCGATTTCTTTGATGCTAATACTCGATATTGCCTTGGAATAAGTCATATTCTTGATGGCCGATTACTGTTCTCGCTAAATGTTGACGAAAGGACAAATCAGTGACTAAAGCTTAGGCTAGTAGCATTCAGAGTCTTATTCCAAAAAAGAAAATCCAGGAGGCACAGGCTGAGATAGCAGATCTTTACTGAAAGTTTCTTGTCGTTGTTCTTTCACTGATAAGCTACTTACAAAACTCTCTAAAAGTCGAGGAAACCGAGGAGATTCATTTGAGTTAAGCTAAGGCTGAAGGAGAACACACGACATTCCATGAAAATCATAAGAGACAGGTGTGGGATTGTTGTTACATACTTCCCGGTCTAGTCCGAGTTTGGAATCCAGAAGCGATCTAGAAGATTAACGCACTTTGCCAGATTACGTGTTTCTTGGCGCCTTCGGGCCGAACGCCGATTTCGGGATTTGCCCGATTTCTTCGTCGGGGCTTCCGTTCCGACGGACCTCAACCTCCGAAGTTTGAGCCCGACAGACCACATATTCTTGAACGATGAGCCCGACAGATGAGAGCGTTGAGTCGCCAAGGAAGAGACAAAAGACGCTATCGTGTCAAAGATGCCGCTCTCGAAAACAAAAGGTGCTTTTGATTGATCACGATTGGATTGGCTGAAGTTCCCCGTGCTAAAAAAGGCTTTAGTGTAGCGACACAAGACCATGCTACAACTGCATCACGGCCAATAAAGGTTCGGGTGTAGGTTCATATCACATGGGGTTTACTAGCTAACGGAATCCTGCAGAATGTATCTCTAGTGAGCCTACGTCTCGAAAATCTCGAATCAGCACCGAGTGAGTGTCGTCTCCATCAGGATAAAGCTCTGTTTGCCAACATTTACATGCGCAGGTATACTCAATCTCTCGAAGAAAAGATCGCCGAGCTTGAGGCTCAATTACTGCGGGCCCACCAGAGAGAAGTATGTCGCTCGCAGCGACAGGTCCCTGATGATTCAACCTTGTTGAATGACGTGGACAGAAACTCCGACAGCAATGAGCCCGAGCAAGAACAGAACCCCGTCCCACTGCTGGATACTGGAAGAAACTCTGCGCACACCCATGGATTAGCAGAAGAATACCGTACTTTTGAAACCCAACAGGTCCAACACCTTGTTGTTCCAGCCTGCGCTTCTGCCTCCAATAACCCTTTCTCTCCTCCAATTTCTTCCCTCGGGCTCGTCAAATCGCCAATATCCGGCGATAAATGTGGCCATATTAGTCTCTTAACAAGTATCTTAGCAACACTCACCAGAGGTAGCCCATGCGGGGGACATACTCCTGGCGATCGCCCTCTGAGTCATATCCAACTATCCACAGACATCGCAAATCAACTCCTCAACCCGAATTACTCGATTCGACTTCCTGATGGTGCCGAAGACGCCCTCATTCAAGTATACTTGGAACGAGTCAATCCGCGGTATCCCTTCTTACATGTCAACACCTTTTTGGGATGGTATAAGACATGGAAGGGTCGTACAAATGAGAACCCTACGGCAGACCAGAAGGACAGATGGCAGGACTTTTTTGTGACAATGGTACATCAACGAGAAACTTTCCTGCGTTCCCTCAAAACCCTAACATTATCTCAGGTCCAAGCAGTCAGCATCCTCTTAACTCCTCAAGTATCTCAAAATGATATCGCTACCTCCCAGGTACGCCCGCTCAAAGCGAATCTAAATGACAATTTCTAACCATTTAGATCCTTTACAACACTGCGATAAAATACCTATCCTTTGTTTTCACTCGTCCAGATCCGGTTCTCCACGTCCAAGCGCACCTTCTCTTGACCCTACACGCCCTGCACTCGCCGTCTTCCGAAATGATCATTACTATGGTATCAGCCACAATGAGGCAGTGTGTCATTAGCGGCCTTCATTTATCAGAAAACGAGCCAAGGGCTCTCTTTCCAGAATTCTCGCAAAAAGTCCAAATTCGCCGCAGGGTTTTTTGGTCCGCTTATGCAATAGACCGACTTATCAGCTGGATCTACCATATACCGAATAATTTGATCGACGAGCACATCACTGTGGATGTATGTCATATATGATATCTCCAAACTCTGCCTTGCTAACTATAGAAGCTGTTCTCAAACGTAGATGATGCCAGTCTCTCCCAAGACACTGCCACCCTGCTCGAGCCGCCCACTCGAGATCTACTTCAAAGAACTCGCATCTCGCCAGCATTGCATCTCATACGTTGCAGATGTATCCAGTCTCGAATAATAAGCACCATGTTGCGGTCAGATTTTCCCAAAATAAATTCCTCTCCCACATGGAGAGAGCACATGTTGGAAGAATTGGAAACTTGGAGATCTCAGGTTGAACGATTGAGTCACAGAGCCAATCGAGGGTACTTGAGCGACCGATGGGTTGGTATGGCGTACAACTACACCATGGCATTGCTTCACCAGCCTACCAAGGAGAATGTCTGTAATGGGTTTGGCGACCGGTCACTTCAAGCTTCTGTTCAACTTGCATTGACTTTCCGGGCCTTTCAGAAGGATCGACAAACAGCCCAGCTGTGGCCCGGAGTAGGTTATACTACAATCAACTATATAAAACTCGCTCGCTAATTCTTGGATCAGCTTTTGAGTCAGTTCACAGTGGGGGTCACGATTCTATATTGCTTTTGGGCAACACCACCTGCATACCGTCCCCCCACGTATCGAGCAGCAGAAGTCTCGGAAGCACTCCGGGCTTGTTCGACTTCCTTGGCGATTCTTGCTGAGCGATGGAACCAAGCCGAGCCTCTGCGAGATGTTTTCGATATTCTTGCAAAGGAGATTCCAACACACGAGGGCCTTGATAGGAGTCCTTCTTCGAAGCGCATAACCTCAGACTCGGTCGTTCTCATCGAGTCACGCATGCATGCAGTACGCGAAATTTCTAGGAATCAAGTGATACTTCGCATGTTGCAGGAGATAATCACAGATGATTTTCCATCGAGTCCGGGAGAGTATTTGCAACAAACAGACTCGCCGAGAGGCAACCATCTATGCTCCGAACATTGCGCAATGTTCCATGGCACGGCTGTTTTCGACTCAATGATGAATTTGAACTTTGACCCCCATGGAATAACCACTGGTGACCTGAGCGAGACATATTCTCCTTTTGATGACACGATCATCTTCCCTGCATTATTTGGATCAGCTGAGTTCTGATTCAAGAATCTCGAACTATATGAATTGTAGGTGGAGCCTTCTTCGGACATTTTGACCCCGACACATCGGAGCGTTCATGCCGATGATGACTCGACTGGCCAGATTCTTTTATCCACCTCGGCACTCGTATGTGCCTGTTTCTTTTTTTTTCACAAATATAGAGTCTAATATATCTCACAAGTTTCAAATTCCTTGTTTTGTAAACATTCCTCGCACGATGCCTCAAAAGTTAAAGGTCGGCGTGGCACAGGCCCGCACCGGCCCCTCTCTCTCCGCTACACTCTCTGCTTTGGAGCGCATCACACGAAGTGCAGCTTCTCAAGGTGTGAGCCTGCTGCTTTTCCCTGAAGCATACCTGGGAGGCTATCCTCGCACCTGCGATTTCGGAACTGCAGTTGGCGCTCGTGCTCCTCATGGCCGAGAGCAGTTTTTGCGGTATTTCCAAGATGCAGTAGATCTTGGAGATACTCCCGCAGGGGCTGGGGATGACTGGGTGGAACGGAAACTTCCCGTTGCGAAAGGGTCTGATCGTCGCGGCGATGGCACAAGAGAGTTCCTTGAGAGAGTTTCTCGCGAGACGGGTGTCTTTATCGCCACGGGTGTAATTGAAAAGGCGGGTGGTACCTTGTACTGTTCAGCGCTTTACGTGGACCCAACCTCGGGTGTCCTGGGAAAGCGACGAAAGGTGATGCCGGTGAGTCTTGTATAACACCTACTGTTGATCAATATATTGCGTACGGCTCGCTCACTGTTCGCCAATAGACAGCCTCTGAGCGCCTCATCTGGGGCCAGGGCTCGCCCTCTTCTTTGAAAGCCGTCACAACTGTGCTCAACGGCGTGAAGCTTACCATCGCTGCGGCAATTTGCTGGGAAAACTTCATGCCTCTGCTTCGACAGAGCCTGTATTCTCAGAATGTCAACATCTATCTTGCTCCAACGGCTGATAGTCGAGACACTTGGCTTCCCCTCATGCGCACAGTCGCTGGCGAGGGTAGGACTTTCGTCCTCTCCGCTAACCAATGCGTTCGGTACCGCGAGTTACCGTCATGGATTACCGACCATGCTGAGAAGGATGGAACGGCTCTTGAAGGTATTTTTATCTGTTATTCATTCCGGTATATGGGACTAACCGTAATGGCAATATAGGAGACCAGTACATTGCCCGTGGCGGATCTAGCATTGTTGGCCCCCTCGGAGAAGTCCTTGCCGGCCCTGTCTGGGAATCCTGCGTTGACGATGCACTTGAGTCCTCGGCTTCAGGAGAGGTCTCCGACAAGGACGGCCTGTTGATTCACGAAATCGACTTGGAGGATTGTGAGCGAGGCAGGCTTGATCTTGACGTTGCCGGAAGCTACTCAAGGAGCGAGTTCAAGCTGACAGTGGAGGGACTGGACTTGAACCCTCCTCCTTTTTGATACCTTCTAAAGTTCAGATTTGAAACAAGATAGTTGAGAGGGATTCATTTTGTTGTAGAGATGAATCATGTTATGGAACAGGGATTTGAATTGAATTTCGAGTGCAAAATTAGCAAACGCTCGGCCTGATCAGCAGAATTTCACATCTGACAGTCTTTGAGTTCAAAATTTTGATATCTTCTACCTAACAACTCTTTCTGGATCTCAAAATTGCTGTTCAATGTTGATGAATTCTGTGACTGGTATCTTTACCGGCTTCCAAGGGCTACACTGTGCAAAGAATCTAGTTCAACGGAGAGCTCAATCCTGAACTCAATGATCCATCAAGATATAAGACGACAACCTGGTTCACGAATATCTTTTCGATCTAGAACCGGGCTTCGAGCCATATTATGCTGAGATAACACATCAAAGCCTCGGCCCCCACGTAAGTCTCCCGTCAGTCGGAATCGGGGCTCCACTCGTCTCCGAACCTCCTTCAACATTACTTGTTTATGTACAGACTCCGAACGCCTGATATTTCCCCGGCTTGATCAATGCTGAATCATACACCAGAAAGTATTGGCAATAGGCGCTCAGCTTGTGACCGATGTCGGCATCACAAGCTCCGCTGTGAAAGAGGCAATGCCGGGCGCTGTCAACGATGTGAGAAAGCCCATGCGCAGTGCCTTATGGGCCCTGCCCTTAGGTCTGGTCGGCCTGTGCAGATATCAAAGAGTCCACTCCTGTCAATGCCAGTATCCTCTGTGACAGAAGAGCATGGGCATCAAAGTCTGATCGCCGACATCACGCCAGATATCTTAATGCGGCAGCCTGTTCCAATAGATACTACCCAAGAGGTCCAGGGCTATGCAACAGGCCTAGAAACCCGACGTCTGCTCTCGCCCACCAATATCGACGATTTCAACGAGATCTGGTCCCACTCTTTTCCCGCCGATGAACTAGCAGGCGCAGGGAATGATCCAATCACTCCACCTTTCGCACCACCCAATGAAGCCCTCAGGAAACTAGCTGATCTCCAAGCAAATATTCTTGCCGATCTTGAGGCTGTAAAGTATTGCAGGACGGCTGATAAGTGTCCTGAAGCGATCAATGCTACCAATTCGATCACTGGGCAGAACGTCCTGGTTGGTCGTATGCTAGATCATTCAACAGCTCTCGCCGACATTTTGAATCACTTCCAGCCGAGCGGTACAAATAGCGAAGTCCATGAACTCTCATGCGATATGCCTATCACTGTCACACTCGTTTCATGCTATGTGTCCCTCGTGCGTATTTATCGAACCATCTTTTCATGTATCTTGGACTCTCTGCCGTTCTTACTGGGTATCCAGCACCCAACTCCTCAACTGTTTCCAGGCATGCACCTCGGTGGCTTCAGACTTGAAGCCCGGGTCGATCTTCAAGTGCAGATCTTGGTGAAAATTAGTGAAGACATGCTGAAGAGTATCGAGAGTAGGTTCGGTCTCCCTGGCGATGTCTTTATAGCTGGAGAGAACACATCCAGGGCTGGAAAGGCTGCCCGGCTGCTACGAATGATGCTGGAAGAGGAAGCCAGTGAACAGCCTGAACTGTATGAGCCACGAGGATACTGCAAACCAATGAAAGACCTTCTTGTCAGTCTTCGCAATTCCGATCGAGGATGCTTTTCTCGTTGATAGTCAGGCAAATCCTCCGAATGCTATGATCGGAACGTTTCTCGGACATGCCACGCCCTTGCTATAAAGCGACCCCTGCATGCAAAAGAAGTTCGATCTGCCCTCCTCCAAGCCTTTGAACTCTCCATAAAAAATTTTGAATTGACAATTCCGACGCCATGTCTTCCACGCCCCCCGATGGAGAAGGTCTCAATATGATGTGGTGGGCAGCGCGACACCCACCGTCAGACCCAAAAACTTCTTTCGCCGGCCAAACAGTCCTGATCACCGGTGCCAATACCGGGTTAGGCTATGAAGCAGCTCTCAAATTTGCTGCACTTGGCGCCTCCCGTCTCATTTTCGGCGTCCGGTCACTTCACAAAGGTGAAGAAGCACGAGCGCGGATATGCCAACAAACTGGCTACGATACTAGCAATATCCAGCTTTACGAACTTGATATGAGTACTTTTGCCTCTGTAAAAATGTTTGCCGAGGTGACTGCCAAAGAGCCTCGCTTGGATATCGCCGTCCTCAACGCTGGACTCATGGCGACGTCTTATCGTGTCAGCCCTGAAGGATACGAGATGTCTCTGCAGGTGATGGTTCTCTCAACTGGACTGTTGGGTATGCTTCTCTTACCGCAGCTTCAAAAATCAGCTGCTATGTCCGGCGTACCTGCACATATCGAGTTTGTGGGTAGTATTGCTGGTCGCAGTGTAAAGCCTGATACATTCTCACGGATTGATGCCAGTATCTTGGACGGGGTCAATCAACCTGGCTTCTTCGATGTGCAAAAGCAGTATAATGTTTCGAAACTTCTGCTGTTCTACGTTTTGGATAGCTTGGCGGAGTCTACAAGCAGCGCCAGCGTTATTATCAATGCCGTCTGCCCAGGGCCTTGTCGAACTAATCTTGGCCGAGACTTCCCGAGTTGGCTAAGGGTTCCGTTGACTCTCATGCAATCTGTGCTTGCTCGCTCAGCAGAGGAAGGGGCGAGAAGCTATGTCAGTGGAGTGACTCTGGGTCAAGAAGCGCATGGTCAATTGTGGAGTGCCGACATGTTCCTCAGGTATGTAAAGCATATCAATCGATTCTTCTACGGGATGCTGACTTGGTTTGTAGTAAAGGGGAGCTTGTCACAGGTCCGCAAGGCAAGGTGTTGCAGAAGAAAGTATGGAGAGAAATTCTTGAAGTACTGCAACCATATCTACCGAGTACATATATAGATTGAAGCTGATGGGATTTGTACCATGTCTCAAGAATTTATCAGTTTTATGCCCTTTGCAAGGTTGTCAGAATCGAATCACACTGGCCGCTTTTAGCTGAGTCCATTGTTGCGAAAAACCGACGACCGATCCAAGCTCAATATACACTTCATCCCCTATAGGGATATGCTTTCAAAAAAATGCCATACCCCATATAATAGACACCCCAGATCAACGGACCCAATGCTCCAAGAACTGCCGGTCCAAAAGACATCTCCAAAATACACCAGATCCATATAGTGCCATAAGCGGGCGCCTTCTTCATAACAGCGTAGTATGGCTCTCCATTTGTAACAGTGATGAGATGAGCTCCCAGTAATACTGAGATAGGAAGCAAAATAATGGTCCGTAGAGACGGTGGGAAGAGCAGCCGCCGGAGGAAGGAGAATGTGAGTTTGTCGCGTGTCAGCGGGAGAACCGAGACTGGCTGCGTCGCGAGGAAGCCCAGGCTACTATGTAGTTTGAAAGAGACAATGTGGCCATGAACGAAGTGGACGAGGAAAGTGAGGAGGGGGAAAGTGATGAAGACCGATTCTTTGAGGAGGGCAGGGATGTTGGTGGCTTCGGCGTACTGGTGTGCGGCGAGGTAGGCGAGCGTGAGGTGGAGGGTCGTGAGAGGAATAGCGAGGAGGATGGTATCGAGTAAAGGCGGCAATGGCTTGTCTATTTCGAGTTCGGAATCGTCGTCATTGTCTTTTGACCGTTCTTTGCGGCCTGGTTTGGTTTTCTGTGTGCCCATGTTCATAGGGATTTGGCCGTCAACTTTGCCGTCGGTGTCCACCAGATTCCCCGACGCGTCGACAGTCACGTATCGAGTACCTGTTGGTTCCGAGGGTAATCCTTTGCCTAGTGATGGCCCCGGCATTTTCCCCAAGCTTTCTTGTTGTCTGAGGAGCTCATTTTGGCGCTTCTCAATGATGTCATATAATGTCGGCTCGTTGCTCTTCTTTTTGGGATCATGGCGTTCCGGAAGGGCGAGGGGGATGTCGAGCTCCTCGGAAGCTGCTGCAGCGGCAGCACGACGCTGCTTTCGATTTCTTGGAGCCTCCATACTCCAGTGGTGGGTGTCGTGGAGAGGTTACAGAAGTGAGTGACCTGGCGGGAAACAAAAACACGCGAGTGGGTCGGCGGACTCGGAGGATCGGCCGATCGGCGAAACTGCTCCAGTGACATAAGTACATACAGTAACTATAGGAAATTGGCATCGTAACTCCTATCCATTTTAATAATGTATGGGGGTTCCAAACGCTAGCTCTAGGCTCACCCATGCCAATAGCCCTTCGCTCCACATGAAAGTCAAACAGGCTCCAGCATCGACTACACTCAAATGTGGGAGAGATTGATTCATATTCGCGAACAAACAGAATTCCATTTCCTAATCGTAGTAATTCCACTCATCAGCATCCATTAAATTACATTAAACCCTCTTAAGGACCACTGTTCGTTCACTCGTTTTTCCAAGACCAACATATTCCCTTTAGCCAGCCTGGTAGATGGCGGGACCAGCAACGACGTGCGGGTTGATCAAGCTCAGGTTGAAAGGAGTTAGGACAGGGTTATCATCGGTAATAGCGATGAACATGGTGCCATTGACGGCTGGGTCGCCCTGGTAAGTCTCTAGACTAGGCTGACTTGTGTAGCCAAGGCCAGTACTATTGCCAGTGCTGTTTCTAGTAATATTGGCGACACGCAGGGGTGTGTAGGTCACGTTCAGCTGCGAGACCCAGACAACAAACTTCGCAGTCTTTGCCTGGGTGGAAGTAACGTAGCTATTGTTGGGACCGACTTCTTTGCCTGCAGTCTCCCATTGCAAAGCCACCTGGCGGCCAGGGAACGAGAGTGCCCCAATGTCACTTGTCACATTGGCGCCACAATCGCTGCTGGAGTTGGAGCCTGAGGAGCCATTTGGCGACTTGACGACATTGGTACCGGAGCTAATAGTGTTGTTGAGGCCAGTGCTGTTACCGCCGGTTTTACCAGCTGTAGCAATGCTAGGCTGGTTGAGGATTCTCAGAGCTGGGAAGTTTTGCCATACAAGACGAGTCTGGTTGCTAGGGCAGGAGCTGATATATGGCGCCAGAAGAGTCCAGGCCCAGGACTGCGGGATTCCAACTTCGAACCACACGGGCATGGGGAAGAGACCTTGGAATTGACGGAAGATCATCTGCTGTCGGGCTTCGGTCGTGACGGACTGTGTCAGGAGAGTGGCTGCCTCGCGAGAATCAAGGTGTGCCAGGAACCCATAGACACCAGCCTCGCCAAACCGAGTCAGCTTCTGGCAGAAGTCAAGGAACTCGTTTACGTTTGTGTATGGATAGTCGTATGCGCACTGCTGTGGTGCTTCCGCACCGAGAATATTGCTGATCATTGTTGCGTGGCCAACCTCCTGCTGGGCCATAAATGCAATCAGGTCCCGATCTGCAGCGTTCAAGCCAGCGGCTTTGAAGTCTGCCTCCGAGAAGCGCTTCAATCCGTCCTGGAACAGGTCGAGCTCAAGCCATTCCTGATACAAAGCAAGGGCCTGTGATCCAAAGTCAGCGACATGGCAAGTGTGCGGCCAACGGGTCATATAGCGACGACTTACCAAAGATTCATAGTCAAAGTCACTCTGGGCATTATAGACGGGAGTCGATCCATTGGTGCCAACTCCTCCTGCGGGAACAAATGGGGCTGGTTCGGCATTTTGAAGCTTTCCATCACTGGGATAGGTAGTAGCTCCCGGTTCGATACCACCGCTGGAGATGCCAGATCCAATTGAGGAAGCCGTCAATGCGCCCGTAGTGGACGGTGTTCCACTAAAAGGAGTGTGCGGCTCAGAAGAGGGATGGCTTCGAACCGGCGGAGCGGAGACAGAGGCCGACGAGGCCGAAGTTTGGCGAGCAATTACAATTCCATTTGGAATTGCAGAAGCAAAAGGCACAGAGCCCAGTACGCTCAATAGTGGAAGAATGTTCCACATCATGATTAGGGAATGTTTGTCGGTTCCCTCTCAAAGCTGGTACCTCCCTTTCGGACTATATGACAGCGCGTTGGAGGAGAAAGGTGCAAAAGTAGGGAAATCGGGAGAAAATGGCCGTCGTAAAGAGTACATATAAGGTCCCAGGGGTGTGTCAGCTTCCCATGAGCCCTACATCGACATAGGTGACGATTGACCCAGCAAACCTGGCCTGACGAGGTCCGAATTGCGACATTATCCAGGCACAGAAGTCAATCAGGCTGCTCTTCGGGCCAGTCACAAGCGGATTGGACTCAAATGGCGCACCGGTCCGACATCCATGAAGTCAACGACCTCATCCTGGCTACCAAATGCGTCTAATGACTACCGTATGGTGTATGGATACTGTGGGTATCACCAAGATTGAGGTCAATCGATGGTAATGAACAAAGTTGAGCGGGAAAGATTCCCAACCGGTTAAAAGGCCGTGATGGCGCGGCCCTTTTAGGGTTCGAACCTTGCTTTCTTCGATCAATCTTCGATGCTTGCAGGCAACCAGCCGTTGCACGATTGGTCGACCAGCAGGCAATGTCCGTAATATTGTCGTACATGCTACTCCACAGGAGAACTCTGATCTTGGCGGGTGGCAAGGGTATATAAGGTCTCGAAATCTGCGGAGATTCCGGATATCAGGCTGACGTTGCGTTGACAGGCGTGGAGTAGTGAAGACGAATGGAATTCATCTACTGATCAGGAAATCATGAAGGCAGCAGCATTTGGCCATTTGTATGAGATCAGTATACTGACTCGTGCTTGAAACCTCTCAAGTCCTCATGCATGAAGAATACACGTCTTCGTTCTGCACCTGATGATTTCAACCAGCTTGAGTGGTGTAGGACGTATAGAACGAAGTGAGCGGTTCATAGTGGAGACGGTGATGACGTCGAGCCCATAGAAAGGGTAAATTCATTGCGATGGAAATCATCTCCGCCCTCCGGAGTCTTCGGAATCCACTCCGTGACAATCATTAATTTTGAAAATGTAAGAAAATTATGAACAGTCGAGGTCCTCGATCAAAAGTTAGCATACGTACTCATAGAAAGTTTTTGAGGAACGCGCGCACGTCGCGTGTGCACGGTCCAACGGTTATACCAAAGTCGCTAGACGTACTTCTCTTGGCTGCAGAGACTCCTATTCTGGAGGTGAAAATACCCTCATTGCGATATCATCTCACTTGTTGTATCCTTGTCCTGTCTTTCAACTCCTAGGCCGACGGCGAGGAGAACGCTGCCTTTTCCCAGCGTCGAATTTTGCCTTGTTAACACAAGGCCGACTCTCATGGCAAGCATGAGCGTCTGAAATGTACATGGCGACCAATTGAAAGCCGCTCTCGGATACTTCGACTCGATACCATATCAACTCCAAGGGTGGTCTGCCGATCTAAAGCCATAGCCGAACCACTTCGGAACAACGCCGACCGGGAGTGGAGCACGACAATGTTGCGATTGAGGGGGCTTGTGTAAGCCCGTCATCTTCCACACTTCCTCTCACTCAATCTGCATCGATCTCGAGTCCCAGCTTCAGCTCGCTATCACTCTTCATTACCAGCATCATGTCAAACCTCCAAGCTTCGCATCTTTTCTCCGTTCAGGGCCGGGTCGCGGTCATCACAGGCGGAGGTACCGGTAAGCCCCACTGAGGGGAGGAGTCTGGGAATCCATACCCACCCTGATTGATTTCCACATTGACACGAGGCTACCTTGCTAGGTCTGGGCCGTATCATAGCCCACGCGCTCGCCATCAACGGTGCCTCGAAGATCTTCGTTCTCGGTCGCCGAGAAGAGGCCCTCCGCGAGACGGCCACTCAAGCACAAGATGGAGTCATCATCCCGGTCAAATGCGACATCACCTCAAAGGAGTCGTTGGAATCAGCATACCAGACTATCGCAGCGCAGACTACCTACATTGACATCCTCTTCGCCAATGGTGGTATCGTGGGTCCGGGTATGCGCCCGCCCCAGCCAAAGGCCGACGGAACTCCGCCGTCTCTATCAGAATTCCGCGAGGAGCTATTCAACATCCCAATGGAGGAATTCACGAAGGTCCTGGACGTCAACATCACTGGCTCATACTATACTGTCCTGACCTTTTTGCCTCTGCTTGATGCGGCCAACAGGAGACGACCCGCACCGCAGGTGGGTGTGCTTACTCCCCCCACGGCACAGGTCGTGATCACCACCTCCATTGCGGGTTTCATCCGAAGAGCACCGTTCAGCTATGCATACAGTGCGTCCAAGGCCGGAACTACCCATCTGGTAAAGATGCTTTCTACTACTCTATCCTCGTATGATATTCGGGTCAATGGTATCGCGCCGGGGTTGTATGACACCGAGATGGCCCATGATGTTTTCACGCAGATGGGTGCTCAGAGTGGAGGTATCTCGGAGGGTTCATTCCCAAGACCTATGATTCCTCTAACTCGGGCCGGTAGTGAGGAGGATTTTGCTGGTTTGATCCTTTGGCTGGCGAGCAACTCTGGTGGTTATGTGAATGGCGCTATTATGATTACTGATGGTGGTCGCCTCAGTGTGTGGCCGAGTGCATACTAGAAATTGGGATGTCTGTGCAATGCGGGAGCTTGTCTCAACAACACTCTTTCTATTTGAGACTCGCTTTCGACAACTAGAATGGTACAGATGAATAGAGAGTTCATCACTTTATATCTTACGAAAGATTCAATATGGCAATGGCTTAGGTGATGAAGATCGCCGCAAGATAACGGGTATCGGGCAGAAAGGATGGTACGAAGTAAAAGACAAAGAACGCGCAACAAATTGTCAAAAATCTCCAAGTTTGCCGATCAGTATGTCGCAGCCAGTCGCTGGACCAGGTAATCGCCTGCAGTGATACCGGCATATTTCTTGGTCACATGAATATCTTCCCCATACGTGCCCGGCAGCGCCTCGATCAATTTGTTGTTATTCGGATTGCAGAAATACGCAATGCTGTATCGAGAAGGATATGTGTCGGAGGTATCATCTGCATGCTGTCCCTCTGGCTTGGGCGGCTCAATAACCCGATGACGTGTGCTCTTGATAGTATCATTGGACCACCGCGCCAGTAGATCTCCCGCGTTGACAACGATGGTATCAGGAATGGGAGTTGCATCGACGAACGTTCCTTTTGGACTCCGCACCTGCAAACCACCATGCTGATCCTGGAAGAGCAGCGTGATAGAGCCATAATCACTGTGTTCCCCAGCGCGAACCTGATTGGGGTTCTGCTTGAAGACATCCTTCCGAACGGGAGGATAGTGTAAGAGACGAAGATTATTGTCCCCGTCGTTGACAAAGTCATCGAAAAAGTGTTCTGGCAGATTCATGCCCAGTGCGATAGCACTCATAACCTGCTTGTGTAGATCCTTGCATATGCCGAAGAAGGAAAGCATCGTCTCCTTGAACTCCTTCCCTTCATCATCGAGATGATCCGGCCACTGGTTAGGTAGACCTTCAACTCCCTCGCGACCTATCTCCATTGTCTCCTTGATATCAGGTGCAGATCCCCGCAATGCATCCATATCTCCGGTTTCTTCAAGGGTGGCTAGCTTCTCGCGCCCGATCGCGACATAACCACGGTTCGAATGTGGGGTAGTCCAGCCCAGACCGTCCTTTTGGCTCCGGGGTCTACGGAAGAAGCCAGCAGATGAGGCGAAGACTCGAGAGACCACCGAGGGTGGAATGCCATGATCCTTCAGGTATACGAAGCCGGATGTCTTGAATGCATTTGTGATAGACAAGGCGACGGCGTGCTTGTCGGATGGGGTTCCGGTAAAGAAGGGCCGGAAATCGATAAGCTGTGGACAGTTCAGATTGGATTCAACTTGGAAATCGCAGATCTAGCACTATGACAGGAGTGGGGTTCGTGTGAGGACTCACGGGTATCACCAGATCGTCCTTGGCCACGGCCGTAGATGCTGGGTTGATCTCTTGAAGGTGGCCCGCCATTCTCTCACTGGACTCGGTGACTACGAGGCTTCTTCTGTATATGTCGCTTCAGTGAATGCGAAGAATTGCTAAAGGCGGGTTTTGGGATAGAAAGAGAAAGGAAGTCGGAGAAGAAGAGGGGAAATGCAGATCCATGATGCACCACCCCTGCTCGAAGCATGGAAGGTGATGATAAGACCGCAAGATAAGCTCGAGCAGACCAGTGCTCAGGCCGCGGCGCGTGTCGCCTCGTGAACCTAAGTTGATAGGCTAATTTATACCTTTTCATTCCGTAGAACATGTTCCAGCCTGGTGTATGTGATAGGCTAAAAAAGAGGTTAAGACGGGCTAATTACACAAAATGTCCCCTTGCCATACGGCGTCTGAACAAACAGCCTCATACAATGACACCCCCAGCACCTTATAAAATACAAATGCCGACCGAGCAACTTCAAGATCGCTTCTCACATATACTAATGCCCGGAGAGAAAACTCCAGCAAGGAATATGCGATCGGACTGAACATCGTGTACGGCTGTGCTTGTCGTTGACATGAGCTTCGCAGCTTCGTCCTCGAGCATCGGCTGAAGTATATACTGCTCCTCGTCCGACTTTTTCGACCGGCCGTTCTTCTTTTGGACCATCAAGACCGTACCCGCAGTCACAGAGGCTCGTGGGTTCGTCGATGCTTCTTGCAATTCGACAGGATCCGTAAATGCAGTGATGAGAATGTTCCCTTGGGCATCCACAGAAAGATGATCAAGTGCTGAGCCCAGCGAAAGGGCATCGATTTGAGTCAGTTCATTTTCAGCCATTTTGTAGACAGCCAGCGTCCCAGTTGACGACATTGAAATATAGGCCAAGCCGTCGTGGCCCATGGCAATGCTATTGGCGAGATCGAAGCCTTGGCTGGCAACCGTTCGGCACAGTCCCGTGTCGGTTCGACAGTAGGAAATACTCGAGCTGCCAAATTGAAAGGGACCACCACGAAAAGGTCCTAGCTTAGTGCGACCGCCATTGATCACCAAGAATCCCTTTCCATCTTGGTCAACTGCCAGGTTGTTGGGAGAATCCAGGGCCTCACTGGAAATACACTTAACGTGGACAAGTTTGCCCGATTTCGGGTCCAGGTCAAAAACCTCGATACTTGATTCCGTTGGAACATCCAGCGCTTTGCCTGTTGTCGAATCCAGGACTGGCGTATGGTTCGTCAACCAGAATCGAAGTCTGTTACCGACACGGCGCGCATCGAAGCCATGTAAATTCAACTCCTTTTGAAGGTTGTCTGGAATGTCGAGTCGTTGAATCCTGTACTCATTCTCCCGACCGGCGGGATCCAATTCCAAAACCGCAATATGATCTCGACGAGATCTTGCCCACGTAGTCGTAGCAGCGCCGCCAGGGTTCCAATCTTTTGGAAACGTAGCATTGGTACAGGCACCATAGAGCTTTCGGTCTCGATGATCCAGCCAGATATGTTCACAGCCCTCCATGAAGGGGTGGTGGATTTGCGAACATCTCCACCACCAGATTGAACTGTCTTTTGGTTGCGCCGATCGATTAGAACTCAAAAATAAAGAAAGACGATCATTGAAGAAGAAGCCAAAGACGATCGCTACGAGGAGAACTATTGTACTCCATGGTAGCAGGCCAAAATGTCGCCGTCTTGGCCGGTCCACGCCGGTCGCCATCAGGGGGTGGGAGCGCCAGGTAGAAGCATTCTTGGAGGCACGCGGAGTGTATTTCAGGACCCTAGGCCCTGGAACCAAAGTCTGGGGCAGTCTTACCCTGCCGATCTTGGGCGCTTCGGACCCTCGAACGGCCCTATTATCGCCTGGACATCGCTGTCTGTTTCTCGCCGGTTTTGCGTGGGTCTTTGGTGGGCGGCAATATACTCTGGCCGGCTTGCTGGCATGGCATTGGTTGGATGTCTCAAGCTTCAGGACGCAGGCGCCGGGGCTGTTAACTAATCGGTTGTTTTTGCCCCTGAAATGAGGGGCAAGTTCCCGGGATGCTAGCCTATCAATGTATGTGTATGGATTCTCTATGTACTGTACGGAGTAGTCTGTACCAAAATGCCGAATGCAACGGTTATACTGATCTTGGAAGTACCGACCAACCCATCACCATGACAGAGAAATACACCGCATAGTGTACTATACTTTTTTACAGTGTATATGGAATCCATTCTGACTCGCGTACCTGACCAGGTATGTGTTCTGATTTTTCTCCATATCTCTAAGGAGGAAATGGCCGAGAGTACGCCGAGGTTCCCTGACTCTCCGTCCCAACGGAGAGTGGCCACATGTATGGGGGGACATCTCAACGTGTCTCCAGCGGACCTCGGACAGCTCCAGATCCACTCGGCGACATTATTAAGCCGACGATCCAGTACAATAAACTAAGCTGCCCCTCATCCCTCCTTAAAACCCCTCCATTGCACTCTGAATATTCTTATTTCCATCTATACGAAACTCATCCCTTACCAATCCGTCAGAATGACTTTCACCGCTGTCGTCCTTTACCCGAATGAGCCGGACACCACGTTCGACACCGACTACTACCTGCAGACCCATATGCCTCTGGTGGCCAAGCACTGGGGACCTGCTGGCCTGAAAAGCTGGAGTGTCACCAAGTACGAGCGCGATCTTGCTGGTACTTCTCCAAAGTACCTGATTGCTGCCACTCTGGTGTGGGAGAGCGAGGAGAGTGCCACGGCCGCTATCGCTGGAGAGTCGGCGTCCAGCGTCTTCGGCGATATCCCCAACTTCACCAACAAGCAGCCTGTTACTTTGGCTGGTAGCACTATTGGAAGCCAGGAGATCTCTTAAGTAGAGACTTTATGTCAAATGGTCAGTATAATTTTGAAAATCGTTCATGCTGGGCGATGTGTTGATATCTGTCGCTATAGGTCTGGTCGGTTGGAAACCAATTTCCATCTATAAGCAATGAGATGACGAACGAGGGGCTTTGATACAGATGACGATTCGATTTAATAATGTACGACGTCAGTATATGGAACACTAGCTCAATATCACTGTGTACTAGATTGCAAACTGGAAAATCAGGAACCTAGGGTAGAGAGCGTCTGATCCGTCAGTAAGTTAAACTGTTCCCGCCATTTCTGCATTGTAGCCAAATCTCCAACTCCCTCTAGCACAAGCGCTCTCCAACTTGAATTCAAGTAAACTGACAATGAACAAAGAGTATTGTGCTCCAGATAGGCTTTGTATGATTGGACCATGAACCGATTGAACTAGTTGAGCAAGAATAGAAATTCATTATCGAAAGACTATCAACGTAAAGATAAGCTTAGATTGCTCGCGAGGTAACATCGAGACGATTGGGACTTGGGCAATCCCCGCATCTGCAGGTCTTATCTCCCCAAGTCAAACAACAAACGCTGCAGCTGCTTGTCTCGTACCCCTCATTTTCCCTTCTTCATTTCTCTTCTGCTTTCTTCGTCATTTTTTGATCTCATCTCAATTCCGCAAATACTGTCAAAATGTCCAACCCTCTAATCGTGGACATCCATACCCATGTCTATCCACCCGCATACATCGATATGCTCCGCGCCCGCCGCAAGGTGCCATATATCCACGACCCGTCCGACGGCGGACCACCCCGTCTAATCATCCTCTCTTCAGACGATGACTCAAATATCCCCCTCGATCAGCGTGGTCGACCAGTCGACTCGTCATACTCCGACATCCAAGTCAAACTCGGCTTCATGGACAAACACGGAATCGATTGTAGCGTCATTTCCCTCGCCAACCCATGGCTAGATTTCATCGGCGAAGAACAAGCCTCTGAATGGGCCCAAAAGATCAATAATGACCTCGAATCTACTTGTGCACAGGTCAATAATGCGACTGCCCTGCCAGATAAACCCCCTCGCCTCTTTGCCTTCGGCACCTTACCACTGGGTGCACCGCAACAAGTAGCCGTGGCGGAGGAAGTGCATCGAATCAGCGCCCTCCCTCATATCCGCGGCGTGATTATGGGTACGACCGGGCGAGGCAATGGTCTAGATGATCCCGAGTTAGAACCAGTATGGGGAGCACTCCAAGATACCCAACTCATGCTATTCTTGCATCCGCATTATGGCCTGCCGGACGAGGCGTTCGGAGGGCCTGAGATCGTTCGTCGCTATGGACACGTGCTCCCGCTGGCGCTGGGGTTCCCACTGGAGACTACCATTGCGATTACGCGCATGTATCTGAGTGGGGTGTTTGATCAGTTCCCCAAGCTGAGAATCTTGTTGGCGCATTCGGGTGGTACGCTTCCGTTCCTAGCGGGCAGGATTGAGAGTTGTATCGCGCATGAGCGGACTTTTAAGGTGAATGGGGGTAGTGTTCCGGGCCCGCAACGGGGTATTTGGGATGTTTTGAAGACCAATATATATCTAGATGCTGTGGCTTATGGAACTGCGGGATTGAAGGCAGCTGTGGAGGCCGGAGGGGGCAGTACGGATCGTCTGCTGTTTGGTAAGATACTGAGCTGGTGCCCTACTCTGGTGACATTTTTTGATGCTGATATCTTCCAAGGTACTGATCATCCATTCTTCCCACCTCTCAACGAGGAAGATGATAAATGGACCAGTGTGACTACCAATTACAAGGCCATTAGTGCCTCATTCGGTGAAAATGAAGACGCCGTGGCAGCAGTGTTGGGAGGTAATGCTGTTCGTATTCTCAACCTGAAATAAATGGTATTTCTCAGCGGCTAGGATAACTTCTGCTCGCCAATGATACATGATATCATGTCTCAATAAGAACAGAATGAGGAACACAACCTCTTGCGAAGAAAGTACACACAGCTCGAGCATTTTCTGGCAAACACGATGATCTGCCGTAGTCCCTAACATTATCATGGACGAGAGGTGCTGGTGGGCTCTAGTATATCCCAGCCAACCAGGCGCCACAGCTCCCCTGCAAACCATTCGGTAAATTCCAGCCGTTGATTCGGAGGTCCGAGATAATCAGTGGGAGCCGGAGTCGTAGGCCTCTCCAAGCCCCCAAGGAACAGAGGATCCTCCTTGCCGAATATGGCCTGAAGCAAGGTCTTCTTCATCGCCTCCTGGAGCTTGAGATTGAAAGGAGCTTGGCCACCAGGAGTTGTGCTCGCAGGAGGGAAAAGAGATTCGTTCTTCAACACTTTCTCGAGGAAGAAAACGAGTTGCTTTGCCTCCAGTTGACCGGTCTGTCGCGAAATACCATCCACTCTCATTGCCGCGAGACCTTCTGGGGGTCGGAGATTGAGGGTAAGATTGGTCGGTAGCTGCATGCCATCGAAGGTGAAGAGAGCGAGCATCTTTCCCAGCCGGTCAAGAATCACATGCATGAATCCTTCCATCACTTTCTGGTCACAGGTCTGATTCGTGTCCAGTGAGAGGGCCATTTTGCAGAGTAACTCAACTAGCACCTGTGCGCTGGCAGGCTTGCCACTCATCGAACCTCTGGCCGCGCCGCCTATTTTCTTCGGCGGCTGCCTGGCTCCGGTGGTGCCTGTGCTCTCTGTTCCTGTATCATTTCCTTGTGACACCGCGGTGCAATATTGGGTGAGACCAGTCATGATGGACTGGAAGAGACACACCATGTAGTAGATGACCCGGGGTTGGGATTGACGATTGTCCGCCCCTTCGGGGATCTTGCGGAGGGCTTGGTGGACCAGTTGGAAAGCAAGCTCAACCGCATTCACGACGGCGAGGAAATCGGGCTCCTTGATTTTCTGGGCTCGAAGGCTCTTTCGTGGAGCCGGTTTGATTTCCAAACGGACCGCGTCCAAAAGGCCCCTCTCGGCCTCTTTGCACAGATTGACTGCATCCATGGCGAGTACCTTGGCCCTGCGACGCTTTGCCTGCAGGGTTCGCTGAAGCATCCAGATATGTCTCAAGAAAGAGATGCCTACGATATGTCAGTCACTCTCTGCCCAAGAAGGTTATTCAATGTTGGCTCGTACCCTTTTCGGTTACCTGGTCACGAGTTTCATCCTGCTCTTGATTTGCAGCATCAATCTGTGACTGGGTTCGGCGACCGCTGGTCTTCGCCCGCTTCCTGCCTGCTTCAGGCTCATTCTGAACCTCACCGAAAGCTTTCCGCTTTGGTGGGGGAGTATTCGCCTCGATTGTGGCGAGGAGGGACTCATTCTTCTGCTTCAACTCAAAGATGATGTTGTGCAGCTTGATCTGTTCGGCCTCGGACTTCTGGTAGGCATTCTGCCAGTGGTGGACACTGTCAAAGAAGTAGTTTGTCAGAAGAGGCTTGCTGTCATCCACCTCTCTGATAGATTTCCGGATTTCATAGATGTAATCTGGCATGGTATGTGAGACGTTGGAGTTCTTGGTAGATATCTCTGTGAGGTCACTTACCCTTGACCGTCGTGCCTACTGGCTTATGCTTCACGATCGCCAGAGCAAGAGCCAGTGCAGCTTTGGGGGGCTCAGCAACCCGAGCCTTCTCTGTGAGGGTTGGCATTTCGGATGGAAGCGTGGAAGTATGGGGTAGGGCAGTGGAGAGATGGGATGAGATGACGAGGGAGAAAGAGAGAGAAAGACCTGCTTTGGGTAAGTAGGCACGTGGGGTCAGGCAGACTTGAGACTGATAAGCTCTGATATGATCTCGTTCGATTATCTAAAGTCAAGCCTCATCTCTCTCTTTGGAAAGTACTGATTGAAAGGTCCTTGTGTGCGTACCCTTACTATAACTTTTATGCGTTATCCACACGTTACTCTCTATTCACAAAAGAGCACTACTACAGTCATTCGTAGCTCAGAACCAGCCCTCTTAAACTTGTCATCTTTCCCCTGTTATCATGGTGAACTTTCGTAGATGGTTGTAGAACCTATCGCCCGAGCACCGCTCATTCGTTTAAACAGACTACGGTTTGCGTAGTCAATTTTTTGGGATACTGTTCAATATAGTTTTGTGCTGCAGCCTTGCTTTCCCAGCCACAGAAAGTTTCGAACAGGGTCAACGGCTTTCTTGACATGAGGTCGGCAGAATACGTCACGATAAACACCTGACATTGAACACAGCCATATCAAAAACATCGAATCTGTATATTCACGAAGATGAAGTGGTGAATCGAGCTCGAGAGGATATACCTATACTCAAGGGCACAGGCGGCAGGGATCACGAAAATGAATGGCCAAGCCCCTTCGCGATTATATAAATCAAGGTGAAGTAGGCTTCCGAACTACAGAGAAGGTGTGCAGCCCAGGTAAATAGTATAAAGGCGGTAATGGAAGCGGTGAAGTTACTTCCTGCAAAAAACGGTTATGATAAAGTGGCGTCCACCGCAAACTTCCACCACGAGCCTCCCTCCGCCTTCCACAATCACACAGAGTCGTCAAGATGCCAGCAGACGACCTCAAGGCGCATGCCGCCTCCAATCAAGATTTCTATGCGCTGCTAGATCTCTCCCCCGCAGCCAACGAGTCCGAGATTCGGCGCGCCTACCGTCGCACCGCGCTGAAATACCACCCCGACAAGATCGCCAATCCCACTGCCGCCGACATCGACAAGTTCCACCTCCTTCAGATCGCCAACGATGTGCTCTCTGATCCAGCGATCCGGCAGCTCTATGACAATGCGCGCGAGGCGCGTATGCGCAAGCAGCGCGAGCGGGACCAGATGGGCGCCGCAAAGCGGAAGATGCGCGAGGATCTCGAAGCGCGGGAGCGTGCTGGTGCTGCGGCTCAACAAGGCGTCAAACGGCCGTGGATTCCAGGTGGCGAAGATGATGCCGAGGCGAAGCTGCAGCGGGAAATTGAGCGGATTGCCGAGGATGGGCGTCGCCGCCGCCGTGAGGCGACGGACAAGCTGAAGCGGGAATTGGAGGAAGAACAAAGGAAGATGCAAGAGGAAGAGGAGGAGGCTCGCAAAGCAGCGGACCGCAGTAGCCAGCGTGTTGACCGATCTCAGGAGGGCGGCACGAATGTCTCTGAGCTGGAGCGCTCGGTCAAGGTGCGCTGGGTGCGGGAGGGCCGTGGAGCGGATTGGGATACAGACTGGTTGAAGGCTCTGTGTGCGCCGTTTGGAGAGATTGAGGGCACGTTCATGCTGAAGGATAAACGTGCGCGCGTGGAGGGAAAGAAAGGGAAGGTTACCTATGGCACTGGCGTCGTGGTCTTCAAGTCGATTGTCAGTACGCAGGCGGTTGTGTTGGACAGTGAGAAGAAGATCCGAAGTGCAGAAGGTGACTGGGCTTTGGTGGATTCGGTTGCATATGCATCAGGCAAAGCACCGGATCTTGGTTTCAGCACGAACGGTCATTCTGAGGAGCCAACACCATTGGCAGACTCCCAGACATCAGCATCCAGGCCCTCTGACAATACGACTTCAAAGCCGTCCTTCAAAACGTCATTCAATTTCCCAGGAGTGAAGTCTGGATCGCAACCTTCTGGAAAGGCGCCTTCGTTTGGTTCGTTTCCCTCTGCTGCCGGAAATCCTCCAAATGCATCGTCTTTCAATCCTCCAGCAAAGACGTCAACGCCCAGTCTTCAAGAGATTACTATGATGCGGCTTAAGAACGCACAGCGTGAAAAGGAGCGCAAAGCTCTCGAAGAACAGCTTGCCCGAGAAGACGAGGCCGCCGATGCTGCAGAAGCTGCAGCGGCAAGGGCAAAGGCCAATGGAGCGTGAGGAACTTTAGCATTTGCATTGCGGCATTATTTTCTGTTTTTTTTTCTTGTTGCATGTTTAAATTAGGGACTATGCTAGTTGGCCCATGAGATACCCCGGTCTATCAAAGGCCTTGTTTTGCATGAATAGAGATACATTGATTATTTACATGAGCTTATGTCTTATCATACATCTGTTATATTAAATGCCGACGTCAACCTATTCGGTCCGTCGCTGTGCTTCTTCCTCTTCAAGCTGTTCAACGAGGACTCGCGCCCGTTCGCCTTCCATATCAACTTTTCGTGTGGGTGGCTTTCGTGCACCACCAGCGAGAATGAACTCTCTTGTCCAAGGCGGAATAAAAGCCTGCACCTTGACTTCGGCCGGCTGCTCCGAATCTAAGGTCCACGAGGCCTTGAACTCGTTTCCAGGAGTATATTGTGTTCCCTCACTGGTCAACGCGATATCGGTCATCATTTCCAGACGACACAATGCAAGCCCGATGTTGCCCACGCCATCCAAGAACTTTCCAGCGCTGCGGCCCCGGCGGCCACCAGCCTTGTTGATGTTCGATCCATGAGGCGGCAGAGAAAGCTCCACCGAGGGGTCATACACAGGGGACTCTGCTGAAGACAGATCCCCAGTGTAAAGCTGAACGGGGAGAATGCGCTTCCGCACCACGCCCGTGTGGTGTGTACGAATGGTCAATTCTTGGCCGACATAGCAGCCCTTGCGGAAATCAATGGCCCGTCCCATATCCATATTGCATTCGAGTGGCAGCGCTGACTCGCGGATAATCTCTTTCTGGCCCTCGGCAACACCATGCAGGATCCGGCGCACGGTGTATGAGCCCAGTCCCACCTCGGATCCAGCAACCTGCGACTCGTCGGGCAGATGGGTGCGCAAGTCTTCTGATCCTGGAGTTACGAGACGGGTCCCGAAACCCGGAGCCCGGGCATCGATACACCCCACGACATTCGAAGACGAAGAGAATGGTGACGCCGTCTCGGACTCGAGGTTGTAAACTGCCCACCGTGGCTCTGAGTGGTTCTTCCACGACGACCAGACAGTCCGCTCACCATCCTCAAGGGCACGTAGCTTCAGCTTCGCGCGCAATTTGTGTTTTTTCAAGTGCTTCATCAACGTCGGAAGTTCATTCTTATCCACTTCAACCAGCCATTCTCTTTCAATGTCACTACCGTCTGCGTTCGGGACCGGGTAAATAAACGTATCGTTCAAGACACGGCCCTGGGAATTGAGGAAAGCTGCATATGTACCCGTGCGACGGATACTCTTATTCGGGTCATTGGCAACCAGCATGTTCTGGGTGATCAGGCCTTGAAGGAAAGTTGAGCTATCAACTCCGGTAATGGATATGAGGCCGCGGTTTGTGAGCCGAGTGTAGCCGACATCTGGCGGGGAGGGGGCATTTTGAAATTGCTCAGCCTGGTGATGTGTCGTTGAGAAGAGCCTCTTGTGTGCCAGGCAGCGGCCACAGCTCGAGGCACGAGGCCGCATCATTGTCAAGATGGGATTGAGGTGACTAATGTGAAGCAGCGGGCTCCCGGCAAAATGCCGACGGAGCGCGGAGCGGGCAATGACGTTGGGCGGCGGAGAGTGGCAGAATCTGGCATCACAAGCATAATTGTTGCTGTCAGAGACAACAACACTCCTACAATGCTTTATGAGTGAGAATTATTTTTAGAAATGGATACCTTCGGTACCTGTCTACCATATTTTGTTTTACCAGGATCTGGATCCTTGCGGTTTCCAACGATCTCTCTACTGGTTTTCAGCCGATTCAGGTTCCTATCTGAGTAGTATGTGCATCATCAGCTGGGAGAAGAGTATTATATGAGTTGATCATCGCTCAATATCTGGCTGAGGGCGGATAGACCGATCTGGCAGGTTCTCAATAGCAGCTTCAATCAATCTACACTTATTTAGAACAATGTTTACTACACGTTTACAACAATGTCAAAATTGCTTTGAAAGTGTTACAGACAAAATGACTCGTAAAATTCTATGATTTGCTCAATCCTCAGGAACCTCAAGCACCTCAGGAACCTCATTGCCAGGAGATCCCGATGGGTCACTTGATTTCCTCTTTCTTTTTTTCTTTTTCGGAGACTCAAATGTTGCTTCATGATTGTGCTCTCCGTTCAGAATTCGCAGCTCCCATCCCGTTTGTGGTGCGGGATCCGAAAATATTATATATCCAGGTTTCTGCGGCGCTCCAGTACGCCGTCTGAATTGCAGTCGAAACGGGCAGCCGGTTGCGTTTGTCTTCCGTTCTCGGGGATTCGTGGGATTGGGCCAGCGAGAGCAGACCATGTCAACTTTGGATTGATCTGAGCGCTTGATAGTCAAGGAATACCCATGACTGGTGGCGAATTCGGCGATATCCTGCTGGCCAACCTCTCGTGAATCATAGAAGCGTGGTGGAGGCGCTGGTGGTGGCCCTGGAGGGAATGCTGGGGGGTGGGCTCTTTTTCTTCCGGGGTATCGGGGGGTGGTGCGAACAAGGGCGGTTCTGGGGGTGACAGCTCCCGATCTTGTTCGAGGCTGAAGACTTGGTCTAGCACGATATCATCACTCAGTGGGAGAGCGAGACCGGCCAAATCGTTGCCAGTCATCTCAGCGGAAACAGGAAGGTGCGCGGCATTGTCAACGCGTCTTCGTTTCGGCCCATGATTATGGGCGCCATTTTGAATTCGTAGCTGCCATATCGGCAGTGGTGAATTCTCTGGAGAAGCCGCCAGCCCACGTTTCTGCGGTGCAGTACGCCTTCTTAGCTGAATTCGAAACGAGCAGCTGCACCCGCTGGACACCCGACCCCGTGTAGGCGCCGCGTCATTACCCACTCCTTTTGCCTTGGGGTCAGGCCAACGAGAGCAGACTAGGTCGACTTTCGATTCATCTGAGCGCCTGGTATTGAGGGTATACCCATGTCGGGCAGCGAACTGCTTCACGTGCTCTAGACCAGATTCCCGGGAATAATAGAAGCGCGGTGTCGGCGCTGGGGGCGAAGGTTCGCAATCTGCTGCGATATCGAGGATTTGTTCTATCACATTCTGATCGTAAAGTGGATGAGAGCGAATGACATCGAGGATCCGATCTATCACGTGTTTATTGTAGACTGGAGTAGTTGAGTCGGGCGCATCGGGTGGATGGTTGGCAGCCATCTTAGTAAAGATGGGGGTGGGGGGTGGCAGAGGTGGAAGAGGGGGTGTGAAATTACTCATCTTTTATAACAAAACCACCAAAGTAGTTACAGGTCTAACTAAGATCATGACTAAGCCTCCTACTGATTGGAAGCTAAATTAACTAACTACTGTACTGTAACTAGTTAAAGGCCGGAAGCTACTGTAGCAGGCAGATCAATACAGATCAATTCAATTACATAAAGTAGACATATTAATGGTTGCCGGTGTGAATTAGAAGACCCACGCAAGCACAAATACTGAAATGAAGTATACTATTGAAGAACTGGGCGGGGACACACACACATCAGAGCATCATCGTCATCGTCATCATCATCTTCGTCCATCAGACTTAGCTTTGTCTTCTTAGAGGTAGAGAACGGAGAGCTTCTGGTCTTGTGCTTTTTCTTGTGCTGAACGTACTCTGCACCGGAATATCACCTGAAGTGGAAGGCGACAGATTGTGACCCTGTTACCTCGAAGACACTTGATACCCAGCATATCTTGGGGGAATGAGCAAAATTTATGGTCGAGATGAGATTCTGGAATTACATACGGGAGGGCCTTGGCAGAGGGCATAGCTAATTAGTATGTATCTCCATCTCCACGGAAGTATCCGTGTCGAGATAGTGTTTGAGCTGGATTTTGTTGAGCAAGCTGCGAGAGAAAGTTGATTGAATCTAACTAGCTATCTCCCAAAAGGGCTGGGAGATAGGCAGTGCTTTATCGACCACCATAAGTGAGACACCGCACAACCTCCAAAGACCAAAGGCGGCCAAAGACGACAAGCTGAGCCTAATCTCGTGGGTCTATATCGGCGGCAGAAACGTCTTGGCATCATAGTAAGAGAAAAGGTTCCAAAAGTAGAGGGTATAGTAATATGATCATAAGGTAGTGGCTTTCTCTAAAAGAGTGACTGCATAGAGATGGCGATGTATGAATGGTAGGAAAGGATACTAGTGCGGTACGGGTTTGTTGGGGTTATGCTAGTGGTTAGTGTCTGGGCTATATATCAAAAAAGACACGCTTTGCATTCATGGACGGTTTGGCCGAGTGGTCTAAGGCGCTTGACTAGAACGATTAGTAATCAAGTCTCTTCGGAGGCGGCGGTTCGAATCCGCCAGCCGTCGGTTTTTTTTTCTATTTTCGGTTTATTTCCTTTTTTATCCGACCCACGGGAACGCCCACTTATAGTGCGCTTTTTTGCCAAAACCTAACATCCAATCATAGGACAGTTTGGCCGAGTGGTCTAAGGCGCTTGACTAGAACCAAGCAAAAATTGGTCTGAAATCAAGTCTCTTCGGAGGCGGCGGTTCAAATCCGCCAGCTGTCGTTTTTGGCTCTGCGCTCTCTCTTTCGTTGAAATTTTTGGTCTCTGGAGCGCCATATATTATTCGGTTTCATCATCACTCCGAGCCGACACCGCATCAATCCACGAAAAACTCCTCACTGTAAAATTTTCAGACATTGATCATTCCTATCATCCTACATAGCACGCGCATCAGACTAGCAAGGGCTCAGGTTGATCCTGGGACTTGGTTAGCACTGACATATATATTGACCAATGACTACGTCTGGGTCTACAGTACACCTAGGTATCACCACAGGAGTGCTTATATTTAAATTCGTGGATCAATAATTGTGAAGGTTACAAATAAAATGGACACAGGGTAAATTAACGCCGGGAATTAATGCTTGACTATCTTGAAGTTACGATGTGCCTATGAAACAATTCTTATCAGCCGACATTATGGCTGACACTCATGAAAGTCATCTGTTCAATTGCCGCTCTTGGCTACTCCCTGCAGATAACCAAGCAAAAATGCCTTGTTGCTTGGCGACGAAACTCGGTTGACAGAAGACGGATGAAGTTCACCATCGGAAGGTGTTCCATGACGAGAAACCGATTCGCCGCTGCTCGCAAATTGCAGCGACGAGAGGGGGCTGACTAGACCAGAGACACTGGGCGGCTGCTGGTTGACAGCTCGGGAGTCAAGCTGGACGGCCGAAGTCATGGAAGGGGACATCTGGGGTTTACCAAAGAGCGAGAGAAGTGCTTCCTTCTGGGCATGGGTCTGGCTTGGCCGGCGATCAAAGTTCGGGGCCAGCTGCTCGGGTTTGGCCTGTAAACCAGGAAGGTTTGGCTTGCGATCGACGCTATCCGTTTTGGGGGCACCCATCAACAAGTTTTCATAACCAGTCTTTTCAGACCGACGCAGAATCTGTGGCTGGAAGGGTTTCACTGGCTCAGGTGCTGCAGGTTGAGTAATCTGGTGCTGAGGTGGTGCCTGAATTGTAGAGACAGGGAGCCCGGAGAGAGGAACATCTCGCTTTGCACTTTGCGGCCGAGGGAGAATCGTGATCGGCGAGGACAGTGGCTGCGCCTGTGATTGTTCCCGACGATTGGAATTGCTTCTGCGACTTAGACCATTGGCCGTCCGCCTAGTCGCCGACTTTGGACTCTGCTCAAACTGAGGGATATTGAAAGGACCAGATACAGTGGCTGAGGTATGTGACACAGTCATATGAGACTTTGATCCGACAGGACCACGTTGCTGACTGGGTTCCGCCTGTGATGGCGGGCGTTGAAGGATTTGTCTCTCCGCGGGCGGCGCTGCACGGACAGGCTGACCCAACAATTCCGCAGGCTGAGAGGCAAGCGAACCCTTCGGGCCTTTGAACAAGCTCAAGAGACTGTCCTGGTGAAGAGAAGTCTTGCGTTCTTGACTAAGACCTGGTGCAGGTACTGGCGCAGGGATAGGCGCAGAAACGGGTACTGGGGCGGCATGAGGAGTCTTAGGCGTCTTGCTCCCGTCCTTGAAGAAACCGAGGAGCGCGAGCGAGTGGCTAGTAAGCTTGGGTGGAGGCAGCTTACTAGCTGGCGGTACAATGGCACCGGGGACCTGAGAGGGCTGGGCCGGCTTGGAGAATTGAGGGTCACCGGTCCTTTGGAATGGAGCAACAACATTTCTCGGAAGTGCAATATTGGAAGGTGGAGATTGAGGGTGATGGCTCTGATAGCCCGGTTGCGGCACTTGGGGGAATTGGGGCACCGCTGAAGATCCTGCAAGCTCAGCCTGTCCAGAGACAGGTAATTGCTGGTGCTGGATAGCGTGCAAAGGAGGCAGGGTACTGCCCGGTTGCGGCCCAGGTAGGTGTTGCGCAGAGGTCTGTTGCATGAAATTGGATGGTGCCATGTGCTGCTGTTGCTGAGGGAAACCAGGAAAGAAATTCGGCGCCAGGTGAGGTTGCTGAGTGGTAGTAGGTACGCCTGAGGGGATAGAGTGTTGAAGAGCGGCAGCTTCTTTCTGAGCTTGGGAAACTGGGCCCTGTGATCCGGTCCTGAGAAGAGCCAGAAGCGCGTTTGACTTCATCTGATCCACAGCAGGTGGTTGAGCGGGAGAAGAAGCTTGCGTTTGAATTGGCTCTGCGTGACCTTCACCAATCTTGAGCAACTGCTTAATGTGAGAGGAGGCGTCCGGCACTGGTACCACAGCGTCGACCTCTGGTAGATCACTAACTCCGCCTCCGTAAGCAGCAAAGTCGCCCCGATATCCATTCTCATCCACGGATGTATAGCCTTCGGTTTGCAAGGAAGGTTTCAGTCCTGTCTGATCCTTGGCTGCCAATTTCTTCTGCTGAGCAATCCACTTCTTCAGCGGGTGCAAGAATGGTGCAACCATGTAGAACTTGTTCGCATTGGCCACCGCCATGCCTTCGTCATGTTGCTTATTCTTCTTAAGAGTGGGCAAGTCTGACAACTTGTACCATTCAATCTTGCTAATTTCCTTGCGCGTACGGGGCTCGAAATGCGAATCACGGGGGACACCGGGGAAGACAAAGAGTCGCATGTGTTGCTCTCGCATGGTGACCTCGATAGACTTCACGGAGTCTTCATCCTTCACCAGATTAGCCGCACGGACATCAAACCCAGTTTCCTCGTAGACTTCACGAATGGCACAGTCCAAGTCAGGCTCGCCCTTATTGATCTTCCCTCGCGGGAAACTCCAGTTCGCGCCTTTCTTCCAGCCCTTGACCAGAACCACGGAGTCCATCTCTTCATTGAGGAGGATTGCGCCGCGAACTGGAACTCGGGTCTTGTAGGCCAAGAACTCCGAGAAAGCGGCCATGTGGTGGTAGTGGGACCATTGTGACATGAGAGGGCAGTGCTGGAAGATGCGCAAGCTGAAGGCTTTGAGGGAAAGGGAGGGCAGCGCGGGATCGAGAGGTCGAATGAAATCCTCGTAAAACCATTGTGCCTCTTCCACTTGGAAACAGATTCGTTCGACGGATTCAAGCTCTTCGTGTGGCAGGTTGATGATGAACCGGACACATAAATCATCCAGCCCTATTGAGGTTGATCAGTTTCAGGTTAGAGATGAATATCACCCAAATAGATCCTCTATCAACACCCACAATCTTCGAGTTGCATCTTTGATTCGGTCATGTTGGGCGACGAAGCTTCGCATTTCAATGTGGATGACCGAAACCAGACGCTTGCTCAGGCCGCGGGAAGCGACACGGCTTTCAACACAAAATGGGAAGCTTGCAAAAAGGGTGCAGCAGCCCAGATGAGCAGATAGCGAGGTAAAGAGCGAGGGTCGAAGTCGTATGATACTGCGAAAGAGAGACAGGGAGACAAACGCCAATCGGGGCAGAAGGTTGCGGGCAGCTCTCAGGCGCAAGGTAGGCGGAAACCGCCCAAGTGACGATCGGATGACTAAGGCAAGTGTGGCGTCAGGGAAAGTGTGGCAGTGCAAATTTCACCTGCGCCACAGAGATCGGCGCAGGTGCCAGGCTTTTGGCGCCCGCTACATAAATAATGCTGGGGAATGACGTTGTGCCATTCAACAGCGCGACCTCACCCACTTGACTTTGTGTTTTGTCTTCCCCGTGCGCTCATTATTTGCGTTGCTGGCTCCATTGAAAGCCTCTGTCGTTTGTATTTTCCAACCCTTTGACGCCCTCGTCGAAACCGGGAATCCCAACGTTCTATTTTTATCCTCCTTGACAGTATATCTTTCAGCTTCGCCCTCGACACCCCTACAAGCTACGCCTTGCCCTTCCAGAAGCTACTTGGCCAACACTACGTGAATAATGTCTGGTGTTCTCTGGTCTCTGGTCGGCAAGAGGGTTCTCGCCGAGTCGACAAGGAATCACTTTGGAACTGAGGTATGTTTGTTGATTGACGGGCTAGTACGGATTAAAGAGACAACTGAGCTAACCCCACGGCTGATTCTCTAGGACCCTTACTTCGAACAAGTCCCTGCGTCACGTCTCGGAAAAGCGTTCGGCAAGAAGACTCAAAAGCGTCGCAAAGCTACCCCGCCTGGCCTATCGGAGAAAGATGCCAAAATCCTCACCCAGGTCAAGCGCAGAGCGTACCGGCTCGACTATGCCCTGTTCAACCTGTGCGGAGTCCGCTTTGGCTGGGGTAGCGTGATTGGTATCATTCCCTTGTAAGTCTCGAAATCTAATCTACACCCAACAATTCATAAAACCCCGGAACTGACGAATTGCCCTTCTATAGCATCGGAGATGCTGGAGACGCCGCACTTGCCTTGATGGTCGTGAGAAAATGCGAAGAGATCGACGGTGGACTTCCATCGCGTTTGCGCATGATGATGCTTATCAATGTCATCATCGACTTCTTCATCGGCCTCGTTCCTTTCATTGGCGATATCGCGGATGCAGTGTACAAGTGCAACACAAGAAATGCCGTCATTCTTGAAAAGCACCTTCGTGAAAAGGGCGCCAAGACAATCAAGAAGCAGGCTAAACGACAAGACCTTCCGGCCATTGAAAACAGACAACCAGAACGAATCGTCGATCACAGCCTTCCAGAGGAATGGGACAAGCAGGAGAGCGGCGTGGTAGAGAATTCGCCGCCTGGCTATCGCGAGCATACGATGTCGGGAATCCAACCGACAGACAATGCCGATAGCCAGCCAACCAGTCCTCCCCGCGCGAAGAAGTCTCGTGATAGTCGTGGCTCTAGCAGGTGGTTTGGTGGGTCGCGCCGGCGAGAGGATGACCTGGAGCGAGGAAGATGATGGATATGCCCCAAAGCAAGATTGACGACAAGAGATACCCTTTCGGACTGGGTTGAGGACTGACTCAGGCAATGACTGCTGCAGGATGGTTCTGGATGGTTTGTTTCACATATCGCATCTCCCATAGTAATTCAATTAGCAAGTCCATAGTAATTCAATTAGCAAGTGGCTTCTGGACGAGACCTCATGCATCCGTAGCAGAACTTGGAGCTGTAATTATCGCTGGATTGGTTTGCGACCGTGACTCCGGAATTACCCTTGACATTCCCAACATGTCCACCGCACAACGGGCATAAAGCATCGTCCGATCCGGTGGTAGACTCAAGTTTGTTGGCAGTTCTCGACACATTCGCCATGACACCACGGTACTTTTCTCCCTGCGTCCGAACGTAGCGCATCATGAGCTCATCAATAGACAGGTTCTTGGTCAGGACATTGTCTGAAACAGGCTCATCAGGGATAACGATGTCTGACAGCTCCTTGCAGACACCCTTAAACTGTTCAAGCTCAGGCTTAGACAGATCACGGAGCGGGAAGTCAAAGGCTACACCCCAAGGCGTCATGCCGTCGGAGACTGACCACGTTAACGAGGCACCTCGGCCCTTGGCAACCCCGGCAAGTGTCTTCGCTGCAAGTCGAGTATCCGAGTCGCCCCAGATCACAGTCTCGCAACCCAGACTCTTGGCATATCCAGCAACAAGTCTAGTCAATAGCACGGAGTCGAGGTCGGCCTTGGAGGTTGCAGTGGAGATAGCAGCTCGGAACGCCGTGAGACGATACTCATCCGACCGTGATTCGTCATCGATATATCTTGGACCAGCATACTCTTGGATGATTTCCTTCATATCGGGGACGTACTCGAAGACACTGTGAAGTGGCAGTCGTGTGAAAGTAAGCTTCGAGAAAGCCTTCGTAACGGCCTCATAAACCTGATCGTGTTTGGTATCTGGCGTGAGAATGGTCGACGGATCGACAACGATCATATTGAGTTCATAACCAATATTGACGAAGGTCTTGGCGAGTTGGCGTTCAATATCGCCGTTGAGGATATGCAACAGGACCGACGAGGAGACACCCAGGGACAGTGGGAGCAGCAGCTTGGGTGCTTGACCAATTGTCTTTTTCATTTGTTTGTATTTGGACATCCGCATAAGCACTTTGTGGGAGGCGAAAGCTTTGAAACACTCCCTGGAGAAGTCTTTAGTACTCTGCAACGAACTGGATGGACAAGATAGAGAAGTTGATAATGCGTGACATACCCACAATAATGCCTCTTTCGGGTATCTAGGATAGCCTCTGCATCCTTGCAGTCCATGCAAGGACGGACCAACTCTTTAGCCGGCATTGCTGCGTAATTAGATCTGATTTCTTGAGCAAGATCGCCGATCTCTAAAGAGCTCAAGAAAAAGTAGATGGTGGCGGTTGGACAGCGGGCGGGAGGCTTAGGTAAGATTCCACACGCGGCTTCCCCGGGCCTTTTCAGGCCACGCAATTGAGCTCGACGGTTCCGGATGAGCTTCGGTGGATCTGCCCTGGAAGACACCTTTCGCTTTCAATCTCTCATCCTGCGCATTTTGGATGCGGCGTGGTTTTGAATCGCTTTTCTCTCCGAACCCTGGGGCCTGGCTTGCTTCTTCTTCACGGTCGCAATGAAAGGTTGGCTCCGGACACTCGGCCTAACGGCCATGCTTGCGGGCTCCGTGCTTGCGAATGATGTGGAAATTGTGAGTGGCGTCGCGTTGTCGCTTGAAAAAGTTCCCCCAAATCTGAACGCTGGCATTCTGACGATGTTGATATTCTAGAAATCTGACGAAGCGCACCGACAACGATGCTCAGGGATGTACAGTCGGAAGGCTTGGGGCGGCAACGTCGACCCCTTTCTCTTGGTCAAGTTCTCGAAAGCCGAGAACTTGGAGGGGGACCCTCTCGCCAGTTTGGTGATCTTTGAATGGAATGATGAAGAATTGATCGGCCAGTACCGATCTGCCGATGCTGAGGTATGCCCCCGAATGCGCGTCCTGACAGAATTGGGAACTGACAGAAACCACCTCAGATGAAAGATACCATTTGTGACGAGGCAGCCGTGGATGCGAAGCTGTGCGCACAAGAAGATGTCGGCTCCTTCATTCTTACCAAAAACGCCACCGAGGCCTCCCAAAGCCCGATTATCTCCAAGGCCGTTCATCTGAACAATCCAGATGCTATCAAGTACCCAGTGCACAAGACTGGTTTCTACTGTGTGAGCACCTACGCATACTCTGGGGAGGACTATAACGCGGTGATTACTTTCCGTAACTCATACGGAGAGCTTCCTGCGGCGCAAATCGCTAAGCTACCGTTCTACGGGGCTTTGACAATCGTCTACGCTGTGGTTGGAATGTAAGTTGTCATTGGACTCGGTGTATTCCAGAGAGACGCTGACATATTCATAGGTTCTGGGCGTTCCTATATGTTCAAAACCGCCATGATATTTGTAAGACAGTAATCACTCTGCTGGGCGATACAGTGCTAACCATAAACAGTGCCTGTCCAAAACTACATTACCGCAATCCTTGTCTTCTTGATTGTCGAGCAACTGATGACCTGGGGCTTCTATGGTATGCTATTTGTCTCGGTGTCTTTCTGTTCAACAATCTAACTTTTCCCAGACTACCAAAACCGACATGGATTGAATACTATGGCCAAGGCGTTGATGGTTATTGTTGCTATTCTCAATGCTGGCCGAAATGCCTTCTCATTCTTCCTCCTTCTCATTGTCTGCATGGGTTATGGTGTCGTCAAGCCTTCTCTGGGCCGTACCATGGTCTATGTCCGCATCTTGGCCTTTGCACATTTCATCTTTGCCATGGTCTATTCGATCGCCAGTTTGTCCATTACCCCCGAAGGAGCTGGCCCACTGGTTCTCCTGATCGTTCTGCCCCTGGCCGGTACATTGACGGCTTTCTATGTGTGGACCTTGAACTCGCTCAACGCCACCATGAAGGACCTCATCGATCGTAAGCAGAAGACTAAGGCGCTGATGTACAAGAAGCTGTGGTGGTGCATCCTTGGTAGCATTGTCGTGATTTTCGGCTTCTTTTTCATCAACTCCTTTGCCTTTGCTGGTCGCAGCGATGCCAGCTTCGTTCCCGAACATTGGAAGACGCGATGGTTCGTGCTGGATGGCTGGCTCAACCTGGTCTACCTGTTCGATATTGCCTTTGTGGCTTACCTCTGGCGACCAACTGTGAACAACCGGCGCTTCGCCATGAGTGATGAGGTATGTGATCTATTCTCAGAACATTGTGTTGAAAATGACATATTGATGGCTTCTTGCAGCTCGCCCAAGATGACGACGGTTTCGAGATTCGCTCATTCGGCAGTGGCCTTGACGAGGAAGATCCTTTGGAAGCTCCTCCCGAGTATCCTGGCAGCTCCGCTGCGATTGGCCGTCGCGACTTGTCGCCCGTGCCGCCCAAGCCTGTCTCGGCACCAAACCAGCGCGCCTCCCTCGACGAGGAGACTATCTTTGCCGTTGGTGAGGATGGAGACAAATGGTCGGATGAGGACGAATCTCCTCGTAACTCCAGCGAAAGACAAAGACTGACCCATTAGAATGGACCATGAGTCGAATTGTCTTGGGCCAGAGGTTTGTCTTTGTTGACCGGGGCTTATCGGGCATTTCTGGGGACAGTGTGAGAATCCACTGTCCAGGGTCTAGCTCCAGCTTCATGCATGTCACGGCGTTTGTTCCCCTTTCTGTTTTGTTTAGTGTGATGGGAATTTGATATACCTGGTTGGACCTGGCTTGTGTGTTGGACCTCGAAATATACTTGGAATGGCTTGCTGCAGTAACAGGACTCTCCTAGCTGCTGAATTTAAATAGTTCTTGACAGTCTGTACAAATATTAAAGACGGAACTTTACATCTTTTCTATCCAGTATACAGTGCTCTCGTAGTCTGGGGCCGAATTCGACAGAAGCCCATCGACCACTGCGGGTCCTGTTGACAGCTTGAGTCATACAGAACCTCCTCTTGACCTTATATTGGACCTTTCCTTTCCCACTTCCTATAATTTTGTAAATTTTATAAGCTGGTACTTGATTGAATTTATGTCATCTGTCTATATACCTTACAACTATACCCAACACCCCGTCACTGAAAACAAACTTCCTGCGCTGACCACCACCGTCCGATAAGAAAAGCATATCGTCGCGCCGCACTCCGCCAGGCACAGAGCCAGAGCACGCGCACCTCCAACCCAACCTTTCAAAAGCCATCAATCCCCCAACCAGAGCCGGTCAAACACCTCTCAAGCTTCATATATGCGGCCTACCTCGATATTCATCCAAATAGACGCGTAAAGCCCACTGATCCCCCTCCAATCCCTCCTCCTACAATGACGCAAGACCCCGCCAGCCTCGACGACCGTCCAACATCTCCAAGCATACCCCTCGCTCTACACAACTACATTCCTTCCCCGATCCAGCCAAGCTCCAAAACCTCCGAGCGCCTGCACCAGCAATGCATCGACCTCCTCGTCGGAGTCGACGAGCTACAGAGCCTTCTCAAGTCCACCCTGCGCAATCCGCAGCTCGTGGAGGTGCGCCAGTTCCGGTCCAACGTGACCTCAGAGCTGAAGATGCTGCAGAAATTGGAGCAGCGCTTTCAGAGTAACGCTAGCACCGGTACCGGCACCGGCACCAGCACCAGCGAAACAAAGGCTCAGAGCCAGAGTCATAGCCAGGATAACGATAGCGACGAGGACGAGAATGCCGCACAAGAGGATGATTCGGTTGAAATGCGACTGATGCATGCGCTGCGGTCGTCGAATTTACCATTCTACCAAGCTGTGTGGGATATTGCGAGGGGTTCGTGCTACGGGCTTCTTGCGCTTGGGAAGCGATTCTATTGGGATGGACACGCGAAGGGCTTTGAGAAAGAGAAGAGTGCGCCAAAGACTGCTGGGAAAAAGGGTGGCGGGGAGAAACAACCTAACAAGGATAAACGCAAAAGTGTCTTTGTGGATATTGTGGCAGACGATGGGGAGGAATGGGTGAAAGTTTCGACCATGTCGGAAAGTAGATTACTGTTCGAGATGGCTAAGAAAGGGTGGGAGCGGGACTCGGAGGACGAGTGTATGTCCGATGAGGGGAGTGATGGGCCTCGACGACGGACGGTGCTACGGAACTTTGATGGTTCGGACTACGAGGAGGACGATGATGAGGACGAGCTGGAGCTCATCAAGTTGGCCCGGGATCTGAGAAAAGCCGCTGATGCTACACGGTTGCGGTATACACACCCACGACTACGAGTGGTACTGCCTAAAATCAGGGAAGGAAATGTTCCTGAAATTGATGGTATTCTCCGCGAGATGCGCAGCTATGGCGTGAAGGTCGAATGCCAGGAGACACTAGCCAGAGCTGCAGATTCCAAAAAGCCCGAGCTGAAATGCCTGCTACCTCGGCCTTTTAAGCGCTTCACTCCCATCTTGAATGTGGATTGCACCCTCCTACTCGCCCTAGTGTCTGACCTGTCCCATGCCAAGGAGATCGTTCCATCGCCCAGCTTTCATAGAGCTATTCTTCGGCAGATTGAGATTGAGAAGCAGCAGCCACTGCTCCAAGCTGAGCTCTGGCCCGCCATGGGTGATCATGAGCTGGTGTGTACAGACGAGGCGGCAACTCGCATGCGGGAAATTGTGCAACTCATAGGCACTGATACCGAGAAAGAAAGGACGAAGATTATGATGGGTGATCCTCCATACGATCAAATGGACCGACAATCTGCCCTTCAAAAGTTCCAGGAGTTGTCGGACTGGCAGGTGCCAGCACACTGGAAAATACCCATCAAGGTCGTCGACGCGCAACCAGCTATCACCACGGCAAAATCGGAGGGAAAACTGCCTGCAGTGGCCGATCGAGTTGCCGAAGGGTTATCAGATATCAACCACAGCGTATTCATGTATGGATGGGTGACGGGAATGACGACCATTTCCAGCAATCGCACAATTGATAAGCAGATCGAAACGACAATCGAGAACAACCGAGGCACTGATGAAGACCTCGAGGGGCCCATGGTCTGGATCTGTGACACAGCCCGAAGTTTGGCAGGCAAAGAAAAAGACCGCAAAGCATAAAGTGGAGGGATGGTATCGCCAGTTGTTCATCGACTGCGCAGTTTCAGCAAAGGCCCTCTTGTAGAAATAGACCAAGTTCCTTGTTCAAGAAACATCACAGATTGGCATGTGCCTCGCGGATAGATATTGCATGATAGAAATCACGGTAGCCCAAGAAACTAGTCTTGTCCACCGAGAGTTTTAAGGATCGAGCTCAGTAATCAAATACATCCGAATCGTAGTGGAAGTTGCTTCGAAATTGTAACTGATAGGCCTACTTGTCGGCCGGCCTGGCCGGTTCATCAGGAAGCCAGAACACGATGTCCTTGTCTGCAGTAGCGATCATGTTGTACCGCGGGTTATACTCAATGAGAGCGGTCCGACCTCGGTGAGGCAATTTGGTTGTGGGTTGTAGTGCAGCATTGTTGTGTTGTCCCTCTCGTACATCATTGAGGTCCCACACCAGCACGTCTTGCTGCTCGCCATTGCCGCCAATCACAAACCGTCCATCGGGGGTGAAGCACGCGTCACCTTGACCCAAAGGCTTGCCCGTGGTCGATACTGGGGCAGCACGGCCAGGTGATCCACTTTTTCCGGACAAGAAAGCCTTGACTGCACCGTCATAGGCATCCAGTATGTAATGTCCAGGGTAGTCGGTTCCAACCATTAGGAACTTTCCATCATTGGAAAACTCCAGCTTAGTCCAACCATGTCCGCGAGTCGAGGGTGCATAGATCTCCTCGAATGGAGCAAGGTCAAAGGTGGAAAAGGGCGCTTTATCGTAATTTCGGAAATCGTAGAGGAGGACAGAGGAGGTCGACTGCGATGCGATCGCAATGACCGAGGCCGAAGGGTCAAATGCCACGAGGTATGGGGTCGCCAATTTGAGTTTTCCCTGTGGGTTGCGGGAACCGAGATCCCAGACTGTGACTGTGTCGTCTTTGGAGCAAGAAATGAAGGCATCGCTGCCTGGGGACATCGCCAGACATGTGACCTTGTCTGTGTGACCTGTGAAGTAGCGCACATATCCTTCATTGTGAAGGTCCAGCAACCGCAGAGAATCTACCGGACAAGTTAAGTTATACAAGTTCCTATCCAACGCTATTCGGTGCACTTACGGTCAACCTTGGTACTGGCGTGTAGTACCTGACGAGAGTGATGGGTGAATCGGGCGAGGTGGACACCGTATTTCTTGCTCGGAACCGATTTGGTGGATTTACCTTCCTTGACATCGAAGATCTGAATGGTCTCGTCGTCGCCAGCGGCGACTACATAGTCGCCCTGGTCATCAAAGTCTAGAGAGGTGGTGTAATTCGACGTGGACTCCGACTTGGAGCTTTTGAAGGACTAAATCAAGACAGTCAGCGGCGGTATGGGCACGGACTTGAGGCGGTCCATTGGCTATCTTACCTTGCAGGGACGATATCCGCGAATGACATCAGGTATTCTCTGAGACTGCTGAGCAGTCTGAGTAGTCGGCTGAGACGCCGCTGGCTGCTGCTGGCCCTCCGCCATACTGGGAGTGTAGTTGGTGCAGATAGATGTTGAGGAGACTGGTCAAGAGGGTGCCAGACGAAGAGGACGAAGAGCTCGTGGTAGCGAAGGAGATGAGTAGGAAAGAAAACGGGAAAAGGAAAAATGGAGAGAGAGAGAGCTTCAGGTTGTTAGGGCGGAAGGCCCAGCGTCGCGCTTTCCGCTTTGAGCCAGACAAAGAAGCTCTCCACGCGCGCCTTCTTTTTTGGTGGAAACTGCGGATTTACTTTCCACCGACTCACCGCCCCCGGGGTCGGAGGTTGGCAGGCGCCATTGGCCAATCACGGAGGCCGATTTTCGGCCATCGATAACCGAAGGTAAGCTTTGGGAAGCATCTCAGCGAACGAACTCCACCCAGCGCCTCGATCTGACAGTCTGACAATCTGAAAACTTAACTGGCCCACGATATATAAAAGAGTTGCCTTCTCGAATAAGACTCGCCAGCATTATATCCTTTTGTACTCTCTCGTCGCGCGCTTGCCTCGTTCTTTGCCGCTGTCGCCCCTCCGATCTCTCCCCGATCGCCATAAAACCCGTCCGGCTCATCCACCGTTCGCCGCGACAGGCTTACTTTTGAGTCACGATGTCTACTACAACTGGGTATGGTATTGACAGTAATCAGATTCAACGAACCATTTGCGCTAACCTCGTGTGTTCTTGCAATAGGGCATTCCTCGCCGGAGGTCTCGCAGCATGCGGTGCCGTTACTGTCACGCACAGTTTCGAGACCGTTAAGATTCGGTAAGCCTCGGAGACTGAATCGCCTTGGTCGCCTGATATTAGAAATGGATATTAGAAATGGCGCTGACTACCTCAAGGCTACAACTCCAGGGTGAATTGCAGGCGAAGAACGAAGGTGTGAAGAAGTATCGGGGTGTCTTGCACGGTATCAAGGTTATCCTTCAAAATGAAGGCCCCCGAGGATTATTTCGGGGCATTGGATCTGCCGTGAGTGAATTGATGTTCCCATGGCATCCTCCATCGAAGCTCGAGGCAATCTAACGCACGTATGATATCTAGTACATCTACCAGGTCCTCTTGAACGGCTGCCGTCTCGGCTTTTACGAACCCATCCGCGCTAACCTCACAACTACCTTATATAACGATCCAAAGGTACAATCCCTCGGCGTCAATGTTTTCGCCGGTGCGGCGTCTGGTGTTATTGGTGCGGCTGCCGGATCTCCTTTCTTCCTAGTGAAGACCCGCCTGCAGTCCTATTCGCCCTTCCTCCCTGTCGGGACTCAGCATAACTATAAGAACTCGATCGATGGCTTGAGCAAGATCTATAGAAGCGAGGGTGTTAAGGGTATATACCGTGGCGTTGGGGCTGCTATGATCCGTACCAGCTTCGGCAGTTCTGTTCAACTCCCCACATACTTCTTTGCTAAGCGCCGCCTGACTCGGCACTTGGGGATGGAGGAAGGCCCCGCTTTGCATTTGGCTAGCAGCGCGGCTTCTGGCTTTGTTGTGTGTTGCGTTATGCATCCTCCTGGTATGTCTGACACTTTTCCAGTATATAGGCGATGTTGTGGCTAACAAACCAATCTTCTAGATACCATTATGGCTCGCATGTACAATCAGACTGGTAACCTTTACCAGGGTGTCTTCGATTGCCTGTTCAAGACTATCCGCACCGAGGGTGTTTTGGCTATCTACAAGGGCTTCTTCGCTCATCTGGCCCGTATCCTTCCCCACACTGTAAGTCTGCATTACCTGAGCATTGGGTAAAATCTGGGCACGTACTAACCCAATGATTCCTAGATCTTGACCCTTAGCTTGGCCGAGCAGACCAACAAGCTGATGCGCCGCGTTGAGGACCGTATCTTGCCGGATTCCTTCCGCGAGAAGATCTAGTTGGGGAACCCCTAAAATTCTTGAGCTCTGCCCATCCCAGCCATTCCATTGCATGAAGATTTACTTTCATCTTTGATTCTTTTAGATATGCTGACCTGCATTGAGCGAGGTGGACTTTGCGATCCCAGGTTTCTTGGAAATAGATTTGGCGTTTGGACCGCCAATTTTTTTTTTGGTGGACATGTCTTGTTTGTGTTTGTCTTTTTCGTGGTTATCTTTATTGTCTTTGTACATACGACGGTGAATTTAGAGTAATATTGAAATAAATTATTTTAGATTTCAAGGGTTTTGTCCTGCCATTGCTTTTATATAGGTGTAAGCCGAAGTGTCTATTTCACAATATTAGTTCTATGGTCAACTCTCCCTTGATACTCTCATCAATCTCATGACTTGGACTTATGAATGATGCCGTCTGGGTGACAATTGTCAAACCAAGCACCAGTGGAAGGGCCTATGTTCCATGGAAACCGGGGGCATGCTGACTATAATGCCATGTTTCCCTGGTAGAATTTCTTCCAAAGTTCGACTCGATGACCGAAAATAAGTTCTAGTACTTGACAAAGAAACGGGAAGCAACTTCGATCTTCTATCGAGGACAGCGGTGACAGGGGGAGAAGCTTCAAGGTATCTTCAATACACGACTATGTGGTGATTAACTAGACTAAATGCCTAACCAGTATACAACCACTCACATAGTTTCAATAAGAGGATATCGACAACCTCTATCTCTGAAGATCATCAACGCAGACCGACAAGCCAAAATCATTCGCACGTTCTGGTCTCCACAACACGTGACCCGTGGGTTTCGGCAAGCCCTACCCGAGATAACTGGACGCACCCTGGATATCAACCTGCTTTAGTGGACTATACACGCTGTTGCTCTAGCATTATCATGTCTTCCTAGATGGAAACTACAGCAAAATTTGTTCCAATATCCCGTGAGAAGAACTTTGCCTTCAAAAGCCTAATGTATCTAGCCTGTACGAACGCCTAAGCCAATTTGCACCTCCGTTCTCGTCACCCAGCCAGGCACTATGCAGGAGGCTCTATGTAACTATATTCCTGAAATATTACATAAAGAACCCTTGTATCCGTGCCTTTCTGCCCACCCACCGCTTCCGCTTGTGGGTGCGCCCGCAATCCCCGTCGCTTTGGAAGAAATCGTCAAATTTATCAAAGAACTAGCTAGTTATCAATAAAAAATAGCTCTCCTGCCTCTCTAGCCTCTCTCTCGCGTACAATCGCCCGTTGAATACTATCCTCCGATCTCTGTGTGGGTTCGTAGCCATACACCTTCTTGAACTGCTTAGCTAGCTTCCTCTCCTCCGCCATCTCTTCTTCCTTCCTGGCTACAATTGACCGATTTTCATCGCGTGTAGTCAATATACCAGTTAAACTAAGCAATTTGACCTGCCGCTTAGTGTATTTGCGATTTATTGGCACCTGCGCGGCCCTGATTCGCTGAATTGTATTCTGCGTCATCGCCAGCTCCTCCTGCTTCTCCCGCTGGTGGGCGAAAATCTTAGTAAGATTTCGCTGCGCCCTATCTGATAGAGTACTAAGCTCCTTTATAATCTTCGTCTGGTTCTTCTCTAGTGCCTCAATAGTTTTTGGAGGGCTATTTTCTATACTAGAAGACGAGAGATTTGGTGGTGGTGAATGGTGATAGTGTATGCGAGCCCCATGAGCGAAAATCTGGTGCATATAGATCAGGAATCTCTAGTTAATTCGCAAGATTCTCAATAATCTTACTACCGTCAACTGGATAGATACCACGATCTCTAAAGGATTCGCGGATAATTCACTGCGTAAAGGCCTTCTTGCGAATTAGACCGATAATCGCGAGGAAATCAGATTTCCTATACGGCTTGCCACCCTAGAAAGCTAGCTCATTATTCATCAACCGAAATTGCTGCTTATAATTCAGAAAGGGCTTTCCGTCAAGTGGCTAGCAAATATACGTTGAATACGGTATAAATACAAAAGGGATAATCACATTATCTTCGTATATTTCCAGAAATTCGAATATCAGATAGCGCTTTTCGCCCCGTTTCACGCGATAAGAGGTTAGATGAATAAAATAATATAGCCAGGATAGGGCTAATTCATTAGAAATCCAGCTATTCGGAGAGATAGCCGTTATCGTATTAGGTAGCAGATTTTCGCTACCGTAGAACCAGGCCTCCATAGGATTTTTACCAGTTCCTTTAAAAATAAAGAGCGGGTCTATATGCCAGCTATCCGCAGCAATACACTCTAAAGCAGTAATATTTTCGCCTCTTTCGGTTTCTGCGAGATCAGGGCAAGATGATTTAGACCCGATAACGTTTCTCGATCGCCCTTGACCAGGTTAAAAGCCGTATTCATCGAAGTTATATACTAGCCGGGTAGGGACGTCATAGAGGATAATTGCAAGCTAGTCGTACCAATGCTAAAGAAGCCCTGTATCCTCCGCTTGGATTCGCTTCAGTTCCTTAGTCTTTTGCTTTACAGGGCCTAGACCAAGATCCTTTAGTAGACGCTTTATAAAGGCATACGGCCAATTTTTACCGACCTGCCTATCCGGCTGGCCTGCTCGCGCTACTGCGCGATTTGCCCACGCGCCTACTACCGATGCGGTAGGTGGGAGGTTCCAATTATGTATTTAGACCATCCAGTTGACCAAGGCCTTCTCCTAGTGTAGCTCCAGGAGATTCTTTAGCGATTTAGTAGGTTTAATAGGCGATTTAGCCTTTTTAACGCGATCGTTCAAGGTAGCGCGAGATACACCGAATTGACGCGCAATCTTCGCGATTTTTGGCTTCTTTTGGATAATACCGCTTTGCAGGCTTCGGCCATGCGAGATTCATCAAAATCGAGATCTTTAGGCATATTGGGCGGTTGAATTGGCTAGTAGTAGGCTACTGGTAAAAAAGCGACGGGGATTGCGGAATGACGGGGATTACGGGCGCACCCACAAGCGGAAGCGGTGGGTGGCCAGAAAGGCACGGATAAACCGCTCAAAAGGCCGAGTGCTACAGTAGCAGGTTGACCGTGGAAGCTCGTGGCCCCCAATTCCCTCGCCACAATAATTTCCTTCCAGTTGTTCCTACTGGATAATTTCCAAGTTCCCCATAACTCGGCCCCGCTCCTGGTCCCTCGCCGAGAACTCATATTGAGGCACTACGAGACACTTCCCCAATCAAGAAGGAAGTATCTGCGGCTCCGTGCGTAGGGCAATAGGGGCCCTGCCAAGTTCCTTGACACCCATTCTGCTATAAAAGTTAGACAATACCCGTTGAATACTCAAATTTTCAAGAAATATACAATATTTGATTCATTTAAATATCATCATGCCATCGTTCAAGACTATCCTCCTTCCCCTAGCCCTCCTCGTGGCCACTGCCACTGCAGACACCTGCCCCGGAGATTGGTTGTCAAACACCTTTAATGGCGATACAAAATGCTGTTATGGAAACATGCTAGTTGAAGACCGTGATGCATTCTGCTGCGTCTACGACCTGACTCCTCCTCCCGTGGAAACTATCAGCACGTCGACAGCCACTTCCTCAACCGATGACTATGCTGGTTGGTCTACCGCCGGCGAATGCTTCACGAAGGTTCCTTTCAGCGCAAGCAACTATTCGGATCTGGTCTCTTCAGCTTCGTTAAAGATTGCAGCTACTAGAGCGACGGTTGCGAGCAACCAGGCGAGTTCTACAAGCACCAGTTCCAGCTCGACCTCATCGGGTACGGCCTCAGCCACGAATGGTACTAGTTCCAAATCGAGCTCAGCGTCTGCGGCTTCTACCAGCAATGCGGCCATGCCAATTGCTACGGCTCAAGAGATGGTGCTTGGTGGAGCTGCAGTCGTCGTTGGTCTTTTCGTGCTGTGATATGGAACGGATTGACAATGCTTCGTCTGTCTTTTGATACACGTGTAGCAGCGATCCAGTCCGCGCTAATCTGTTAATATCTAAAGGAGAATGGTCATTTGGTACAGAGATCAGCCGTATTGATGTCTATTAGAAAAACCAAATCGATTCCATGTACTTAATGCTACACTTGATTATACATTCCATGCGATACACGTTGATCGCCAATTCTAAAACTCCCAGAACTCCTCGCTGAGTATGCAACCGATCCAACAAATAACACAGCAACATGACAGCAACACCAGCCCAATACAAGAAAGTCTCTACTCTCCAAAAGACGACACAGATGATTCAGTCCACGGAGAATATGGCCTGCAAAGAGCCGACCCCTCTACAATGCCCGCATCCACACCTCCATTCAGCAGAAGCGCCACAACGTCCTGGTTATCCTCCCCCGCTAAAGCCCTATCCAGTGGAGTCTCTACCGGATCACTAAAATCATAGATATTGACATCCGCTCCCCGCTTCAGCAAAAGCTCCACAATGGAAATGTTCCCTTTCTCCGCAGCGTAGAAGATGGGTGTTCGACCCGTACTATCTCGGTCATTAGGATCCGCCGCATACGAGAGAAGCAGCCTGACGATCTCGTAGTGTTCGCTCCACGCGGCGATTCCCAAAAGTGTCCTCACAGCTGAGTAGGTATGGTAGCTGCCTTTAGAATTTGGATCAGCGCCAAGTCTGAGAAGTCGCTTTGCGGTGTCTTCTCCGCCGTTGTATGCGGCATCGAAGAGCGCCCATCCTCCTTGTCGGATATTGCGGCGGTAGAACCAGTCGTTCAAGCGGGAGTATATTTCCCGGCTTGTGAGGATGAATTGATTGATTTGCCTGTCTGTTTCTAGCAGGTCGGCAATATAATGGAGGATTTCGTTTGGCAAGCATGTGAGAGGCATTTTGCAAGCCCTTGGAACTAGTTGGTCTGGGGTAGGATGGCGAGGAGCTGCTGATTGATTATAGCCGGACCTGGGATAGTGAAGGTCTAATTTTGTGGAGGGAGCGGGAGAGTGACGTGAATGAATCCAGAAAAGTCATAGTTTCCTGTCAATGGGAGGCTTCCGCTGATTAAAATGGAAATTTACTGAAAGAGGATGCCCTTTTAAGGTTGTTTGTCCGTGGGTTTGGCAAACAACTGGCTGCCCGCGACTCAAACAGGAAACTTTAAGGCGTGGAAGAAAAAGATTTGAGCTAGATGGAAATACTAATATCATTTCTTGTTTTCTATTTGAATAAGTGGCCCCGTTTAGTTTCTTCTATGTTTTCTCTGTCCTTTCTATGAATCTCTTATCATATCCTATATTTTATTTGCCCAACTAGCATTGAAGAAAAGAGGCAGGTAATGCTAATATCAATCACACCGATTTAGAACATGACAAGGGATCTTCCATACGATGACAAGACCCTAACCTTTACTTTCCATAGGGTAATCTGCCAAGATTATGGCACCTCTCCATGCGGTAGCTCTGCTGGGCCCATCGGTACACCCCGCTTGAGAGAATCAAAAAGGGAGGGAAAGCATGTTTCCAGACGTTTCTCGATCTCATATTGGCGGTGATGGAATCCATAGGAGAAAATGATATTGGCTCCGTTGTCGAGAAGGAGGTGCACCATCGACTGGTGGCGCAGCTTGGATGCCATGTATAAAGCCGTGGCACCGCAACAGTCTTGCATATCCACATTTGCGCCGTAACCCAGGAGAAGAGTCGCCATTTCAAGGTCGTTCCTCAGAACAGACCCGATCAAGGGCAGTGAGAGTGGTACGTATGGCGAGTCGTAGTCACGTCGATACCAGACGTTGGGACTGCCGCCAAGCTTGAGAAACCGTCGGGCTGTCCCAACTTGGTTATTGTAACTTGCCCAGTGGAGTGCCCAGCCGTCGGTTTTGAGACTGCGGCGATAGAGCTCATTCGTGAAGTAGGCATGTAGTCGCTTGTTGGTGCGAGTGAGAGCGGAGAGACTTGGGTCATCCAGGCTCTGGATGACGATGAGAAGGATCTCAACTGGGAGGGATAGGAGAGGCATCTTGGCGATTCAAAATCGGGGAGAGAATGTGGATGGTAGGTAAGTTGAGTCGAAACCGAACTCGGAGATGTCCAGAAGTGCTAGGGAAGAGGAGAGAGAGAGAGAGTCCACGGATCAAACAGCGATAACAGGATAGTCTGATGTCTGGACGCTGGCGAAGTATGAGTCTCTTAGCTGGAGCCTTTAAACGTGATTGGAAGAAGTTTCGAGTCGTAGCACATGGTGTCAAAAACATATTGCCCCTCTCACATGTCAACATGTATCTGCTCTATATCCATTAGTATAGGAACGTATGAGTAAACTGTAATGGATAGTGTACCCTACCAGGTCTATACTTTCTCTCGACTATACTGTATGCGTGCAGTTTCTGGGAGGCCCACGTCTGATTCGGCCCGGGATGATCGGTGGGGCCCAGTGGAGTCGTGGCTGCTTATCGGTGGAATGGAGCAGCTTCATCCTGGACTGGAATAGAGTCAGGAGTCATGACCGAAGAGCACTCATAGAAATGGCAGTAAATAGAGAGATCCCTGTTGGTAGCTTAAGAGAGCAAGTGGCGCTTATCAGGGGGTTACTCGTCGTTGTGGAGGAAGGAGAGGACTGTGTTCTGCCCAGAGCTCTTTGACCGTTTGGATTTGGGCAACCCCGCCCTGGTCAGATGCTTATCGATTACGAAAGTATTGGTGACCTGCTTCCCTCCTCAGCAAAAGCTTCCTCTTTATCCTTTCCCCCCTTCTCCATCTTCAGCCTCTTTTTGAGCTTTTGAGCTGTTGATACATTCAGCCTTCTCTTCTATCCTCATCACTATCTGTTTTCTCTGCAGCTGTCCGTGGCAGCTGTCCTCCAACGCTGCGACCAGCTGACGGGCACCTCCCCGCAGACCCCCACCCAACGGGGGCACATGCCTGGAGCCCAGGCATCCCCATCCTCGCGGTGTGTTTTGCTGTCTCTTTCTGCTTCATCTTTCCCTTCCTTTCCTTGAAACCCAACCCTCGCTCGCTCTATGAGACCCCCACAGACATGGCTAACGCTCCAGAGTCGCCCAGGCGTCCCCCGAGCGTCCACACAGCCTCTCATCTACAATACCCGACCCTCCCGCCGCTCTCTGCCTCCGTCCAAGAGTGGTTGTCCCGCTCTCGTCCAGCCAACAACATGACGTCAGATCAACACCTCTCGCTACCTGCGAGGTCTCTCGGTGATAGCTGGGCGGACCTGAGCGTATCCGATCTACACTCGGAGGATGGAAGTCGCTCCGAGCACACCGATATGGGGTCGTTGATCGACCAAACCAGCCCCGACGACGTAGCCAGTCTCGATGAGCGATACAGCAGCAGCGAAGTCGGTGGCCCGGACGAGGAGTATCCTCAGGAAGATGAGGATGCTGCCGGAGACGAGCTGCAGGACTCGGTAGCCTCGCAGCAGTTCCCGATGATGTTCGCTCAGGACGACACTGCAATCAACGATAGCAACCTGACCACCCGCCCGGCATATCGTCAGTCGATCGACTCGATCGAGTTTGTGGAGCCTGACAAATGGCCCGAGAGAGAGCGAGTAGAGCTCAAGCACACGATCCACATCTTCGATGATGCGGAAGCAGCCATTATGAGAGAGTCGCTGCCGCATAATGTGGAAGGGGCGATCCTGATGACCACGGTTCAGCAGACCATGACCAAAGGCAGCCTGGGCCTGGACAAGCCCTATCGTGTGTTGTATATTGGTCAGTCGGACTCTCGAAATATCATCCTGGACAAGATTGGCGATGTCTTGGTATCAAGTTCGACTGCCGGATCACAGACTAGCTCCGCCGACTCCTCCCGCTACCATGTGGTGCCAACCTCGTTCGGAGCCGGTGCCGTGCCTAACTTTGCAGAGCTCCTCCCGATTCATGTCCAGCTTGTTGTGGACGAGTGCAAGGAAGCGAGTTCCGAGGCTCATGAAACTCGACCTAGCACCTTGCACCTGGACTTCAAGAATCGCCCTGCATGTCGCTCATGGTGGGATGGTGATCAGTATCGGATCTCGTCTGCATCGGAGTGGACTTTGCCAGATGTGGCAATCCTGTTTGTGTCTGATAGAGACAGCCAGACCACCATCCAGACGCAGCACTATGTTCATGCCTTCTTGGAGCGGCATGGAATTCCCGCCATGGTGATCTCGGAGGAGCCGATGTGGAAGCGGCCTGGCGAGCCCATCCCATTGAACCACAATAGTCTGCATATGTGCTTGGAGTCTCGACACCCGCAGACAGGAGAAACGGCCGTGCTGCGTCGTTATCCTATCGATTTGAAGACCTTCGAGAGTATCACACCCGGTCAGCTCAACAGAAACCTGGCTTCGCTCATGGACCTTTACCCACAGAAAACACACAAAGTTGCTGCTGATGCTCAGAGGCCGGTTGAAATTTACTCCTCCATGGACCCGGAGAAATATCCTCGCAACTGGCTTCCACCGTCATATTCTTCCAAGGCTCGCGAGCTGGGCCCTATGCTGCGCCTTATCACGCTGACCTTGATTTCCGCTATTGCTCTCTCAATCGGATATGCGGCTGTGAATACTGTGTTCGTTTCTGTTTCACAATGGATTTCGGGGCCAGGGATTCCCAACGCCGCATCCGCACTAACCGCTCCCCTTTTATCGACTTCTGTGGCGGTCCTCAAAGTGCCGCAGACTTCGGGGGCTGCTTGGCCGGCGGGTCAATCGTGCCACCCAAATACCAAACCTGCAGCGATCATCGATCACGTTGCCAAGCTCACAATTGCTGACTCGAGCTCGTCTGGAAGCCCGGACGTCTTTGAGATTCAAGTTGTGGGTGACTGCCATGTGGTCATCAAGCCTCCACGCAATTTTGTGACGTATAAGAAGCAACCACCCTTCAACGTGAGTGCTCACCGATACGAGCAGCCTCTGTCCTACGAGCTTTCCAAGCTCTTTGACGGAGTCTATACACTACGGCTGGACCGAGAGGATGCTTATGGCTTGGTAAATATCACCGTCTCTGCCAAGTCGAAGCCACCCATCAACCAAGTGACAACCGTCGACTTTGGAACCCCGTGGCTGAAGATTGCAAGCTGGAGAAGGGCAGCCCGGCAGGTCTCCTCACAGGTTACGAAAGACTTGCAAATTGCTCAAACCAGCCTGGCCGAAGTGTATGGTCGGGTCTCCACCGATGTGCAGGTGAGAATGGGCGACCTGGTCAAGAAGTCTCATTTCCTGCACCAGAACAGCCTGCGACGCCAGAGCCTCCTCGCGCGGGATACCGTGCTCTCGCGCTCCAAGCAACTCTCCGAGGTCATTACCCGCAATGCGCTTCAACAGTTCCGAACTGTCTCTTCTCTCGTGCACAGCCGTTCGGTCCGGGTCAATCAGGAAGCGAAGGGGCTGGTAAATGTCGCCTGGAATCGTCTCGGAGATTCTGCAGCCCAGGTGGATATCCACTCCATGCTGGATCGAGTACGAAGTGCCAAGTGTGCCACACTGGATCGGGCTCAGGCACGCGCACGTCGCTTTGTGGGGCGTCGGGATTGAGGTTATTGCTGAGGTCGGGGCTAGCCTCCCAATGCTGACATGATTTTCTTCTTGTTTTTGCAACCAACTTTTGCTGATTTCCATGATTCTTTTTAGCTCTTGATGGGGGTTTTTGTTTACGGCGATCAGGCTAGGTGGGACGGTAACTTTGGGGGGCTAAACTCATGCGAGTACTATTTTTTTGATCCGGCGCAACCGCAGTTTAAGTAACGTGTACCTTTGGCCTATTTTCGTTCTCTGTCTCTATTTAATTCCAAGTAATTCACTCCTAGCCCGTAAATCAAACATAGTCTCACGACCAGTGACCAACCCCTCGCGTTCGCCATGCGCTTGAGCGTTCAGTCGCAAGGCGGTGGCGAGTTCTGCCCGCACCCAAACTATTAATTTTTCCCCCTCATCGAACGCTCCCGCATCAACAAAGCACTTTCTTACCCCCTGAATACCTTGATCCCCGGTGTTCACTCTCTTTCTGAACCTCTTTTATCCCACATTTTCCCGAATACAGCACCCCCGCCTTTACTTTCGCCATGTCTGACGTTGCGGAGACCAAGCCCGACCCCACCACCCAGGCTCCTGAGGCCGACAAGCCTGAGACCGCCACCACCGGTGAGGGCGAGAAGACCGTCACCGAGGCCGCTGCCGACAAGGTCGCTGAGGTTGCTGAGACCGCCAAGGATGCCGCTGTGAAGACCTCCGACAATGTTTTCTCCATGTTCGGTGGTGGTCCCAAGAAGGAGGGTAAGCCTAAGGAGGATGAGGAGGAGAACGACCGCTCCGGCTCCGCAAAGGCCCAGAAGGAGGAGAAGGATGAGGATGTTGAGGATGACAAGGTGAGTTGGATCATTTGGATGGGCGATATGGGTTGAGCGGGTTGGAGATGCGCGTTGTTCACAGTCAAAACATTGGCATAGCCTAGAACGCGGGGTGTTTTCTCGGGCCCCGCAGCTTGTGTGGCTCGCCGTTACCCAACCGCCAACACCATTTCATCCCATTCTCAATGATTTTTTTTGGATGTACTTTCTCTAACTGCGTTCTCTCTTGTGTCTAGGTCGTTGCCGATGCCAGCTGGGTGAAGACGGAGTTGAAGGATGTGGTTGAGGTCAAGACCCACGAGGAGCTGGAGGAGCAGGTTTTCAAGATGCGCGCCAAGCTCTTCAAGTTCGACCCCGAGAGCAAGGAGTGGAAGGAGCGTGGTACCGGTGATGTTCGTCTGCTGAAGCACAAGGAGAACCGGAAGACTCGTCTGGTCATGCGTCGGGACAAGACCCTCAAGGTCTGCGCCAACCACTATGGTGAGAATTCCCGGAAAAATCCCCTGACTCTCAGGATGTCCTTTCTGACAATATACTCTTTTAGTCGTTCCCGAGATGAAGTTGAGCCCCAACGTCGGCAGTGACCGCAGCTGGGTCTGGAACACTACTGCTGATGTCTCCGAGGGCGAGCCTGAGAAGCAGACCCTCGCCATCCGCTTCGCCAACAGCGAGAGTGAGTTGCTGCTATTCAAATTGGCGATATCTTGTGGGCCATTACTAACTTTAGTTTTCCAGATGCCAACCTCTTCAAGGACGCCTTCGAGAAGGCCCAGCAGGAGAACGAGAAGGTCTTCGGTGCTTCCGAGTAAACACGGATCGCACATTGCATCTTCTCTCCCTCCGAGATGGAGGAGCCCCAAAGCCCACCAGCATGAAATGCTCGTCGCCCACGGGCCTTGCTCTGTGGATCAATAGCGCGCATTCGAGCTTTACACACATCCCTCAATCCCACAATCCAATTCCCCCAAATACGAAAGAATCCATGACAATTCCCCCTCCTCTCCCACTCCCACCTCCATGACCTTCCCCCTTTTTCCGACGACGCGACGATCAAGGCAGTCAATGATGATGATGCTGTTCGCAACAGCTATCGTGATGTGATTATGAAACGGAAGGCAGTTTCTTGATGTCTTTTGGTCCACAGTCGGCAGTAGATAGACATATTATTTTTCTCCATCAAATATACACCCTGCACATCAAATTCTAGCAGTTCTCGGGTCGGTTTGGGTCATCTATAGAAGTAGCGAGGGATCATTGATCTTATGATAGCAACTGGGAGACAGCTGCCCATCTTGGCCTACGACAGTCTCGTCAGAATAAGTAGGATTAATCTAGCATTCAAGTAATCTATGTGGGCGAGAGACCTATCGATCATTCTCATCAATTTAACAAAAAAAATTCATTATATCCACAAGAGCTTGGATCTATCTCTGGTGGGTAGTCTCGAGTTGAAAGCTGTGTCAAGCTCTCGGAGCTGGTCTTGGTTGTCTCCCCGTCGACCTCATTCCTCCCCACTCCCGCTGGCTCTCATCTTTTCTCCCTTCACTTCCAACACGCCCAATTCTCACCGTCGTTCTGGCCAGAATCCTGTGACCATTCGACTTAGATTTCGCCTCATATTTACCTCTCTCTCCTTCACCCTTTTTCCTACAGTTACCTACGTGGCGCATACCCGCGTTTCCCTCATCGTCTGCGCAAACTGTTCCGAGCCTCCTGCATCTCTCGGCGCGCACGCCTCCATACCTACCTTACCTTCACAGCACCGGTGACCGTGACGCTTCCTTGTCTAACTTGCAAATATGCCCGACGTGAGTTATCTCCCTCTACTTAGCTTGCTCTGGCCGGACTCGTCCCCGTCGTCGAGCTCTGGACCGCGGTCTGGGGGTTCGAAGGCCCTTATGTCGCGCGACTACACGGGGACCGATAGACGGATTCCGGACTCAACGCCTCTCTTCTAGAAGTGAATGTTTCTCAGTGATGACTCTTACTGTGTGATATAGGTCAAGCGCAACGTCCGTCTTGTTACGGAGCAACACATCATGTACGTGCCCCCGGCCCACCCTTCCCTTTCCTTACCTCCGGCGAGCGATTGATACACCACTCCTCCCACAAAACACTCGACAGAATGGTGTTCGGTTGAAACTGAGCACTAGATGCGACGAGACGCGATACGCGTCGGGTGTCGGGACTAATGGGCACCCAACAAGCTCGCACGCACCTACCGTCCACAGCTTCCCCGCATACACACCGGAATACAGGAGATATCCCCGGGCACATAGGCTGACTTGGATTCTTTGATTTGATATAGCGACAAGCCCTCGGAGGTTGAGGGTTTCCCTCAGCGTGAGTGGTCGATCGAGATCTGGCTTCTCAATGAGAAGGGCGAGCAGGTGCCTGCCACCGTCTTCGACAAGGTCGTCTACCGCCTTCACCCCAGTTTCGACGATCGCGCCGTTCAGAGTATGTTTGATCTCTCTACTAGCTGCTACCCTGCGTTCTTCTGCGGTCATCTGCTTGGCAGTACCTCTTGGACAAACTGTCGCTGACCCCACCTACAAACTAGCCTTCAAGAAATCCCCCTTCCGCATCCAGGAGGAGGGATGGGGTGAGTTCGACATGACAATTGACCTGGTTGCCGATAAGACACACACCATCAAGCATGACTTGAACTTTTCCCAGGAGCGTTACGAGGCCAAGCACCAGATTGTGAGCTCACTGTATACCCATGATGTGGCCATCTTTACTAATCTATGTGTCCTCTAGACCTTCCGCAATCCCAAGCCTGCTCTCCTGGCTTTGTTGCGTGAGTCTGGCCCGGTCCCTGGCGATGAGAACGGTCTGAAGTCCAAGCGTGGTGCTACTGGCGAGGAGAGCGCCAAGAAGAAGAAGCGCACCGAGAAGAATGTGGGTTATCTGCCTTGCTTCATGGATTTCCGAGCTAATTTTGTTTATAGGTTGATATGGACAAGCTCGCCGATGGTTTGCAAAAGCTGAACGAGGATGATCTGCTCCAAGTAGTGCAGATGGTACATGATAACAAATCACCCGAGTCATATACCAAGAACGATGCTGAGAGTAAGTGCCCCCTCATATCAAAGGCTACCAGAGACTCCATGAACTAACCTGATTATCTCTACAGTGGGCGAATTCCATGTGGACCTGTACACCCTCCCAGACTCCCTGATCAAGATGCTCTGGGATTTCACAGCCGACCGGGGAGCCCTGTAAAGAAGACCCCCTGTAACGAAGCAACGTGGACAAAGAACACAGCATAGTTACTTTGACCCTTTTTTTCGAATTCTTAGTTTCTGGAACGCTAGGCACAGATCTACCTCCTTCCATATCACGCAAGTTCTTGCTCTAGCAGAAAATTTTCTTTCTAGTTACTCTTGTTCTTCTACGCCTTTCTCCCTATCGTGTACTGTCCCGTTCCCATTTTCACTTCCCCCCTTTATTGCTGTCCCATGTTTCTCTATTGGTTTTTGATATTGGGGAGTTAGTGGGCCTTTAAAGGAACGTGATACTTGGCTGTGTGGTATTTTCTTTCGTGACCTTGTTTCTTTTTCTCTTTTCTCTGCGTAGATCTTGGTTCATGTTTTTAAAAGTGCCTCGGAATGAAACAATCCATCCTGATGGTAAGGGCTGGCTGGCTGTTTTCTTCGATGATAACCCGGTTGTGTGATCAAATTTGATATCGAAGTTATAGTCGTTAGGGATTGCTAGAACGACACCTCATTGCCATATCTACTTAAGCGTTGTAATTGAATTACCATCTTCTACAGTAATACCCTTCCCCCCTCAGAGGATTGCAGGACTACTGCTACTACTGCTACCCTCGAGCTCTACCGGAATGACCGACAAGGAATCCCGGCACTCCAACAGACTGAAATTATCTTTCCTATGCCTACCGGTGATCCTCTGCGGCCTTTAAACATTCAACGACGCGACCTATACCCTCCACAACCTCCTCGTAACCCAACCGAGGATTTCCCTCTCTTTGTTCAACACTTACGCTACTACTGCTACTACTGCTACTACTGCTACTACAGCTACCATATCTATTCAATTCGTCAATAACCTTAGATTCGACGATTCTGATGATTCTGACCTAGAGCTGGAAGGCACTAGAGAGGCCCTATAGGGCTAGGTTAATATCGAAGAGATCTTATTTACCTTACGGCCTACCGGAAATAATCGTTCTCCTACTGCTACTAAATCTCCTATAGTAGTAGTAGTAGTAGTAGTGGTATTGATGTACTGGCGTAGTATAGATGACCTCATCGTAACGCCTCCATTCAGGAACAAGCCGAACAATAACTCTCTACCTAGGATATACATCCATCTCTCCGTTCTAAATCAAGAATCATCCTCCTCGCAGACTCATACCAAAGTGAAAAAAACACCATACCTGTCACTGAATCACTGAAAATGGTATATGCCTATCAAAGCAAGGGCATTGTGTCGGAGGAAGGTGCGAATCCATTTCTCGAGCACCTTCCCCCTGATACGCCCGTCTATCGTTACGACCGACAGTGCGCCATTGACACCCTTCTCCCTCCGTACTCAGTCGAGGATCGCTTCATTGTCTTGAAAGATCTCCCGCCAGAGATATTCGCCGAATCCGAAGAGAAATTTCCCCGACGCTGTGATTATTCGCCACCCTTTCAGCTCCTTATCATCACAATGCCAGGTCAACCACACGAGGAGGCCGCTTTCGGTTTCGAGAACGAGCTTTCGTTCCTTGCTCGGGATATGCAAGTCTTACGACGAATTTCGGCTTGCGGAGCTACTCGAGTCGATACACCTGACCGAAGCAAGAATGCGGACCGGTCATGGAAGCCAAGACGACAAGGGAGGGATTTTCCAACGGTAGCTTTGGAAGTCGGGTTTTCTGAGACAACTGCAAAGCTGGAAAAGGACATCGCTTGGTGGATCAACGGGTCGAAAGGGGAAGTGAGAATGGGGGTCACAGTCGACATCAAAAGATCCGGCTACATTGAAATCAAATCCTGGACCCCAGCATTCGACCCATCTCTCCTCAGTGACTATGTTACCGAAAGCGGCCGCCACGTCGTCGAAAGACACGACAATAATCTCCCGCCGCCTCAGATCGCCCAGCGAATCCTCATCAAGAGAGGAAGGGATGGCCATGGTCCTACGGTTGAAGGGGAGGGCATAACTATACCATTCCATACTCTTCTGTTGGACGAACCAGGCGAAAGCGAAGAGGATTTCGTGTTGACAGCTGAAATGTTATTGCATAATTTGGCAGAGCGTGTCTGGGATGCGATCGACGATGCTGAAATGATCAAGGCCAAAAAGAGAAGCAAGACTAGAAAGGGATAGAACACCAAAGGCGAAAGGGAATAAACCTAATACGGAAGCTTATGCTATTCGAGTTTTACTGTAGAAATCGCCGAATCTCCCTCTAATCTAGGTAAATCATCTATATTCCACCCGCCAGGATACCCACATATATCGATCTATATTCTCCTACTTTTACCCTTACCCCTGCTAGCTATCTTCCTATTAATTTGGCAGTTGATTTGGCAGTTGATTTGGCAGTTGATTTGGCAGTCGATTTGGCAGTCGATTTGGCAGTTGATTATAGGGCAGTTTGCTCCGAACCTACTACCTCGAATAACTAAGAAGGGCAGATTTAACCTAAGCGAATATAGCCGTATAGCGAATGAGTAGTATACTAGGAGATAGGTATATACTGTAGTAGTAGAAATCTTGCAATTGTCAAAAGGTGGGAGGGTATTAGATGATAGTAAACAACGCTAAACTAATTATGGAGCGGGTGGTGGCGAATTAGTATTTAGGGTGTCGTTTTAGCAATTCCCACTTGAGAAGAGCTTTACGTTGAACCCCCATTTCTTACAGATTAGGCCCGAAAGGGCAGCTTGACAGATATTGAAGCAAATAAACTGGCTGAAGTGTAGCTAAGATGACGGGTTTAGGTATTCAGGTCGGCGGCCCTATACTTCCCTAGCAAAGAGTATCTTACAGGGGTTAACCAGATGAGGGTTGTACTTGGGTGGAAATATATCTCGAAAATGCCTGACTTTGTTGACATCGAAAAGCACTACAAGCATAAAGGTAAGGAGAAAGCTCCATAGACAAAAACAAAAACAGCATGGGATATCTCAACTAGAACCAATATCAAGATTAACAAAGACCAACCCGCGCAACATGCTCGAAATCCAGTAACCCAAAGGAGAAGAAAGAGAGGGGGACACAAGGAAACAACACAAGGAGAGTATCAGCATAGGTCAGAGGACAACGTAACAATGCAGATCGAAAAAGGCAAAACCAGACAAAGTAAGAACCGCAAGGCCACAAACAATATGCCCCAAAAAGATGATCCAGCCACGAGCTCCATTCCACACGGTCTATTGAGAATCCAACGCCTGAAAATAGCCACCGTCTTTTTCTGGTTGGTATGCATTTGACAAAGAGGAAATGGAAGGGAGGGAGAGGGAGAGATAAAAAGACATGGTAGATGTGTAACAGGTGTAGGGAGATGATGAAGAGGAAAGGAGATGGGTAGAAAGTGGGAGTTTCGGTTTAAAAGGAGGAAAGAAAACCAGGACGCCTGTTGCTGTGCGAAGATGATGCAGGAAAAAGACACATCTATGCTATTCAAAGCACACGGTTCCTGGAAGGTATATTAGTATTCATATCATCAACATATACTAGGTTCCAATTTGGCAACATACAGCTTCAACAGGTCTTCCAGACTGTCAGCACTACAGCTGCGGCCCTTGGGAATGTTGCGAATGATATCCGTAATCGTGGTAAAGACTTCCCCACCACGGTAGGCCAGCAGTGCAGGAGCCTGAATATGATCCATCTCGGCAATTTCATGATGCAACTTGACAAAGCGGGTAGTAGGTTGCCTGCGGGCAATAGTGACGAGGCATTCCTCGACAATGGCACTGTCATCAGACTAGAAGCATATCAAAAGTTAGACAAGAAAGTAGAGAGGTCGATAGGGTCTCAAAACATACGCGAGGATCATAAATGCACACAACCACGACAGTCTCCGAGGTAACCTTCTCAATCGCATCGAGGTACCCCACCGCATCAACGGTCTCTACAGACCCAAAGCGCCGCCCACGTGGAGACAGACGCCGCATATCGCGGTTCTGAAGCTCCTGCATGCGCGAGGTGCGCCACTTGCGCATGAACCGATCCTCGTCATCATCACTACCCGAGGATCCCTCGGGTGCCGAAGCCGGTGTCTCATCCCGAGTCCCCTTATTGGAGCCAAAGGCGGGACCGTTGGAGTCGAAGCCTGCCGCACTGAGGAGGGTCTTGCGGAAGGACTTTTTGCGGGCGCGCTCAAAGGCCTGGGCATCGGCGATGACCCCCTTGGGACCGGTGTTGGCTTCAAAGACGGTGTTGGGGACGTGGTAGTTGCCACGCGAGGAGACCATGTTGTCAGTGTTATCCTCGTCCTCGTCGGAGGAGTCGATCACGCGACGTTGGCGCAGGGGACGTGGTGGGGAGGAAAGGGAGTCGTTGTCGTCGGAGAAGTGCGGGGAGTCGTCGCGGTCTTCGGGGTGGGATGATGTGAGGGCACGGTTGTTGTGCACCAGCTGGTCGAATTCTTCTTGGGCTGACATGGTGAAAGAAAGAGCAGGGCCTCGGAGGGTGGAGATGGGATTTAAGGTGTTTCTGGGAGGAGAGAGAGTGTGTGGGAATGGATTAGAGGGGGGGGGGGGGGGGGAAACCAGGATTGTCTGGGAATTCTGGGGCAAAGGACGGCGAAGCGTGTTCGGGAGTTCGGAGGGGATCGACGGGCTAAGGCTGAATTCAGCAGCGTTGCCCCTGAGGAACGGTCGGACTAGAGCGAGTCTGGAGTAGCGCGGCAGTCGCGGAGAGGTGAAGACAAAGAGGAAGAAGAACAAGAAGAGGCTGTGATCGGAGTTGGGGGCTGAGAGGGGAAGAGATCGCCAGGGTGAAACGCTTGAACGGTGAGAAAAAAAAAAGGAAAAATAAAACAAGGAAGCCCCTTTTCGAGTTGTTCAAGTTTCAGCCCTTTTTTTTTGTTTTTTCTTGGGAAGGATCAGACAGAGTCGAATGGCCGAAGAAGTTTCCACGGGGATGCTCCCGATACGAGTAACTATCCAGAGGACTTGTGTCCTGAGTGATGTGGTTCGGCCATTGATTCATGGCCATACCAGGATATACTATATACTGTATCCTGTATACTATAATATACTACATAGGATATAGGATCTAGTACCTCCGGAGTACTACCTACCTAGTATCGAAGTCTATACACATCACAATAACCCTAATAAACTCAAACAGCATCCATCCCATTCGAACTCTTCTCCCCAAATAACCCATCTCCGAGTGATCGTCGCCCCTCAAATTAAATCTTCCACGTGGAATCGTCCATAAAATCTATGATCATCCTGGGCCCCCAAGCATCTGCGCGTCAATGCGAGGCTTGCGAGCGGTTCGTGCCCCATCTCGACTCTTCTTCCAAGCGAAAGCCCAGCAAATAAGCATGCCTGGTTTGGTTCCCTGCGTGGAAACCGGGCAAAGAAGCAATTTCCCAAGGGCGAGATTACGTCCAGCATCCTTCAAATCAGGTATATGCTGCCCACCCTCAGCCCTCCGGGGGGAGTTACTAGTTACCATCACTTTGTCGTCAGATCTCATTCTCAGCCCGTTTCACCCTCTTCCTAAATGGTTACCCGGTTTCCCCCAGCAGGCAAAATCGACAGCCTGCAGCCTGCAGCCTGCAACCTGCAACCTGCAACTCTGAAACATCAACGCGCGCGTGGCTGGCCTTTCCCCTTCCCCGGGTGGATGGGTGACGCAGATCTCTGACCAAGTCCCACAGGCGATCACCATTCGCCCGCCTCGACGCCAATCGTCACATCATCACAATAATCTCGAGGAGCATGTTTCGCACGGCGCCATTGCCCAGATTGGGCCAAGGCGAAACGAAACGGGCGGACTGAGAATGGGATTTTGGGCCTGGCCCTGGGCTGTGTGTGGCCGGTGGAGGCGGATCTCGAGGAGGAGGATGATGGATCTGATCCACAAGGCCCCAAGGCTGGAGGGCGAGTTAGGCAACACGACTTGGTCGCAAATGGGGGTTAGAGTACAAATAAAAATAGTTAAATAGTTAACTTTAATTAAATGAGGGTTTAATTGAGATTTTCCAATGTCATGGCCACGTTGTGCACTGCCGAATACAAGGTACAACCCATCATTTACTCCGCACTGAATCTGCCAGATAGGCCCAACCAACAGGAGACACAGGATAAAGGACACACGCCAGAGTGACTCGAGGCCAAAACTCTGGTCAATGCCGAAGTTAGGCACCGTAGTAAACGAGTAATCTCCCTGGCCTAGACCATCTTCTCCTGTAAACATCCCAGTACTGCAACCAGGGGCTGACTCAATTCTGGCCAGTTCGAGTTCCTCGCGATATAGATCTGCCTGCATTGACGAGGATATCCTGCTCTACGATCTCCAGGCAGAATGATTGCCTCTCGATGATAGCTGGGTCTTTTGTCTCAGGGATCTCTGGTCCGAGTCGGGCAGGAATAGCTCCAAGGAGGTCCAGTTCGTCTAACTCGAGGATTTCGAATGTCCTCGTCCTCAGCTGGTTCATTCAGCCATCATGATGAATACGTGGCTGTGGCTCATGTCTTGTCCCGCTCGCTCGGAATACCTTCATGGTCGCGGTTAATTGGAACAGCTCGAATCATGGAATACAAGCAATGCATGCTGACTGGAATCGCGTCAACGATTGATTGTGTTAATGATGGCCAAGGCATATATTCGTTCGTGATGTCCATAAGATGTTGAGTGATCTCCAGACAGGGTTCACCTGGAGACAACAACAATAACAACCTCATCACTGGGCATATCAGAACTAACTGGTTGCCTAGCATCATGGCCGCATCCACTGACCCCTACCCTACTGCTTACATCTGACTTACACACTATCAAGGCAGACTATCACCAAAGACCTTGTATGAATGCCCCATGTCTGACGCTCACGCCACGCTTGAGACGCCCAACGCGCCACGAATCTACGAGGCGAAGTCCAACGCAACGCTCGAACAGACCGGCTGCACATCCCCAAGACACGCGGCCAGAACGGAATGGAAAGATAAGATTCGAAGATTGAAATCACAAATGGAAATTGGAAGCTTCTCAAGGGGGAAAAAGGAGGCCAACATGAAAAAAAGGGAACTCCAACGAGGGAGTCCCTACAAGAGATCCAGACCATAGGAGACACAATAGGTACAGGCACAATTCTTTCTTTGGTGAGACACAAGGAAAATGTGGCGGGAAAAGATCAAATGTGCTAAGATAGATCAGAGGGGGAAATCAAAGAAAATTGAGAGAGACGACGCGGAAACGCAGGGGAAATTTCAAAAGAAGCGCAAGATCATGGCCGAATCCACCTAACCGGTCCCTGTCCAATCCATCACCGAGAAAATACATACCGAGAACCGATGCGGGAAAGGCAAGAAAGAAAAAAAGAAACGAAGAGGGGGTAATTGAAAAGGAATAATCGGAGGAAAAGAAATAAGAATAAAAAATGGTAAATCCAGGGGAGAAGAAGGGAGGAGAAAAAGAACAAGCATCATCACCAGCAGGAGGGAAGCCAACGAATAGAACGGCCACAAGAGATAGAGGTAGAAGACTGCGTGGGATGGCGACTTTCGGCTTGTTCTTGCAGTGTCACCGCCAAAACAGTCCACGGTACCTTCTCATCATGACCATCCAAGCGGCAGCGCTCTCGTCATGTCCAAACATTGTTGTGTCGTCGCTTTCGTTTCTTCCCCAGGCGTCGCACTCGCCTTCCACCACCACCACCCACTCTTCCGTATCGCATGCGACGGGCCGATGTCTGCGCTGTAATTATCCTGAGAACTCGAAAGTTCCCCGGTAACTGATTATTATCGTACAATGGCGGAGATTCGACCCATCGAACCAAAGAAAATTTCGAATAAGAGCATTGCAAATGATCGACACAGGGTATCTTGCGTTTGTTTTCTTTTGTGGGGGGAGATTACCAGGCCCAGACCTTGAGCTGTAGGAGATGAAGAAAAAGTCGTCAGTATTGTTTCCTGTTGTCAATCTGCCGGAAGAGGGCAACTTACGAGGGAATCCCAAGATCCAGTGCACAGACTGATACCATCGTTGCTGACACCCAGGCAGCTCACGCGGTTCTCGTGGCCGCTGAGCGAGCCAACCTTGTCGCCGCGCAGAACATCCCACACCTGCAATGCCAGTCAGTAACCATTCCATGCAAAGCCAGAGAATATAAATATTTACCTTGCACTCAAAGTCATCGTAACCAGCAAACAATAACCGGCCGGAAACGGAGAAGGCAACGGAGGTGATACCGCAAAGAACTTGGTCGCTCTGTCGGGGTTGAAAATCAATTAGTCTGGGCAGCAGGTCTCTTGAGGATGTTAGGGTGTAAACATACCTGGTAGATGTTGAGCTCGCGGTCGGCACGGATATCAAACAGACGGCAGGAGGTGTCGTCGGAACCAGTTCCAAAGGCGTTTCCGTCGGGGAAGAACTGGATCGCATTGATGTCGGACTCGTGACCAGCGAAAGTTTGCACGGCCTTGCCGGTACGGATATCCCACAGCTTGGCGAAGGCGTCGCAAGCACCGGAAACGAAGATGTTCTGGTTGGTAGGGTTGATGCTGATCGACATCACATCACCGAGGTGGTCGGCAAATTCGGTGACCTTGGATCCAGACTCGATATCCCACAGCATACAGGTCATGTCGCCGGAAGAGGTGATGATACGGCGGTCATTGATGAAGCGGCAGCAGGAGAGGTAACCCGAGTGGCCGGAGAGCTCGCGCGCGACGCGAGTAGGACCTTCGCGTGACGACAGGTTGTAGATGGAACAGATGTTGTCGAGACCACCGCAAGCCACGTAGTTTCCGCTGGGTGCATAGGCACAGGTCATGACCCAGGATGAGCGCAGGGGAATGGCGTGGACTTTGTTGGTGGTATAGGCGTCCCAGATGATGAGCTTTCCGTCCTGCGAAGCTGACACCAGGTGACGGCGGTCGGTCGACCAGTGCATAGCATAGATCTTGGCGAGGTGACCTTTCAGCGTCCGGCGCGGCTTCATGCCAATTCGAAGGAGGGTATCGGTCTGGTTCTGCGCAACCTGGCGGACTGTGGGGAAGTGTGTCAGCAATTCGGTTCCAATTCATCGCGATCTATTCACCACCCATTGCCTCTCCTGAGAGTAATCCATCGAGGCAGGGGAAATGCTCGGAATGGAGGTCCCGGAACGATAGCGGAGAAAATGCACGGGAAATCGTACGAGAGGTGTCGCCCAGCTCCTCCTTCCGGCGCCTGATCTTGTCCTTCAAACCCTCCGCTTCGCGCCTGGCCGCAGTAATCTTGGCCTGCATCTGTTCACCCGTCATATCGGCTGCCATCTTGCCGGATTGAAACCCCTAAGAACCGTTGTTGGTGGAATTGAGGGAAGCGAGGGAAAACGGCGTTCCAGGGGGGTTGGATGGAAGGCGGAGGAGGATGGTGTGGAGGGAGGTTGACGGTTGGGTGGGAGAGTCGGGAAGGGTCGAGGGGGGTCAAGTTGGGACGAGGG